ATTTAAACGTCATTCGGATAGTGCCCGGGCCAGCAATACGTTTTTCTATTTTTAAATAAGCTATGGACTGTGCTGATCGTAAGGGAATGTACACTGCAGATCACATTAAAATCAGCACTTTTCTAGTTTTCTTTTATATCAGCTTCCTCCCATTAAGCCCTTAAATACTAAAAAAATCAAACACCCTTGTGAAGGGGAACTGTAGCTGATCTCAGCTCTGTGTATTGTACAGCAGCCTGCATGGCCAGGGTGACCAGATTTTGGAAATAAAAAACCGGGACACCTGCTAAGCCTGGCTAGAACACTCCTGTACAAGACCTTTAGCTTGAGAATGATAGGGGTGGTGGAGACCAGGCCTGTCCTCCAGTTTACGGCACTCACGACCACTGGAGTCTTTTCACACTTCTCTGCGATCTGCTCCACGAATGAACCCAAATAAACCCAAACCTGCAACCTATTAAAACCCCAGCACCACCCGCAGGCCCGCCTTCAATTGGCTGCCATAAATCCGCTCTGTGCCGTCAGCTGGAACGTATCCATGCGTTACACGCCTTTCTCCTCTGTGACAAACACCTCCGACTCTCCCTATTGGTCACGAAGGCTCAGCAGTCTGTCTCCATCTGAGTATAAGAAACTACGCAAGAGATCAGTTATAGAGTGCTTTTAACTGGCTCCAACAAGGCTTCTGCACTGGATCTTTTCTGGCACTGGCTGCCCTTCAGAGGAAAATCGGAACATCTATGCATCCCGAGAAAGTTTCTCTGGATGCTGGGACAAACTGCTGAAAACCGAGACTATCCCAGTAAAACCGGGACGTCTGGTCAAGCTGTGCATGGCTCAATCTATACACTGCCCCGGAGTAGAAGTTGGGGGATGAATAGTTGGAAAGTACTCTTGGTACATATGAGGCCGGATTAGCAGACTTGAGTAGACTTGAGAATGATCAGCTGGCACTCTCAGCCAATGAGCTGGCCCTGCAGTGCAGAGCATAACGTCTGACTGAAGAGAGCCGAGGAGCGGCGCCCGGCACAGGCCAGGTTAGAAGTCAAACCATTAGCAAATGGTTTGATTACTAACATGGGCATTCCTGGCACCATAACCACTACAGTGCGCTATGGAGGTTATGGTGAGCTTTCCTTTAATGATTCAGATAAATGTTACACTTATTTTATTATTTTTCACTCAGCAGTTTGGGGGTCAAAGCATGTTGTGTCACCATATTGTCTTTAGAAACCTGGGGTTACATGATAAAGAAGAATAGACTTGTCTATTTATAAATTCTATATATACTGTGGACCTAAAACATGATCCAAAATGAATACTTGCTAGAATTCATTCTCCCGCCTTAGGTCTATATTATATATTATTTACAGATTGTCCCTGGCTGTACCGCATGCATTGACCCGGCTAGCTTCTGAACTCTAGAACTCTGGGGTTTATTGACTGAACTCTGAGTTGTAGCAAATTCAACTCTAAATGGCAAAACTGAGGCTAATATTGGCAAGCTGTCTCTGAATTGGAGAATTTATCCAAATTGGCTATTTTAACCTAAATTTGCCATTAGGATTTTAAAACATGCTACAATCTGGAGTTTAGTGAATAGACCCTGTGGATTGTCCTGATGTGTCCTGATACAGGCCTCCATTTAATATGTTTGGATAAGCTTGTCCAATGTTAGAAAAAAAAAACATTTCCGACTTTAATGGTATCTTCTTTAGATAAATGATTTGAAACGTTTTTATAACAGATTGTTATCATTTGAAAATCATATCCAAAAATATTAAATCGTGACCGTAGTTAGATACAAAAACACATCTTTTCCCCAGACGTACAAACAGGATGCAGCCGCTCACAGAGGCTTAAAGAGGAAGCCCCTTCACACTCCGCTTACTCGCCCCTTTGTCATATCGAGAAGAGACAGAATGGAGTTAAACTGGAGCCGGTCCAAGAGGTTTATTCATTAAACACAGTATTGTACCGAAATGAAATCTAAATGAAAGTCTAATATTATCCAACTAACAACGTGGATATTTTACCTTAAATTTTGCAGTTTGGTTTTTAGTTGACTACAATTCAGTGTTCAGCAGATAACCTCCTAATATATCAAATGTAATTAGCTGATGAACAACATAAAACTCACTAACAGTGTATTAACTATGTAAGCATTTCACCCAAGGACACTAACCTGTCTGACACTAAATTTCTCAGAGGCCACCAAACTGTCTATAGCTAATCTATACGTAGGCCACCAAACAATGTTTCTAGACCATTTTCTGCTACTAAACTGTCTACAGGCCACCAATCTGTTTTTATCCCCACTCTTTGCCACAAAACTGTCTCGGGGGCTCCGATGTCTCTGCAGGCTTTCAAACTATTTCATATCTCCCAACATTTGAAATGAACAAAGGGAACATTTTAATTAGCTGTATATGTAGGAATGTGGCCAGGGGCAGAGCTATTCTGAGTAATTGTAGGTGACTTACTAATAACTTATAAAACTAAAATGTAATTTATAACCAGAACAATGTATCTTATTTAAACAGACTGATTTATAAACACATTTATTGTAGTTTAAAAACACATTACTGGGAGTATTATTGCTGTGGAGCTCTGTTATACACTCAGACACATTGCTGGGAGTATTATTGCTGTGGAGCTCTGTGATACACCCAGACACATTACTGGGAGTATTATCGCTGTGGAACTCTGTTATACACTCAGACACATTACTGGGAGTATTATCGCTGTGGAACTCTGTTATACACTCAGACATTACTGGGAGTATTATTGCTGTGGAGCTCTGTTATACACTCAGACACATAACTGGGAGTATTATTGCTGTGGAGCTCTGTTATACACTCAGACACATTACTGGGAGTATTATTGCTGTGGAGCTCTGTTATACACTCAGACACATTACTGGGAGTATTATTGCTGTGGAGCTCTGTTATACACTCAGACACATTACTGGGAGTATTATTGCTGTGGAGCTCTGTTATACACTCAGACACATTACTGGGAGTATTATTGCTGTGGAGCTCTGTTATACACTCAGACACATTACTGGGAGTATTATTGCTGTGGAGCTCTGTTATACACTCAGACACATTACTGGGAGTATTATTGCTGTGGAGCTCTGTTATACACTCAGACACATTACTGGAGTGTTATTGCTGTGGAGCTCTGTTATACATGACACATTACTGGGAGTATTATTGTTGTGGAGCTCTGTTATACACTCAGACACATTACTGGGAGTATTATTGCTGTGGAGCTCTGTTATACACTCAGACACATTGCTGGGAGTATTATTGCTGTGGAGCTCTGTTATACAATCAGACACACCAACAATATGGAGCTCCTAGAAAAGAGGGACCAAAGGAATGGACAAAATAGGGACTGCCCATCCTAAATAGGGACACTTGGGGGGTGTGCTATCAGATCACTTCTCTTGCTGACACTGTATTTTTAGTCTGATTTGGCAACCACCAGTAAACTTGCTGACAATCAGTAAATGATTGAAAATCTGTTTGGGTCAGTCAAAAACCTTTAGCAGTAAAAAATGACTTGAATATTGCTGAGTTTATTCCCAAAGCTCATTAATGAGCTAGCTATAAATGAAGCATGTACTGCATAGATCAATGTAATACGTATTATTTATCCAGCCCCAGAAAGCTGTGTAAAGAGGGGTAACCGGAGTAAGGAAGGAGGTTTAATACACTGAGGCACAGGGTCCCCTCATCTCCGTAAAGGGGTTTAATCACTAAACAATGGTTTGCAATGAATCAACAAATTATTGAAAAGGCTACAGAGTAACAGAGAAACTGAAAACAAGTCGATAGGGTGGCTAAGCATCATGGATAATGTAGTCCATAACAGGTGAAGTCCCAAACCGTAGTTATGCCTGAGATACGGAGCCTTGACTCTCATCACACGTGAAAGGAGGACCGTTATTTCTGTGGAAATAACAACATTGACTAAAGCCGTGAAATTCTAAGCTTTCCTCTTTCTCTGTCCTGGGCTGACCACATAAGCCCTCGTACGGTAATACGGACACTAAAACAAAACATATTTTATAAGAAACTGTCCAGAAATATAAAACAGGAAACCTACATTTTTAAGACAACTGAAATAGACAAGTATTCTGTATTAGAGAACTGTGTTTTAGAAATGTATTTCAAATTTTACGCTGAAATAGCCTGACTGTGAGATCTCCTTTGGGAGTTATTTACCAAACTCGGAAATTTAGTGAATTACAATCTGAATGGCGGATTTAAATGCTAAGGACGATGATCTGAAAAAATTCTCCGATTCAGTTGGCTGTTTAAATCGACTAAGATTCCAAGTTTTGTGAATAAACCAAATATTATTCACAATTTCACAGCTATTCACTAACTTGGGAAATGTTGGAAAGTCAAAGTAAATTTAAAATTTTGGGCCAAAATTCTAACTGGAAAATGTATAACATACCAGACTCCGAGAGGTTTTTACAGCTTGTTTATTGTATTAATTTGGCCACAATGTTAGATTGATTTTTAATTCATAACAATTCAAGGTTTTCGTGAATAACCTGTAAATTCCCAATGTAATTATTGGGTCAGAATCGTCACCCCAATGTACTTTCCCCAAATTTGGGGCCCAGTTTTTTTTTTTTTTTACCCCAGTAACACATTGTATAATATGCAGTGATGATATCACAGTGTTACATGCTGGATCTCACAGTAAATATAAATCTAAAACATGATGATAGCTCGGTTTCCTGTTTCGGAGTCAGTTCTCTTTCTTGGTTCCGTATAAGGCTGATATGTGGGGATTGTAGAGTATAAGTGTTGGGGGGGGGGAGTTACATTCAGAGATGTGAACCCTCCCTTTACTAAACACCCACTCAGCAGCTGCACTCAGATGAGTGTGTCCCAGGGGAGTTGGTTCTGAGAAGTGAACAGTCCAGTGAGTCTGATGAATCGTGTGGCCCTGGGGCTCACTCTGTGCCTGTGCATGGGATGATGCTTCTTAATCTCCTTCTATGCTGCTGTTTGACCATCGCTGCCCAGGAATCCCAGGGCCAGACGGACATCGCTGTACCTGTCACAGGTAAGAGGAATGGAATTCTATTGTGTTCCACTGACTGCCAGTATACCCCGTACTGTGCTTTCCTGCCCACTGACTGCCAGTATACCCCGTACTATACTTCCATGTCTACCGACTGCCAGTATACCCTGCGCTGTGCTTCCATATCTACTAACTGCCAGTATACCCTGCACTGTGCTTTCCTGCCCACTGACTGCCAGTATACCCCGTACTGTGCTTTCCTGCCCACTAACTGCCAGTATACCCCGTACTGTGCTTCCATGTCTACCGACTGCCAGTATACCCCGTACTGTGCTTTCCTGCCCACTAACTGCCAGTATACCCCGTACAGTGCTTCCATGTCTACTAACTGCCAGTATACCCTGTCTGTGCTTTCCTGCCCACTAACTGCCAGTATACCCCGTACTGTGCTTCCATGTCTACCGACTGCCAGTATACCCTGCGCTGTGCTTCCATATCCACTAACTGCCAGTATACCCTGCTCTGTGCTTTCCTGCCCACTGACTGCCAGTATACCACGTACTGTGCTTTCCTGTCTACCGACTGCCAGTATACCCTGCGCTGTGCTTCCATATCCACTAACTGCCAGTATACCCTGCTCTGTGCTTTCCTGCCCACTGACTGCCAGTATACCACGTACTGTGCTTTCCTGTCTACCGACTGCCAGTATACCCTGCGCTGTGCTTCCATATCCACTAACTGCCAGTATACCCTGCTCTGTGCTTTCCTGCCCACTGACTGCCAGTATACCACGTACTGTGCTTTCCTGTCTACCGACTGCCAGTATACCCTGCGCTGTGCTTCCATATCTACTAACTGCCAGTATACCCCGTACTGTGCTTTCCTGCCCACTGACTGCCAGTATACCCCACACTGTGCTTCCATGTCTACCGACTGCCAGTATACCCCGTACTGTGCTTCCTTGCACACTGACTGCCAGTATTCACTGCAATATACTTCTTGCCCATCTAGTGCCACTCTGCAATGTGCTTATCTGCTCACTGACTGCCAGGATACTTTACATTGACGGTCACCGTGCCTTAAATTTGAAATTTTTATTCCCAACAATTTCCACTTTATTGAATAACTCAGTAATTATTATGATATGTACTGACTTTATAGCACCATGCTGCCTATTGTCTCTCTTACTGCGCAGGCTTGGAATCAGCATTAGAGAACACTTTGTGACAAGGTACACGATCATCTGAAAAACTGTTAGACGGTATCCACAAATGACGTGATACACTAACATAGAAATCTTAATAAAGAAAGCATTCGTCACACCATCAGATTGTACCTTTAAAGGGGCAGTCTATGCACCATAACCACTACAGCTCATTGTCAGGTGTCTTCGCATGCCATCCCTCAATATTCTATCTAACGGTTTGTGAGTTCTTTGACAAAAACAGCCCTTTGTATTTTGATGTTGGGATATTAGCAGAACGCATGTATGTCATAGGCTCTCCATTTTGCTCCAGGTAATGCCTTTTTATCGTGTGGCTACTTTCTCTCGACACCTCACAATTTAAAGTGGAAAATGGAAGCCAGTAATAAGACGTGGGCTTCGCTGAAGATAAGGTCATGGATTTACGGCATAGACTTTCCTGCTTTGACTCTGCTGATCTTTAGGAATAAGACCCTAGGGGATCGTGGGAATTATTCATGTAAGGTGGATCATCGAAATGCGAATGTCAGCAGAGGTATGTCCTGTTTGTCTCAGCGGGCACGTGGATTATATTAAAGCAAGACCATGTATTATCGTGATAAAAAAAAAAAAAATACAATGAAACAGGACCACGGTTTATAATCATTTTGACATAGACCTAAATTATAAAGGTATTAGCTTGGAAACCTGGTTATTAAATTGTATTATGATATATATTAAAATCTCCTTAAGAAGACACTTACATGGTTATTCACTAAATTGTGAATTATTTTGTTTTCAAAGAGAATTTAAAGTGAAACCATAGCTGACTAGGCTTAATCTTTCCAATTTGTCTTATCTGGTCTAAAATATTTATTTTTGAATTCTCTTTGAATTCCAAACAATTCACACTGTAGTAAATAGCCCTATTAACATGCCTGTTGATTGCGGTGGGAACTGGAAGCTGCCCAGAATCAGATGAATATGTTGGGGCCTACTGAAAATAGCACAGGGACATCATCTGGGCCTCAACAACCAATGTTCTAGATCGACGCATGAAGCGGAACATGTGTTCCTTTAACTCCAGCCTATTTATATTGTCTAGATTGGACGTTCACCATTCATAGATTGTTTGGAGGACAGTGCCGTGTCATAAGTTAGTGTTTGTTTTACCCAACATATATTGATAGTGATACAAAAAGTTAATCAAACAACAGTAGACTTTTCTTGATGGTGTAAGTGTCTTCCCTACGTGGCTACAATTACAGCTGTGTGTTTATCCCAGCATTGCACATTCGCAATTTTTGACCATTTGTCTTGGCAGAATTGGCCAAGCTCTGTTGCAAACAGCTATTCTCATGTCTTTCGTCAGTCTGGACTTTACGTGAGGCATTCCGAGATCTTCAGGTTCATTATCACTCCTATTGATCCAGAAATATTTTTCCCAAATCCGCTATTTTTGAGTAAATTTTACCATTATAATTTGCTGGCAGATGTTTGAGTTGGAGAAGATCGAATGGACTTCCTATTAGTGTTTGTTGTTCAGGTCTTGTTAGGGGCACTTAATAACCTGATATTCTGAGATGCTGTTAATACAGTTATGTGACTAGGAATTAAGCCTTTACCCACGTGTCTCTCTGTATTCAGACAATGACAGCATGCACTGTGAAGCCCCCCAGGACTGGTCCAGTCTGTCGTGGTCTTGTGACAATGAGGTCATTCTGATGGCTGAGAGGGGGAGCAGCCGACTTGACATGAAGCTAAAGACAAATGAGACTTACCTTGTAATAACCTCTGTCACCCCCGAAGACACCGGGACTTACCTCTGCTCTATAATGGGGAGTCAAATCAGCGTTCGGCTCAACGCCACGCAGGCCTCAGGTAATATAACAGGAAATCACTCTGTATTACGTACAAAACCACACTTTGTATTACATTAACACAGTTATTCTCTATGTTACACACAGACACACTTTATATTACACACACGGCGCATTCTATATAACACACACAGAGCATTCTATATAACACACACAGCGCACTCTATATATTACACACACATCGCACTCTATATATTACACACACCGCGCACTCTATATATTACACACAGTCACACTCTATATTACACACGGCCACACTTTATATTACACACACGGCGCATTCTATATTACACAGTCACACCCTATATAACACACACAGCGCACTCTATATATTACACACACAGCGCACTCTATATATTACACACACAGAGCACTCTATATTACACACAGTCACACTCTATATTACACACGGCCACACTTTATATTACACACACGGCGCATTCTATATTACAGAGTCACACCCTATATTACACACAGTCACACTCTATATATTACACACACAGAGCACTCTATATATTACACACACAGAGCATTCTATATTACGCACAGTCACACTCTATATTACACACAGTCACACTCTATATATTACACACACAGAGCACTCTATATATTACACACACAGAACATTCTATATTACGCACAGTCACACTCTATATTACACACAGTCACACCCTATACTGCACTTGCAGTACACTTTATATTACACACAGTACACTCTATATTACACACACATCCTGCACTCCTGTGATAGCAGCCGCATTATGGCGTCATTCATAACAGCGACATTTTTATCACTGCTGCTAGGGTATGTCTGCTGAGACTATACTAAAGGTTAGATATAGGGTGCAGAGGGTCTGTGTAAGTGTGCCCCTTCATTCCCTCAGTATCAGGTTTCTGTGGAATGTAACTCTATTCAGTCTTCTGGTTGAGAGTCATCGGAGATAGAGTCCAATGTACAGCATCCATGCTAGGGAATGATCGGCTGTGGTACCCCCACACAATGTGGGGTACACCACGCTTTAATGCCATTATTACGACAGGAGCTGTTATTACGTTATCTAATAATGATTGAGGCACCACGGCTACATCTCCGTAATGATCCATTGTTTTTATAACACACTGTCTTGGAGGTGCTATTTTAATATCGATATTAATGGCGCACAGTCTGGCATTCACAAATGGCAAACTCAGTCCTCCATAAAGTGTTATTCTGGCTGGGGCATTGCTACGTTCCTGGGGCTTTAGCCCATGCAATAACATCTCCCTAAATCTGCATCCCAGGCCAATCCCCAACAAAATCCTTTACCTGTGCAGTCCTATATCCCTCATCCGCAATCCTGTTATTTTATTGTCTTATGTCTCTCCCCATCTTCCTGACACCCCCGGCCCCCTACTCAGCTCCCTTGTATCTGTCTCCCCATTTGAACTATTTCCTTGTCTCCTCCATGTCCTACCACTTATTACTCTAGTAGTATGCTGCTTTGACCAGCTGCTGCCTGGTTAAAATGACAAAAACTACATGATGCATGAAGTTATCCAGACCGAATCACATATCTGGGGCTTTAGTCCGTATAGCCCTCCCAAACTAACCTATGTATTCTGGCTGGCGCCCTAGTTTGCTTACTAAACACACACCTTCTCTCCTGTGTCTCCTGACAGGTTTTGAGATATTTCTGAACAACAAATATTGGATTATCGTGGTTTCTGTTCTGGGTTACCTAGGACTTGGCATCGTCGTGATGAGCATCTACATGTGCGAGAGGCGCAGTGCGTGTATACATTGTGGCTAAATGTTCTGTGTTTGACGTGGTGTCTGTCAGCGTATTTAGCTTATTTCTGTGTCACGTGTTGTATTTTGTTCTTTAGCTGTTACTTGGTAGTGGACCACTATAAGATATGGCTGTGGAAGGCGTTTCGAATTGGTGGCCAAGTATACAGTACGCGTTTATCCTCCGGCTAGTTCCTTTTCTTGCTGCATTTAGCTATGAACTTTGCAGTCACTTTTCAAATCTGATATACAATGGAAAGTATGGGATAGTATGCAGTCAGACTGGTCAGACAATGTTCCACCAACCTGTGGTTTTCCGCCCAGTCTCAATCTGAATGACTTGTTTTGTTTATTTTTGCGTTTGTATTTGTCTTTTTGTGTGTTAGGTGTGTGCACTATGCAGTATGTTTACTTAAAGCAAGACCATTGCCAGTCTGCTATAATTATGGATCATTCCACTATACATTTAAACCAGGGAGGACATTGCTAGGTTCCAAAAAAGGTAAACTGCACTAACAGAGAGGTAGAGCTACATTATGACGTGTCTCCATCGCCACTTAACCCAATTACTAAAGGGGTGTGCAGCCCCATCCCTTCTGTTCAAAGAACGACCCGATTTATATTTATTTTTATAATGGATCTTGGCTATGAGATGCATCTGCCTGATGTAAAATTATTATTATCCTGCTCCCTTCACCATCTGTAGAGATCCGGAGCTAAAGATACCCACACCTGGGACTTCATCAGCCCCTAAAGCCCCCCTAGCCGTTCATGTGGTGCTGGGGATGAGGCGGTTGATCAATTAATTAATGTAGTCCCAAAAGATGAATTGAATGTCTCCAGTCCAAGCAGTGTTGTATCTTTTGATGACCCAAAAAAAAAAAAAAAATGCAAAAGCTGCATTTGTGTGTGTTTTCTTTTGTCGGTGTCTTATATGTTTATTATTGTCCGTATAAAGCTGTGTTTCTGCATATTTTATCCACGTTCGTCTTGGTGCGCACTACTGTATCTCCAATATATTTTTCTTTTTTGTTCATGTTTTAGAGAGGAGATCACAGAAGAACCAGAAAGCCAGGTAATCAGTGCTACATTTGATGCTTACATCGATTTATAATTGGGGGGAGGAGGTTGGGGCAAGAATGGCCTATCAGACTGGTATCCCCAAATTGAGAGCGGTTCCCAAGTACCCCTTATTTTATAATTAGACTTCCTCACATTATGTACCAATGGACTGCCCATCATGTGAGTGAATTTGGCAGACCATACTACTGAGTGTGCCCTGGACCACCCCAGCTCCCTCACGTAACACTGCTCAGTTTGTTTCCTTCTATCCTGCACCTACATTCTCACTTTTTTGGCCTGAGCACTCTACTTTTTTTTTCTTCAGAAATAACAAATATAAATAAAAGCAAGTGGCAGTGGGAGAGTATAATTATAATCACTGATAATCAGGGGGCATCAGGAAAGGAAAACCAAAGGAAAAAAACAAAAACAACAGGTACACTTTAACGTGTGGATTGTTTATTGCCCACCCTAATTCTAAATAAGCCCCATTCTGTTTTTCCATTCTACAGATTCTATAAGGCCAGCAGCGCTACAAGGAATCTATATATGGACAGCCCAAACAATTCGCAAGGTAAGTGTGGTACGCGCCGGCCCCTTATATACATGGTAGGTAGGCCAAATTATAGGGACTTATTTACAAACAAATGCAAGCCAGGGAAAGGGCTAGATATCTACGATTCCTTTCTAAATCTCGGCAATGACACCGCTGTATGCTGGTCTTCAGTTGCAGGCAGGAGAAGCCGCCAGGGCAGCGTCAATGAGATGCCATCATGCAACAAGTTGCCTCTTCTCATCTGCCAATGCCACTTAAGGCTGATAGGTTAACGAGGTGGGCACAATCTGACTGAAGCTCTGCCTTTTGTTGTACTTTGCGAAAAACTTGCAGATGTGGCACAAGGGTCCATGGTTCGTGAATTTAGTAAAACATACCATTTATTAAAGTTGTAAAAAAAAGAAAAATAGGGACATAGCAGCATAAATCAAAAGCGTTTCTCCCAGGGTAATCCCAGCGTTTCTCCCAGGGTAATCACCTAACGCATTTCGTGCTGCATTAGGCAATAGAATTAAGTGCCATGCCGCGCAAAGCGCCTTTGCTGACTACCCTGGAAGAAACCCTATTTATGCTGCTATGTCCCTATTTGTATTTTTGTATCTTTTATGCATAGGACACAGGAGTTCTTTTTTTGTGCAAGGACATAGTTTGATGTTATAAATCCATGCCGTGTCTTTTGTAGCCATATTGCAGTTACCGTGTATGTATGTTCCAAACAGATGCTGACGTGAAGCCAGCAGACACCATGTATCTGAATTTTACTGAACTTTCCGTGAAGGAGATTAAGAAAGATCGAAACTCAGCTGCAAGTTCTTTCTTGGATCCATCTGTGGGTGAGTATTTTCAGGGAGGGAATTTGAAAAAAACCTAAATTACTATGAATGAATGCAGGCAGGGAGGGAGGGATAAGAGATGTAGGTGTACCCTTGCAGTATATTACTTCTGTTACAAGGGCGCTGTGTGAGCTGACAGCAGATGCCATTTTTGAACAGAATTGAAGTCACGTGTGCTGGGGGTGCATCTAGTCCTGGCACAAAAGTGCAGATTATTCTGTATGCATAGTGATTTCAGCTAAAACGCTGCACATACAAACCCGTACCACAATGACCACTTATGAAAGTAGAAGTGGTCATGGTGGTTGGACTAACTCTTTGATAAGGCTGATGAACTATAACACCAATATACAAACATGCACTTAATCCACACAATGTGGGTAAGTGCCAATCTGGAAATGAGATAAGTATTCTATCAAATATAGTAAATACTCAATATATATAAATAAATATAGGGGTTTTCAATCACAATTTTTCCCCACCATAACCTAATTGGATTTTGCTTCCCAAGCACTACCAAGCCTCAATACCAAACCAGTAACCAACCTCATGCTGAAGAGTTGCATTAACAACGAAACAGCTGTCCATGAGTGGTTCACTGGTTTTGCATCTTATCCTAAGTTGTGTTCCAAGCAGCTGTATACTGCAAACACAGATTAAAAGGAATCCATGTTTAAAATGGAATGAGGCAAAAATGTGATTCTTTGTTAAACTAATTTGCATATGCCCACCCAGAATCCTTTGCGGTTGTAACATCACTGCAGATTTGGGATTTCTGTGGGAAAAGCAAGTCTTATGGCTTGACTGGTGTGCAGATTTTTGTTTAACATTGTATTAACTAAATAAATATATATATATATATATATATATAATAAAGAGCAGATAAAGGGAACACACTAGGTCTTCAATTCAGTGAGATAAAGTTATTTAATGTATTATCAAAAATACGCGGTGAGTAACAAAAAAAATCGACGTTTCGACCATCCTGGGGTCTTTATCAAGTCTTTAAGTGCCGATATCTGCAAAAGTGCAGATAATTCTGTATGCATAGTGATTCTAGCTGCACATACAAACTCGTACCACAACTACCACGTCTGAAAGTAGAAGTGGTCCAAGTGGTTGGTCTAACTGTTTGATAAGGCTGACGAACTATAATAGTTTTCAAAGGCCCATTTTACCATTTTTTTCAAATAATCCCAATACTTTATGAAGTGTGCATCCAATATTCATATATTCTCCTGATAATATTTTTTACGTCTTTTGTGAAACAAAGCTTGTTTACAAAGCTTTTATCTATGGTAAGTTTATCTAATATGCTTGGTAAAGCTCTAACCAAAGCTCTCCTCTAAACTGAAGGTTCTCCTCTACAGCCAGTTAAAATGCTGGAAGGTCTGTAGCCTAGCCCGCTGTTACCGGTAGTATTAGGGTTATTCAGGAAAGTAAGAATCCAAAGTGAATTCAAGGCGAATTTCAAATTTAAGTCCGTAGTAGCTGGAAGCATAGCTGACTTTGTCCAGTTTGGCTTTTTTGACCAAGGCTACCACTTAAGGGGTACAAATTGTATGGGGCTCCGGCTGCCCGGGGGCCTACACTCCTACTGTGCATATATATACACTGCTCGAAAAAATAAAGGGAACACTTAAACAACACAATGTAACTCCAAGTCAGTCACACTTCTGTGAAATCAAACTGTCCACTTAGGAAGCAACACTGAGTGACAATCAATTGACAGGTGGAAATTGTAGGCAATTAGCAAGACACCCCCAATAAAGGAGTGGTTCTGCAGGTGGTAACCACAGACCACTTCTTAGTTCCTATGCTTCCTGGCTGATGTTCTGGTCACTTTTGAATGCTGATGGTGCTTTCACTCTAGTGGTAGCATGAGACGGTGTCTACAACCCACTCAAGTGGCTCAGGTAGTACAGCTCATCCAGGATGGCACATCAATGCGAGCTGTGGCAAGAAGGTTTGCTGTGTCTGTTAGCGTAGTGTCCAGAGCATGGAGGCGCTACCAGGAGACAGGCCAGCACATCAGGAGACGCGGAGGAGGCCGTAGGAGGGCAACAACCCAGCAGCAGGACTGCTACCTCCGTCTTTGTGCAAGGAGGAACAGGAGGAGCACTGCCAGAGCCCTGCAAAATGACCTCCAGCAGGCCACAAATGTGCATGTGTCTGCTCAAACGGTCAGAAACAGACCCATGAGGGTGGTATGAGGGCCCAGCGTCCACAGGTAGGGGTTGTGCTTACAACCCAACACTGTGCAGGACGTTTGGCATTTGCCAGAACACCAAGATTGGCAAATTCGCCACTGGCGCCCTGTGCTCTTCACAGATGAAAGCAGGTTTACACTGAGCACATGTGACAGACGTGACAGAGTCTGGAGACACCGTGGAGAATGTTTTGCTGCCTGCAACATCCTCCAGCATGACCGGTTTGGCAGTGGGTCAGTAATGGTGTGGGGTGGCATTTCTTTGGGCTGCCGCACAGCCCTCCATGTGCTCGCCAGAGGTAGCCTGGTATGGAGATGAGATCCTCAGACCCCTTTAAGACCATATGCTGGTGCGGTTGGCCCTGGGTTCCTCCTAATGCAAGACAATGCTAGACCTCATGTGGCTGGAGTGTGTCAGCAGTTCCTGCAAGATGAAGGCATTGATGCTATGGACTGGCCTGCACATTCCCCAGACCTGAATCCAATTGAGCATATCAGACTGTCCAGGAGTTGGCAGATGCTTTAGTCCAGGTCTGGGAGGAGATCCCTCAGGAGATCATCCGCCACCTCATCAGGAGCATGCACAGGCGTTGTATGGAGGTCATACAGGCACGTGGAGGCCACACACACTACTGAGGCTCATTTTGACTTGTTTTAAGGACATTACATCAAAGTTGGATCAGCCTGTAGTGTGTTTTTCCACTTTAATTTTGAGTGTGACTCCAAATCCAGACATCCATGGGTTGAAAAATTTGATTTCCATTTTTTTAATTTTTGTGTGATTTTTTTTGTCAGCAAATTCAACTATGTAAAGAACAAAGTATTTCAGAAGAATATTTCATTCATTCAGATCTAGGATGTGTTATTTTTGTGTTCCCTTTATTTTTTTGAGCAGTGTAGATATAGCGAGTGCCACTATATATCCCCCAGGTCACTATTATCTCGCTCTTGCATAACAAAGAGGGGGCCCAGGAGACTACAGCATAGTAGGCCGTCAGAGCGTTGCCGCTGGGTACTCCGATGTGATGAACATGCCAAAGCTCACGAAAGAGGGTGAGGACCTGCTGCCTGCTGGGGGAGGGGGAAAGAACATATTATCAATAATTATATAATAATAAAACAATCTCACCCCCACAGCCCCTATTCTACCCTACAAATTTTCACATCCACTATACATACACTGCATCTATTATACACACACTGCACTCACTATACACACACTGCATCCATTATACACACACTGCACTCACTATACACACACTGCATCCATTATACACACATTGCATCCACTATGCACTCACTATATCCACTGTGCACACACTGCATCCATTATACACACACTGCATCAACTATACATACTGCAACATGATACACACACTGCATCCACTATACACACACTGCATCCACTATACACATACTGCATCCTTTATACACACACTGCATCTCTTACACACACGTACACTGCATCTTTGTGGATGAATGTAGGTGTGGGACCTGCGGGCGGACTCGAGGGCAGATCCCGGGGGGCTCAGACATTGAAATTTATAATTGTAGTAATTCAAAAACGGGGGATACCGCACTCACACTTAGGAATCCAAGTGCTTATCAGGGTCAGGGTTGGCAAAACCCAGATCAGTAGATAAAATAAATTAGGTCGAGGCAGTCAGGATTGCTGCAGGAAGGCAGGTTTATTGAACAAAGAGTGCAAAGTTTCAGAGTGCAGAGGCCTTTATCAAGCGTGACAAAGGCCTCTGTGTAGGCAGAAACTTTGCACTCTTTTTTTTCTAATAAACCTGCCTTCTTGCAGCAATCCTGAGTGCCTGGACCTAATTTATTTTATTAAAATTTATAATGGCAGCCCTGATTTTGACCTTAAATTTGAAATTCACTTTGATCTCTCACTTTAGTGAATATCTCTGAATGGGGTTTATGGACATAAATTGTTGCTTTCACATTCATGTTTGTACCCGTTTTATGCATGTTCACCATATTCTTTATATAAATATATAAACCTACACATTATATAATTAACAAACATGTCAATTGAATGACATGATACCCTGCTTGAGAATAATGAATTCTATTCTTCCTGCTAACGTGTATCGCTTTATAGTAATAGGTAGACTTTGATTGCTAGAGGCTAGACCAACGATTTGTTAGCTGCAAGGTCGGAACCCAAAGTCCCCATTTTAGTTTTGACTTTACAGAAATGTCCCCATTATTTCCTATTTTCGGCCCACATCCCTCTGTCCTATCCTAATGTCCCTAGGACATTATGAAATTTCTCAGAAGAGCCTGCCCCTGGCCATAACTCACAACCCTAAAATGAAAGGGTCCCTCTTTATCTACGTAAATTGAGGGGAGATATGATATCGCATTCACATGCAGTAGAATGGTTACTGTACCCACAATGCAACCCTGCAATGATAGAAAGCCCCTTGTCACAATTGAGTTATACGATCTGGTTAAATATAACATGACAGATGAAGGCTAGGTAACTGAGGTAATTTTAACATTAAAGGATGGATCACTATTCTAATGGAATTTACATTATTTAGGTCCCTGCTTTAAAATGTTACTAATTATTTAGCTGAAGAGTTAACATATACATCTTACATAGGAGAAAGCTCGTCAGCTACTGGCAGCCACACAAAGTGTACACCATCTAAGTGGAAACAAAATTAAACATGAACACAACAAAAACACTCAAACAGTAAAAACAGTAAAAATCATAACAAACACAGGAAGCGCACATACAATACCAAATACACAAAAAGCTACTAACTCTGACATTTTCTGATACCTCCCTCTCCCCTCTCCCCTCCACCCCCATTCCAATCTGCTCCCATTTTACTTCACCATAGGACCACTCAATCATCTTATAAAAGTCGATAAACATGTAATTTTGTAATGTAGCTAAGGTGATTATACCGCTTTACTGAAAACAAACAAATCCTCTTCTATGCTATGGTTTCAAATTCAATGCATGGAGGAGATGATATTCGGCTCCTCGTGACGCACTAAACCCTATCTAGCCATTTAGACTCTGTGGCTACTCCCAGTGGAGTCCAAAGACTTCAAGTCATTGTTGCAACAGCACTTTAGCTATTCCACTTTCCACGCACACATATTTGCTCATGTGGTGCCCCAGGAGACTGTGGGAGAGAAACCCCTGGGAACCAGTTGTTATCCTGAGGTTTTGCTGCCCAATTCTCCAACTGCCCAGCGTGATAAGGTACTTGCTCAATGACTTGATTTTTTACACCCTTGTAATCCTTTCAATGTACCAAAGAATACATTTGGATATTTCAATTCCAGGGTCGATGTTTTTTTTTTTTTTAAATTCATTTATGTTTAGTATGTTAACATTGTGTCAGGTTTACTTTTGCCTTTGTAGACAGTCTTTCCATGTTCCCTTTACTGCTGTATTGACTCTCGATGTGGATCTGTTTTTTATATTGAGACTGATAGTTTAAAAAAAAAAAAAAAAAAGCTTAATAAAATTTTATTTAGAAAAAATAATGGAAGAAACATTGGAAAGCACACACATAGTAACAAACACAAATACAGGCCGGTATTTCTCGCACTGACTGAGTTTTGCTTCCAGTAATTATATTGTTTTCAATTCCTCTTCTGTTATCCATCATGTTTTTTTGACAGTCACGCTTCAGAAACACAACGTTTGTGGTTTTAGGGCAAAAAACATATATAGAGTGTAAGAAATGGTGCTGTCCCTTATTCCTATGTGGAGCTTATTATTCTAATGAGCTGTTGTTAATACAACCATGTTACAGCACACAGGAATACTCAGGTCATCTATATTTAGAAATAACCCCTAAGAATACTGTGGCAAAGAACTCTCTGCACCGTGCAGGGTAAGGTAGAGCTCTGTTGTAGATAGCAGGGTAGTAACATCGGATTTACTTGATCAATACATGATAAGTTGGTCATTGCACTTGGCATTTTGATCTCATGGTCCTCTCAGTAGCCAGGATTCCCTATGTCGTTTGGGCACAGCAAGTTTAACCATTTCCTCATAGACCAGAAGTGTCAATGCACCCCACTTCCCAATAATTTATTACCAGTCTAGGATAAGATGATTATTATGGGAGTTGTAGGCCAGCGACATTTGGAGTTGATTTTGACGTGCCTGCCAGACTTCTATTCACCAAGCTGCCATTTATTCACTGAATTGCCATTACAAATGGTCAAGGCATTTTATGTTTTTACCCTTATGCAGTAAACAGTGGTGGATCATCTGTAGGGACACAGGGGCAGTGAGCCGTCATACGATGTCTGCAACATTTTTCCCAGAAAAAATAATAATTTTACCAGCTGTCAGTAGACTTAGACTGATATTATAGTGCCTTAAAAAGAGAACTAATTTTGTTACAAAAATCTGTGCTGTGCCTATTTTCAGTTTCCTTCCCTCCTCTTCTTTCTTAGCAGAACACAGACTGCTTACTGGTTAATAATGATTGGCAGCTAACAAGCAGGAGTGACTGCGGAGTTTGAGCTATTGGGCACGTCAGACTCCAGGGTTGGTTTAGAATAATGTCCAGTCTGAGTATAGACTGCATACACGCTCAGGTTTCTTCTCCAACTGATGTGTGATGTCAACCATTCACTTATGCTGGGGGAGAATGAAGCTTGGAGACCTGAGAAAGGACCGTGCCCAGTGCCGTTCTACCACATTTTTTCCTCCTATTTACATTAGAGTGACAATAGTTGCCACACACCCTCACATCCATACACATTAAAGAGTTCCCCGTACACTTCCTTCCTGGCTGGAGATGTGGAAACGTGGAAGGGAATGGTGGAAAATGCTGTGAAATATAATATGTGAAAAATGAGGGAGAGTTGAAGAAGAAAAAACTGCCAGGGATTGGGTAGATAAGGGTAAAAAGCTGAGCTGGGGATGGCAATATGAGCTTGGGAGACATGGGTGACTGTGCCAAAGGGCAGCACTTTGTGTCAAAAACATGATGGACCCGGCAAACCTACAACTAGGTCTGTGCAAGCATTTCTCTGTATTGGGATATCTCTGTATTAGCACTGGAGCTGCTGTTGTCCAGTCAGTCTCTTATTAAGACGTGCTGTTAATAAGTACAAGGAGTAGGCGCTGCACCAATCCTTGTACTTTCATCTGTTTGTGGATGGGACGATAGACCCCGGCTCCGGTGATTTAGCTGCCGTTTGGACTGTTCCAGTTATTGCTTAGCGCTGAATACCCTTGAGCTTTTTCGTGTTGTTAATAAGACTCAGGGTGAATGGGCACATCCTCAGAGTAAGGGGCATGGGTTATTACAAAGTGATAACATTGCAGATACCTTGTTTATATAATAGAACATCAAACCCTCCATTCAGGACAATAGCAGTGTTAACCCTGCTAGGGCCAGATAGATATGGATCTGTAAAATGTGAGATGGTTCTCCCACTTAGCGCTAGCAAGGTGGAATATTAATTGTATGAATCTAATTAACAATCTCTCCTTCCAGACGGAGATTCATATCTGGAACCGAACGATATTGAAGTGGATCACGTGTCGGAAGGTGAGAAGGAGACGAGGCTGGTATGGAAGCACATAATCAATAACAGGCTTATAGATAGGGTGGAGGGGTAATACAGAGCGAGAGAGGGATAATATAGAGTGTGAGAGGGTAATACAGAGCGAGAGAGGGATAATATAGAGTGGGAGAGGGTAATACAGAGCGAGAGAGGGGTAATACAGAGCGAGAGAGGGTAATACATAGTCAGAAAGGGTAATACAGAATGAGAAAGGGTAATACAGAGCGAGAGATGGGTAATATAGAGTGGGAGAGGGTAATACAGAGCGAGAGAGGGGTAATACAGAGCGAGAGAGGGTAATACAGAGTCAGAAAGGGTAATACAGAGTGAGAAAGGGTAATACAGAGCGAGAGATGGGTAATATAGAGTGGGAGAGGGTAATACAGAGCGAGAGAGGGGTAATACATAGCGAGAGAGGGTAATACAGAGTCAGAAAGGGTAATACAGAGTGAGAAAGGGTAATACAGAGCGAGAGATGGGTAATATAGAGTGGGAGAGGGTAATACAGAGCGAGAGAGGGGTAATATAGAGCAAGAGAGGGTAATACAGATTGAGAAAGGGTAATACAGAGCGAGAGAGGGGTAATATAGAGTGGGAGAGGGTAATATAGAGCGAGAGAGGGTAATACAGTGCGAGAGAGGGCTAATATAGAGCGAGAGAGGGTAATACAGAGCATGAGAGGGTAATGCAGAGCATGAGAGGGTAATACAGAGTGAGAAAGGGTAATACAGAGCGTGAGAGGGTAATACAGAGCGTGAGAGGGTAATACAGAGTGAGAAAGGGTAATACAGAGCGAGAGAGGGTAATATAGAGCGAGAGAGGGTAATACAGTGCATGAGAGGGTAATATAGAGTGGGAGAGGGTAATACAGAGTGAGAAAGGGTAATACAGAGTGAGAGAGGGGTAATACGGAGTAAGAGAGGGTAATACAGAGTGAGAGATGGGTAATACGGAGTAAGAGAGGGTAATACAGAGTGAGAAAGGAGTAATACAGAGTGAGAGAGGGTAATACGGAGTGAGAGAGGGTAATACAGATTGAGAGAGGGTAATACGCAGTGAGAAAGGGTAATACAGAGTAAGAGAGGGTAATACGGAGTGAGAGAGGGTAATACAGATTGAGAGAGGGTAATACGGAGTGAGAAAGGGTAATACAGAGTGAGAGAGGTTAATACAGAGTGAGAGAGGGTAATACAGAGTGAGAGAGGTTAATACAGAGTGATAGAGGGTAATACGGAGTGAGAGAGGAGCAATACAGAGTGAGAGAGGGTAATACGGAGTGAGAGAGGGGTAATACAGAGTAAAAGAGGGTAATACAGAGTGAGAGAGGTTAATACAGAGTGAGAGAGGGTAATACAGAGTGAGAGAGGTTAATGCAGAGTGATAGAGGGTAATACGGAGTGAGAGAGGAGTAATACAGAGTGAGAGAGGGGTAATACAGAGTAAAAGAGGGTAATACAGAGTGAGAGAGGTTAATACAGAGTGAGAGAAGGTAATACAGAGTGAGAGAGGTTAATACAGAGTGATAGAGGGTAATACGGAGTGAGAGAGGGGTAATATAGAGTGGGAGAGGGGTAATACAGAGTAAAAGAGGGTAATACAGAGTGAGAAAGGGGTAATATAGAGCGAGATGGAATACAGAATAATTGTTGAAATAACTGTACTTCAACTTATTTCAGAAGAAGAAGAGTATGAGAACGCAAAGGAAGAAATAAAAGACCCGTCGGATGGTAAGTGTAGAGAGCACTGAGATTTACTGTATTCACAGAGGCCGGAAGTTTATTTAATTACTCCACCAACACGCCAGATACTTACAGCAATGCTTCTCAACACCGACGTCAAAACTCACCAACATCCCATGCTTCAATAGAGATATCAATAAACCCGAACTAAGATACATTCATACACACTGCACATTACTGGGAGTTTTATTGCTGTGGAGCTACTTGATAGACTCACATGCAATAATCTCTCGTATGATGGAGATCAGCTGAAATGTCAAGGGTACATATCCCAGTCAGGCATTGCATTGTGGGTTGATGACATTCCGTTTAGAATTCTATGATCTCCAGAAACATGGAGGCAAACAGACTGATTGATTCACATTCCAGTTTATCACACAGGAACTCAGACTGACCTTTCATCCTCTCACAGGCTCCCAGTCATATGAGGATATGATGGGCTCCACCGGCATAAGGACAGAAGAGGAACAGATTCACACTGAGACTGAAGCTCAGGAAGAAGGTGAGACGGGGTTCCTTGTTCGACCTAATTCTGGCCAGGGGTGAATTATACAAAAAGTGTGACTGTGGGAACTCCAGGCATCAGTACAGCTTTCGGCATTTTATGGCTTTTGGCCCAAATAATTCCACGTATTTTATGCCAAATTCTGTATAGAGTTCCAAGAAACAAAATGATTGCAGCATTCTGTATGTTAACCCTAGGTATCACTGCTGGCCACACCTGGCCCTGTAGGTCATGAGATTAACAATAGCTCATTTTTAAATGATTTCAAAGGTTGGTATCATTTTATTTCATTTTAATGTTATTGTTTGTCATATTTTTCCAGCATTCTCTATACAATGCAATAGACATGGGGTCAGGTCTGGAACGTCGCTTTAAGATGGGATGTATATGGAGAAATGCATACTACAGGGCACTCATATCACTGGGTTTATGTGTTCTGAGTATTATCCATTAAAGTTGACCTCTAGACCTCTTTTGATGGAGGGTAAAGGATTTGATTAACGTAAAGTACATTTCTATTCCAGATGCTGATTCCTATGAGAACATGCAGGCTCCAGTGTATGCTCAGGCAAACCACTACACAGCCTCCCTTAACAAGGCAGAGGATCTGAGTCCCACCAGGGAGGACAGCAAGGTAGCTGAAAAACTGGCCGCCATACTAGCAAGTTGGAATCGATCCCCGACCACTCAAGACCTTACACAAGAGAGTACGTGTGGGATGTCTCTTTAATCTGCTTCTTCTGGTTTGAGAGTTTATTAGTTTAAACCACAGCTTTCCACATGGGAGTCCGCAGAAATGTTTACAACTTTTCTAAATGAATGACCCCGGCCCTTCCACTTTCATTTCCTGGAGCATTAAGCGGAGTAGTTCTTCGGTAATCTAAAACAGAAGCAGTGGTCTGTGACCATCTGGCACAGACCTCTGTATAGTGCACCATCATGGTGAGAAGTGCAGTAAAGCTCTGGGAAATGACATCACAACCTGGCACTCTGCTTCATTAAGCAGTGTGAAGACTGAGTGGGCCAAACCTGGCGGAGGGTCAGAGCATTAGCATGCGCAGCCCCTTGAAGACAGGAACCCCCTAATCAAACACTAACTCCCCAACTCTAAGTTCCCCAAAACCTACAGCTTGGGGTTCACTGATGTACCCATTCTCCTAGCTCAACACATTTTATTTTTTAAATTGGAGCCAGTTTTACAAACACTCTGTTGGATTAAGTCATCTAATATTCTAAGAGTGTTGCATTCCAAAAAAACGTGACCAGGCTTCCCCTTTGAGGAAGGGGGTCTTCTATAAATAGAGTACAACCTGAAGGGTGGCACCGATTTTACAATTACTCTACAATAAACCATTTCCTTAAATGCCTTGCATGTTGTTGGTTCTTAATATTAAACTACAGTTAGAATGTCTGATTTGTGCTATTTCCAAATAATCTGCCATAGAGAAAGCTTGGGAAGTGTCTGAGAGAACGTTGCTGATATTTCTATATTTCTCTTCACAGATGGAGATTTCTACCTCTCTTATGAAAGCCACAGGTTATAGAAGAGGTAGCCCGAGATATATATGGGATGTTATCCAGCTTGGAAGAATGGATTGTATCTGCAGATCCTTTACAATATGGGCCAAGTTCTTTGTGGAGAACTGAAGACTTGGTCCATACAGCCGGTCACACAGGCACAAAATCGCTCTATGGTACATTACTTTAAAAATCTGTAGATCTCGCCCCAATCTTGCTCGCAGGTTTGGAAAACTCATTTTTATTGGACAGAGTATCTTTAAATGAGAGATTTCTGTGATGAATTTTGCAAAATATCACCTTGACTGATTTTCTGGATATGAAAAATATTCAGTCTAGAATTCTAGAACTCCATCAAATATTTCTTGAAGAACGTAATGATCCTCTGAAGATGTAACACTTGAGTTACCAATTCCTAAAATTGGATTTATGTAAATCAAAACACTCCAATTCTGGGCATTACAGTATGTCTTATTCTTGCTTTTCAGCTCCCGTCAGTCTATATAATTTCAGGATTATACCGAGCTTGGCTTCTTCAACCACAGAGTATGTAACAAGATGTGGCTCTATATTAGTCTACTTCAAGCATTTAACTTGGTGGAACTTGGTAAAATGAATTTATTTCAATACAAGAACCTAAAAACATGGAAGCCTTGAAGCTACACCAATTCTAGAACTGGCAAAACTTGGACATTGTGAAACTAGCCACATTCTAGAACCTGCTAAATTATGAACATCATCCACGTCTAGCATTCGTAACACATGGACTCCATTAAGTGAGGTCTATTCAAGAGTGTGCAAGACACAGACACTGGTCAAACAACTTTGGTTCTGGAGGAATTTGCACATCAAACTGTGTTTTGTTTTTTTTTGTCTGAAGTCTTTCATGTATTTCCAGCGAAATGGCTGACGGAACATGTTTTGTTCTGCCTTACTCTTTGGTGCTGGAAGATCACACCACACAACAATACATCTCCAGGGTGGATTAAAAGAAGTCAGCCTTCATGGTTATTCAGTAAAAGCTGAATTTTTGGAAATGCAAAGTGAATTCCAAAATGTATCCATATTGTTTCGGGTTTGAGTATTTGGGGCCAAATGTTGAATTCGCTTTGCATTCCTGATAATTTAATTTGTACATGAATTACCCTTAATCGCCAAATCTAGCCACCATCACAACTATAGATGTTCACCGTGTTTCCTGTGACACCTGATGCACTTATTTAATGATCTGGAGACTATAAGATTTCTATTATTCTGTCCTGGGGACTTCTATCATCCTGCATGACCCGCAGGAATTAAATAGCAGAGTTTGATGGAAATATATCTAAATTAATCTAGTTATTGATTCCCGTCCATTGCTTTGCGGTGTCTCTGTACAATAAATAACTGGTTGGAAAGTATTTAATATTGGGGTATGTATAGAGAGTGACAGCACCCCTGTGTTTAGCATGCTGTGTATTGCTGTCATAGAGCATGTCAATGAATGTCTAATAAAGTTACAGTGAAGGTTGACTCCATTGCCATGTATGTGGAGACGGTCAGACAGCGCCATCTGCTGGCGGAAACCCACATTACTACAGAACTACATCTCCCGGCATGCACATGGAGCCCAGCGTTCGCCGCTCCCATTGCCATGTATGTGGAGACGGTCAGACAGCGCCATCTGCTGGCGGAAACCCACATTACTACAGAACTACATCTCCCGGCATGCACATGGAGCCCAGCGTTCGCCGCTCCCATTGGCTGCCGCCCAGCCCGCTGGGTTCGCTGTTACTCTGGTTACCGGACGCTGCGGCCTGAAGATGTGCTCGGTGCTGCGGCTCCTGCTGCTCGGTGCCGTGCTGGGGTTAAAGGTCAGAGCAGTGACGGGGGCTTCCGGGGGTGAGTGACGTCACTGGAGAAGTTTCTAAGAGACCCCCCCACTCATATATCATATAGACCCCCCCATATATTATACAGCCCCCCCATATAACCCCCATATATTATACAGCCCCCATATATCATAGACCCCTCATATATCATACCAGCCCCCCATATATGTATATGGCCCCCCCATATATCATATAGACCCCATATATACAGCCCCCCATATATCATATAGACCCCCCTCATATATTATACAGCCCCCATATATATAATCATATAGACCCCCATATATTATACAGACCCCCAGCCCCCATATCATATGACCCCCCATACATATATACAGACCCCCCCATATATATAGGCCCCCATATATCATATATAGACCCCCATATCATATAGCCCCCCTAGACCCCCATATATTATACAATATATCATACCCCCATATGTCATACTATCATAGACAACCCCCCATATCGAGACCCCCCATATATATACAGCCCATACAGACCCATATCATATTGCAGACCCCCATATATTATATACAGACCCCCATTTTACAGACCCATAGACCCCCCCTTCCTCCATATATATAGACCCCCATATATTATACAGACCCATATATATACAGCCATATATCCTATCATACAGACCCCCATATATTTACCATATATCATACAGACCCGCCCCGGATCCGTCCCAGGATCATACCCCCCATATATCATCATACAGACCCCCATACATATATATATACAGACCCCCATATATCATACAGACCCCCATATATCATACAGACCCCCATATATCCTCCCCCTCATATATCATACAAGACTCCCCATAATATATCATACACCCCCATATATATCCTATATCCCCATATATCATACAGACCCCCATATATCCTTATAGACCCCTATATCAGACATATACCATATATCAGCTCCCCCATATATTATACAGACCCCTCAAGTATCATACAGACCCTCATATATATCATACAGACCCCCATATATCCCGGACCCCCCTCATATATCATAGACATATACAGCCCCCATATACATAATACAGACCCTCTCATATACAGATCTCCCCTTCTCCATCATACAGATTCCGTATTTTTCTTTATCGTTTTATCACTTCTCTGGTAATAGAGATCACTCCTTTCAAAGTGACCCCTAACCCTAGAGAGACCTCTATTTTATTTTCTCAGAGAGACCTCCTTTATTTACCTGAGAATCACGTAATCAGGCCTGCGACAGTTTATGGTAGTGGTCCAAGAGACATCTCCTAATATAAATAGTTTGTCTGTTGACTGTCAGCGAAATAAGAGACCCCTTTATTCACCAGAGAGACCCCTCCTTTCAAGAAACCCCCATTCTTTCACAGAGCTCCGCTATACCGTCCACTCAGCCTGAAACTATCAGGTAGAGAGCGCCATATTATCCCACTCTCGACATTCACAGACCCAGAGTTCCCCTTTTTTTCCTCCTTTGACTTTATTTAGGGCCTTGCCTGTGCACCCCCCTTTTATAAATGCTGTATAGGGTGGCCCAGACTGAAACTTTGTAAAAACATGAGGGTCTCTGACTCCATTATTGATTATAGAGTCAATATCTGAGATCTAAAGCTGAAATGCAAACTATAGGAGGAAAATTACCATTATTTAATGTGTTATATAACTAATGTGTAAAAATAAATAAATGCACAGAATTAAATACAGATAAATATACTCACTGTCACAGTTTTCCTTGATGCACTATTCAGTGGCTCTGCCTGCTGCCAAAGGAAGAGGCCTTAAATCAGGATGATCGCATTCTTGTCCCATAGACTTCTGTGCAGTATGATTTATGGGATGAACAGTTTATCGCGGAGGATGATTGGAGGTGCTCAGTAAACTGATAGCAGTCACACCGCGGCCGTTTAGTGAACTGGGCTGTGTGCAGTGATATACAGAGTCCGTGTCCACTCATACTCCTCTTTCTTTCCCAGTCAGGCACGCGCAGTTTGTACAATATGGACAAATCTGATATCAGGCAGCCAGAACGGAGCCTTCTGGCCAACTGATTGACAGCTCTGAAGGCTGGCTTCTAGCTGTGTGATTTCTACAGATCGATGCAGTTACAAGTCACCCGTAGCACAGATAACATAGCAATAATGGATACTTAGACTGATCCTTTAAAGCTTGAGGTATCTAAGGCAGGATGTTTGCAATGATCACTACTCTAAGACTTCAGGTTTCTTACAAAACGATATGAGTAATACCGCAACCCATGTTCTCCCTATCTTCGTCAGACGTGGTGATTTGCACCTGTGACCTGACCCCCGGGATTTGTGACATCAACTGCTGCTGTGATCCTGACTGCACCAGTACTGACGCCACAAGTGTCTTCTCCTACTGTCTGCCTGGGAGTAACAAGTAAGATCACACTAACAATGTCATAGCCACAAACATCAGGCTAACTGGCAGAGCTCAGAAAATAAACACAAGGTCCACAGCTAAAACAATCTGTTTGCCCTTCAGGGAAATTAGTCATTTTTTCCTTTCCTTCCCCTGTGGTGATAGTGGAAGAAGGCTGCGGACATTAGTCGCGAAGAAGAAAAGTTTCATACATGTCACAGGGCGAGTTTGTACCAGTTTAAATAAACTGACTCAGTGTAAAATCTGGGTATTGTGGGTTTCTATATATATGCATTTATCCTGATGAAAGCCCCGGACGAGGGCTGAAACGTTGATCTCGTTTCACATATATATAAGATAAAGGAATTTTACTACGAAAAGACCGTGAGTGCAAGCCATTCACTGTTTATTTTTATAATTTGGCTATGGCTGCAAGATGCACCCGGCATTATAGAGAATAGTCAGAGTGCAAGGACCTGTGGAGATTTTTATATATATACTGTGCTGTGTCAGGAATGGCATTTCAATTAATATAACCCCTGTGTCCAGTCACACACGCCATCATGGCTCGGAGAAGTTGCCCAGAACCTGGAAGGGAAGTATGTTTTTTTTTTTTGTTTTTTTTTAAAGTGACCTCGAGTTCATTATTCCTCTCAGTAAACTGCTCAATAGCTTATAATGTGGTGGGAGTAGGACAAACGGTCACTTCCAAATACGTGATATATTTTTTTTTATTATAAATATTCCAAAATATAAACAAGCTAATATCATTAATGCAAACAATTATCTGCACATCCCTATTAGGTAGCGTGTTTCCAGCTATGCTTTCAGTGAGATCCTGGAGAGCGTGGGTAAAGAGGAGACATAACATAGAGAGATAGGGATCGGTCGCCCAGTACAGCATTATAGTGTTTATGGTGGCAGGGTGTGTGTAGTGTATCACTAAAGCTGTCTCTCTCTGCAGGGTGCACATACAGGTGTGTCTCTACAACTGGCTGATATTCCGAAGTAACACCCCGTATTCAACTGTTCTCGTCACATCCTCTTCAGTGCCCAGAACTCCTGACCTATTCTGTGTCCTCCCAGGGGATTGTAAGTGTCCTTGTCTGCTAACATGTCACCAGCTCAGTATTACTTTACTGTATCTCTTACCTACATCTCCTGATCTTAATTCACCAGGTTCCATGTCAGTCTATCATTTTTTTATTTACTCTCCAACCTTTAATAGACACCCATATTCATTCTCTGTATTCACAGCCACACTGAATTACTTCGTCACTCCACAGACTGTTAATGAGACAAATTTCTCAAGCTTAAGTGAGACATATAAAGGATTCTCATTTTCTCCTGTCTCTTTACCTGTGCCGACATTCACCAGCTTCTACAAAGTAAGTACAACTTGGGGGAAGCATAGGATTGGATCAATACATTACCTAACCTCTTCCCTTTGCCCCTAGGCCGGTGACCCAATACTGACTCTTTCTGCACCTGGTGTTCTTGGAGTGTTGAGGCAGCCGGCACCGGTGGGGGCACAAATCTTTTGCTCTGACACCAACCCAGCAAGTAAGAAATTGTCCATCCTAATCTAACGGTCTGTAATGTCAGTTTATCTTTCCTCAACCGTCTGTAACTCTGTCTAAAATGTGAAATTCACTTTCAATTCCAATTCTTACATTCGTGAAAAACCCTGTAAGAGAATTCTGTCTCTGGGCTTTGTAGCAACACTTACCATGCATAACTTCAATGTATTATCTATAATGCATTAAAATGTGATAATATACCTTTACATTTCCCAAATCTGCTTTATTTGCACAAACAGAAAAAGGGATGTGCATAGCGTGTATATGTTTTTCACACAGCTTGGACGGATCATGGGAGTAAAATTTCCCCTTTGAGGTCAGTGAGAGAGGGGCAGGCTTATAGCTGCATAATAAGCCACTGTGACGGGGGAGCTCTATGCAGTTAGCATTGGTTGTTATGGTTCTTAGAGTGTCCCTTTAAGGGACAGTGTGTAAAGTTTTGTGGCTTCAGAGAAGCGTTGAATTGATACCATATTTCATCAGACGGTGAATAAACCTGGGTAAGGATAGCAAACAGCATGAACAGTGGAACTAAATGATTATATGCTTAGGGGAATTACACAAGTCTTTTTTCCTGTAGGTTTATGAATGTGGTTTGTTAAAAGAAGCATTGTCATTTGTGAAGTCTTGCTATTTTTGCCACTGGTGACATTCCTGCCTGTATGGTGGAGCTTAGGGGGTGGAACAGTGAAGGAGCTACACTTATTGATCTTTTTCCTCCTTGAAGCAATCATTGTTTTCATCCATCCATCTATCGCTGCTGTCGATCTATCTTCCGTATAGCTTCTCTCCCAAAGCAGTAATGAAGGGAAATGGCAGGATGTGGTAGCTACTACATGATCTGAAGTATTCAATGTGTTTTTCATGAAAATTCTGTCTGTATGAAAACCTCTAATCTGGCAGTGCCGCGTTACCCCTAATTCTGTCTGGGGTTAGGCTACGCAGCGCTGAGTGCACTTTGTGAAATGAATTTTCCCAGATTTGTAGGAAATGGACATAACGTGTGTAAACTCAAACATGCTTTCCAGCCCAGAGATCGATGGAGATGCTATCACATCTGATGCATAAAGCAGTACTTTGTAAACAGCATCAGGATGGTTGACAGGGCCCCTTGTACTATTTTCTGCTGTACCCAGTGATTTCCTCTGTCTTTGTGTGCAGGATTTCTCCAAAATGGCACGACTTCCTGTCTGCGAATAATCAGCGACTTGAACACAAGCTGCCTGTCCGACCGAGCACTGAGCGCCAGCAGTTATTATCAGAATATCAGCGTGCTAAGGGTAAATATAACATCATCTCATCTGTGCAGAAAAGGCACAAACCTAAAAACATAGGGCTTTGTTCATTACACTGGGTTTACCACTTTATCAGAGACACAGAGAAGCTAAAGCCTTAGTGACGGTTCCTTTCCAGGTCTCACACCTGCTTTAGCTCACATTTGCCGTTACAGAATCTCCATCTTTTTCATATTAGGCTGATCCCACCCGGAAGTGCAACCTAGATCTCCCATTCTGGCAGATAACCTCGATTGCAGATTTTCTGAATTTCAGTTTTGATGTTATCAAGTTTAAAGTAATTTTATGTTTTATTTTTCGCTTTAGGTTCCGACTGATGCCGCAAATAAGACGGCATTAAATGTAAGACTCTGGGAGGTATCGGGGTAACTGAGAGACGTAACCGTCAGGAAGGAAGAATGGCGGGCATGAGTTACTGTGAGAAAGTGGGACTGGTTGTGAGCCTGTGAGTTGTCAATAGAAATAAAAAAAAGAGCTGAAAGTTGGGTCACACGGTCACGCTCTGATTTTTCCACCTTAGGTAGAGGTGACGGGCCTTGTCCCAGAAAGCCCAGCGCTGCATGGAAACAGCTGTGACAATGTCGTGTCTCAGGTAGATAATCCTAACCAATCACTGTAGCTGCTGTAAGTATATCAGGAAAGATGACTAGGCTATCATTGAGGGTCATGGGAATTGTAGTCCAAATCAGCTGGATTGTCAAATGAGGTGAAAAGGCAGTATGGCGTATAATAATCCTGACAATAACAATTGAGTTTTAGGTAAAGTAAATATTCGTTTTTATTTTTTTTTTAAACAAAAAGTGCAATACTTGTTTTGACAAACCTGTCAGTTACCTTCTATAAAGACTTGTGAGTCTATTTAGTGGTATATGGTGATGTTTACCGTTTTGTCTTGTGTGTTATCGCTCCAGGTGATCTATACCGTGGTGTATAATGGGACTCAGGGTATCCAGAATGTGTCGGTCAGTTTCATTCTGCTCAATGTTACTTCCAGTCAGTTACTGACTCAGAGCTTTACCGTGCTGTACAAGGTGTGTTTGTTGTGTCTGTCATGTGATCTGTCTTTGGTAATGAAACAGGCTCTGTTTTCTCTTCTGTAAACCATGGTCACATGTCTAGTGTTCTCTAACCAGCATATTTCCTGATCCTTCACACAGCAAGCCTGCCATAGCTATAATTACTACAGAAATTCTTACAGAAAACAGATTTTTTTATGAGACACTTCTGAGAAGTGTATTTAAAAAAAAAAATATTCTCTATAACTGTCCTTTTTTAAAAAAAGAAACAAAATGTATAATGAAAGCACTGGCTGTATAATATATATTTCAAGATCAGTCAGGGATTCTGTTACCAGGCACAATGCCATTTTACAGCTGGCATCAGAACTCTACATTTTAACTGCCGTCCATATGGTCCGTTCCATAGGGTATTATTCACTAAACTGTAAATGTTGCTCTAATAGTTAAATTGAAAAAAAAAAAACTCTCCAATTCAGCAATTTGACCAGCTTTGTTATCTTGGCCTAAAATTGTATATTCTGTCAAATAGTTATAATTTCTGACGTTTCTTTATAAATCATCTTTCCATGCTCTGCAATCTCTTTCAGTCTGCGTCAGCGACTTCTATGAGTTCGGTGACAAGGAGTGGAAATCCGGGATACCTGACTGGACGCCCCGTACTGACTGACAACGGATCTGTATCTTTTTGTCTTTCTGTAGCTCAACACTAAAAATGTTCACTGTCATATAAAATATTTATTATTATTATGACCATTAGAACTCAGCGTATCACTAATTATCTTCATTGGAGTTCTGTGACTATCGGCCAGTTGAAAATTTATCCAGACTAGCTATTATAGCCTCAGTTGTGCAATTTGGATTTTAATTTCCTGCCCTTGAGTTTAGCAAATAACCCTAATCTCATCTTTGGGGACAATACTTTATGTATTCTGGAATTGAAAGCTGTATTTATTTTTTGATCACGTAGTTGGTAATGCTGAGTTTTATAAATATTGTTCCTGCTTCCATTGTACTGAGTTTATTGGTCCATAACAACAAACTAGCTGACTCTTCTGACTCTACAAGGAGATGGTTCGTGTTCGCACAGTCCTGTGCAGTTTGGAGTGAACTCAGTGAGTGGCTGCCCCATCACGTAAGTGCAGGACTGATCATCGGAGTGGGTTGTTTCGATAAACTTGGGCTGTGTTTGACCTATTATTATATTCTCACTCTTTACAAGGGTTGGCGACAATGAGACCTGCAGTGACCTCAGAGCCCGAGCCTATAATCTGCTCCTGGGTGGCAGCTTCCCTCAGAGAGTGGCAACCTTTGGAAATGCCACAGTCACTCAGAGTGCAGACTGGACATCCATCATCTATCAAAACTGTAGCACCCAGGTCGGCGCACTAACAAGAAATCTTAGTCATTTTTCTATCAAGTCCTAGGTTTTATTCCTTTAGTAATGCATTTCTTTGCAGAATGATGTTAACTGCACCACCGGATGTCTCATACCTGTTTACCTGCATGTGCAGATCTTGTGGGCTGAAGTTGGCCTCCTTTCAAATCCTGAAGCTCAGGTTCAAGGTGCCCGATTGAAATACAGTTGCCAATCTGTCAAGGTAAAACGGGGAGTGTCTCTTTAATAAAACAAGACTGGTTTGATCTGAGATTTTTAGGTAGGAACACTCCACTGACAAGAATAGAAACATTTTTTTCTGCAGATTCTTCTTCAGAATATGGAAAATAAAGCTAGCAAATGCTACAGCCCTGCTGCCACTCAGGGAGGTGTTTTTGTCCACAACTATAATAGTGCCAAATTCTATTAAAATGAGCAGTTTTATAAACTGTCACAAATATTACAGATTTCGGACCACAAATGGACATGCTCTAGGTGTGGCTTGTTCCTTTAATTATAGCAGAAATCCTGAATGTAAGTTTCATTACAGCAGGATTCTAGAGGGCTTGGAGCGTATACAAACATAGTGCTTATTTTGGGACTACTGCAGGAGTCTAGTTTGTAGGTATTTTGTAAGGAGAATAGATCACAATTTCCATTAGAATGTTTTTTTTAGATTGTAACAAGTAGTGCATCTAAAGCTTGAAAGAAACATACTGCCTTACGTGTCAGTAGCTGATATTGCAGGTACAAATTTGACTTCAAGTAATACCAGGCTCTGTCTCTTTTCCTAAACGTGTGATTTTGTTCCCCCCCTCCGTTAGTGTCTCGATGTCGTCATGCTCCACACACAGGCCTCATTCACAGATATTACACCTCGTGGACCAGCTCCTCGTTCACAGCCCAGCATCACAGACCGCGAACCGCTAGACTTTTTCTTCCCTTTCCAAACAAATGGAGCTGTGCAGACATGTGCACTATTACAGCTAATACTCTGCATCTTCTCTCTATGCCTGTGTCTTTAGCACTTCAGGCTCTGTAACATTACTGAAAAGCGCAATCTTTGGGAATGACAGTGAAATAGCAGCGCACTGAGTCTTTAATGCCAAAAAGTGTCCAATCCCTCAAAATACAAACTGATTACTGGTATATCTAAAATCCGTGCACACCTATGCATAACAAATCCACAGGGCCTAAGCATACATCAGAGGGATGCATTACCCTTCCAGAGAACTTGAACAAGTTTGAAATTGGGACATCATCTCTGCACTCAGGAATTTTATGGGGACAACAATTTTGACGGTGTGTGTTTATATATGTCATTTTATCAATTAAATATTGTATAATTAAATATTTTCATTAAAAAAACAAAAACCTAAAAGCAGTATGTTGTATGGTTTAGACCCAGTTTAAAATAGATATTTTGCAAATCCTAGTTTCACCTGCCACAATTTGGCATTTACCCAATATACCAAGAAGGGTAGTGTTCAGCAGCCGCTTTCTCCTTATAAACATTTCCAAGTACATTCCTTGCAGAATGAATCTGCTTTTGCATCACAAATTGAAAAGGGGGTGGGGAAGAGAAACAGGAAAAAAAAAAAAAAAGGGGGGGGGGTGGGCAGCAATCAAATGATTTAATTTGTTCCCTTCTGAGCTGCCATGTATATTAAAACACAGCCTGGTAATAGAATACCAATTGCTGCAGTACAAGGTATGGTGTTTAAAACGAACATTAGCAACAACTACCTGCTTTATGCTAGATAAAGTTCAGTCTGCTCCACAGAATAACTGAATACTAGTTCTGTTTAAGTGAAAATTTCAAATAAATTTAAAACTTTAACCAATCTGGAAAATGTTAGGGGTTTTTTGGGACATTCTGGCCTCAAGTCTCAAATCCAAACTAATGTAGCACTTTAGAATAATCCTGCACAAAGTGACCCCATCAAGAAATGAGTTCATGAGATTTATTCAGCTAAAAGGCACCAGGACAAAACACCAAAAATAAGATGACGCCACATTAACCCAGTCTCACCTACCTCATTCTAATAACAGTTCAGTCTTACTGGTTTCTGACGTAAACTCCTTCTATCCATCCATTCTGAGGAGTGTTTTTCTACAATATGACTCATACATGCCGTCAGGGAGAACAGCAAAGATTTATTGGAGGTGTAATTTAGTAGAAAGCATTCATAAGTAGAACACTCATAAATGCAATTCTTAGAAGACTGCTGTGAGCAGAAGTGGGGCTGTACACAGAGAGCTTTGAAATCTGCTAGTCAGACTTTGCATTGTGTGTAGAGATGCACAGAGTTAAAACTCCCTCTATAGAATGCATGAAACCAGGGATCAGTTCAAACTTAGAGAAACATTGTTAGAAAGTCACAATCTCTTTTCAAAAACCTAATTCTTTGGGTTTCATTTTTTTCCTTTTTAAGTTAAAAACAGCTGTGTGACATTATAGTCAAACATTTTCTTCTGAGGAACTTAAACACAGCTGCTGGGTTATTCCCTAGATGTTATTTCCTGAACACAAGAAATTGCAAATTCAAAAGCAAAATAGCTAAAGTTGTAAAATTAGCTGGGTTGAAGAATTTTCCCAATAATTCTAATTTTGGCTCAGCTATGTATTCTCACAGCAGACCTTAGCAGAGTCCTGTTAAAATGTAACTTGCTGGAGCACTGTGCAATAATTACCGAGAGCTGTTCCACGACAGTGGAGTTCACTCTAATAGACACCCAGAATGAGTTCACAGCTCTAATTTTAATAGCGTTCCTTTAGATATTTTAAAATGTTAAAACCATTACATGTAGCTGCAGCTAGTGTTTCCTTTGTTGCAGTCATACATTAGAATACCACATATCTGGTACTCACATGGCACCATTTAAATAAAAAAAATCATAGATATAATACCAGAAGCCCCTCATGCTCATATTTTTAAAACCAGTGAATGAAAGCAAGGGATGTCACACCTGGTACACCAAAAGGGACAGAACCGACTACACTCTGCTCAATTCTGGAACTTTAGAACTGAGGCCACGGCGTAGTATAACCTAGTGTACCATTATTAAATGTGTGGACAGAAAAGTAAACAATTTTTTCCATGGAAACTGCAAGTCACATGCAGGGAGGTGTGGCTATGTCTGTTTAAACAAATGATTTAACTCCTAAATGGAAGAGAATGTAGCAGTGAGAATTCAGGGGCATGATCTATACACCAAAAACACATTAAAGTTGTTTTGGCACTTAAGTGTCCCTTTAAGTTATTGATTCTCAGAGTTATTCACTAAAAACTAAGGATTTTCGCGCAAATCAATTCCAACAATGCCAGTGTCACAGATTTTGCCATTCAGAAAAATGTGAAAATTCAGAGTATAGTGGATAACCCTACAAGGAAACTGTTCTTCTATTCCAGTGTTCAACCTGTTCCCCAGAATGTTTAAACTAACCCTACTTTAGCATTAGGTTATTAAAAGTAGCAAGACTCAGTGGCCTATTGATAGCGAGAGGTTTGCAGAATTGTAGGTATCAAGCTTTCTAGCCCTCCATGGTATTTTCATCACATCAGAATAGGCTAGTATGTCATATTCCAGGACCTGCACAATACAGCGATAATAGGATCTAAGTCATTGCAATGCATGACTGAAAGCAGAAGTGGGAGATGGAAGGCATTGTGCTTTAGGAGTAAGGAGACACTAATCGCCAAAACCTTTGGTTAATGAAACAGTTTTGGTATACAGATCATGCCTCTGCAGTCTCACTGCTCAATTCTTTGCCATTTAGGAGTTAAGTCACTTGTCTGTTTATGCAGCTCTAGCCACACCTTCCCTGGCTGCGACTGACACCGCCTGCATGGAAACAAAATGGTTTTGTTTTCAAATCAGATGCCACCACTTTAAAAAGTGTCTCTCCTGCTCTATAAATTGATCTTAAAATTACATTCAGGAGTCTCCTGCAGGGTCTAGCAAGCTATTAACAGAGCAGGAGATATGAAATTCTAAGATAAAGAGTTTACAGTAAAGGAAGTGTAAACGATTACTCTCTACAGGAAGTGTTTAGCAAGGCTGTGCAAGTCACACACAGGGAGGTGTAATTTGAGCTGCATAAACCATGATTTAACTCAAATGGCAGAAAATTGAGCAGTGAGACTGCAGGGGCATGATCTATACACCAAAACGGCTTCATTAAGTTAAGGTTGTTTTGGTGCCTATAGTGTCCCTTTAAGATGGCCAAATTATTAGGCTTTCTTAAAATGGGCAGTTTTAAAGATTTCAGTCTAGTGAATAATAACTAGTGATATGTTTTAGTTACTGCTAGATTGTGATAGTGGTTAAATACTGTTCTGAAAGCTTTTTAAGCTGTCTGCCCACCCATCCCCACACCTTGTAATAAATACAGACTCTGTTTTATTTCTCTACATTCATTTCAATTCAGAATAAAAAGTTAAAAAGCCACAATTCATAGCTTTGAAGGATAAACACAAAAATAATTGCGCCCCTCCCCCCCCACACTGAGGCCCAAACCCCTTTCAGTCCCAGCTGACCACATTCCCTTCTTATAGGTATGCAGAACCATACAGCAGGTAAAACAGTCTTCATCCCATCCATGGGGAACCCCATCCTTATCCAGCCACGCAGAGTCCAATTGGTGCCTCAACAAGCAAGGGATTCAGTGTCAACGTCTACAAAAATCATTTCATTGGTCGATTTACACAGTAGGCCTATTACAGTAGACAATGGATATCAAGCTCACATCCTTTTTAATAGGTCAACAAAAATTTTCACAAAAAAAGTACATGTGTAACTCACTACCACATATGGATGGCCTACGAATTAAAAAAAATAAAATAAGAGGCAAACAGAGTAGTGGTTCAGGAAATTAATTAAAATTGGGTGGAAGCTTTGGAAATTTAAAGTGACATTCCGGCACATGGGAGATCTGCACATAAAGCAGTGCGAGACAAGAAAGTGAGAAGCGGAACACACAAAAAAAAAAAACCCTTCAGAGCTCTGATTGGTTCTTTCACACTGCCGCATAAACCGTATAACACCACGAGAATTTACAGCAGCAACGCAAGAAGCACCATAGTGGTTATGCACCTTTTAGCTACCTCTCCAAGGTTACACAGATGGTCCACAAGTATTAGGACAGCAGAGTATCCCATGTCAGTGCATGGCCTTCTAAAGTATTCGGAAGACATGCTCCTTTAATTCCGATTCCCTTTTCATTACACAATTCCAAAGGTGAGGTGATTGGTCGTTGGTCCCATCTCATAATACCTAGATGGCAGGCAACATACAGTATTCTAGAATTAAACCCAACAAACACTGCAGCCAAAATGTAAGAAAAAAAATTGATTTAAAATAAAAAAAAAAATAAAGACATAGCATGCAGGTTGCCACATTTGAAAAGGACAGTCATGGGAGAGAGAATATTTTTTTTTTTATAAATTGTGATCCAATTACTTAATCCCCCAAATTTGGCAACTCCCTCATTAAGGAAAGGGAACCAAAAATAAAATAAACCGACTCCTTCCTTAGACCTTCAAGTGTTGTAAATTATAATTCTCAGCTATTTATGATTGGCTGAGCAGGATACCTGGAACCCACCAGTAATGTAGCCAAGCCCTACCACTCTCAAACCAACAGGCAATTTAGATACAGAAAAATAAGAGGATTATAGCCATAAGACATGTGTAGACTAGTATGTCTGGAATGGATCACTGGGCAATGTTCAGAGGAGAAAAAAAAATTAAAAATATATATTCCAGCTGTCACAAAATGAAGACCCCTTGTTAGAGAGCTAGAGAAAGCCCAGGCATACTGAAATGCAGGTAGACAAGTTAACCATTTGCAGCTACTAGGCTACAAAGTGAGGATTTGATTGATTTTTTTGCTATTGTCCAGAAATTTGCAAGACCTGTAAGGTGTAACCCTGAGATTTCATCTGATTTACCGGTATTCACTTGCATTAAGGCATTGCCATGAGAAACTAGTTATTTTTCTTCCGTGCCTGCAGCTTGCGAGGTTGTAGATGCAGCGATTCTCGCTGGCCGCTTCTAAGGATTAAGGCAGAAAATCAGCTCATTTCGCAGGCGCCCTCCATCCTCCCCCTCATCCCAAAAGTCAGTGCGAGGTAAGTAGAATCTCTCAGCCTCCACCTCCCACTACCAAGGGAGAGAGGGAGAAAGTTCAGATGAAACGAGGCCGGAGGTCAGTGTGTGAGGTGGCGGGGAGTCGGGGAAGAGCTGGTAGGAGCCTCGACATGTCATTTCTTCTGTTTATTCTTGGCCGAATTTCTGGGTGGGGTAACGGGGCGGGTCTGGTTAACTCCGCCATAAGCAAACAGTTTCTTGTCAGCAGGTTTCAGGATCTGTATAAGAAAATACATTTTTTTTAAAAAGTCAAATTTTAAAGAGTATCTGTGAAGCCATACTGTTTATATGGAGTTCCCTGAAGTTCTAAACCAAGTCCTTTGGCAAGTTACCCAAATAACCAATTACTTACCCTTTATATAAATTAGGGTATAACAGGAATATGCCCAAGCTCAAAATGTCTCATTTTTGGCCAAAATAGTTTCTGCGATGTAGGGGGGCACTATAGTAAGCTTCTCTCTCCCTCTCCCCCCCCTCCCCCCCAACAGGTTTCCTTTTAAAGTCAACCAGTCCACTTACTTTGGCCCAACATTTGACTAAACATCTGCATATGGAGACTGGCCTTCACCCACAGGAAAAAAATAAAAATATAAATAAAATGTAAAGGTTATAACTGGGGTCTTTTCTGTCATATCCATTAATTTATTTCAGGTTCTCACACATAACAGTTACAATGCAATTAAAATTTCATAATATAAAAGGGAGATTTATTTATTGTATAGTGTAAAGGTCACAAATGTTTAAAAGGATGGCAATCATACCGTATAATCTGGGTCAAAAAAATAATTGTGAGCATGTCTTTGATCTAGATTACCCCACCAAGTTTAACAGCTATGTGTGCCATTTCTGAACCTAGATCGTCATTTTACCAAAACGAACCTGGAAAGAACACATTAGTGATTCATCCACGCTCATCATGGAGCCAGCATTGTCAAACTCTCCACAGTAATTGGGAGCCGAGAACAAGGTCACCAGCTGTCTCTTAGCAAAGAACTCATAGCCATCTTCTACCACCTGTGAAGGAATAAGATAAGGACTTTAAATAAGGAAGGAACAAAAACCAGGAAGAGATAAAATAAATAAAATAAAATACAAATAAATCCCAATGAAAGGGGATCACCTGGTGGGCTCGGCAGATTAGATCCAGGTCATGCTTGTGAAGAAATTTGGCCACAACATCTGCTCCAAAGGTGAATGAAACTCCCCTGTCATTCTCACCCCAACCAAGGACATCTTTATCTGGGTCAGACCACAGCAGATCACATAGAAGTCCTTGGTCTGGTACATCTGTGGGGCGCAAGATCCTCCTCACTTGCTCCATAGACTGCAAGTCAGGGGAAAGTCCTGAAAAAACACAAATAATTTTTTACGAGAGACTAATAAAGAGAGAAGAGAAAGACAAATTTAGTCACTAAAGTGAGAATTCAATGAATGTTAAATTTAAACCCATTAATCGCTGAATTAAAGAAATGTTCAGTTTAGGCTATTTTTACCTTAAATATGAAATTCTCACGTTAGTGAATAACTTGATAAAGATTGTCAGTCTGTCCAAGTGTATGGTCTTCACTATTAAATGGATTAAAATAACAAAATAATTAAATTTGCGGTCAGAAAAAAAAAATAAGTACTGCTGGTACACATTTATAGGATGACATGTCTGGGGAATATTAGATATTCATCTTGCAATTGGCACGTAAGGGATTTATTGCAGGTGGATTATAGCAAGAATAAGTTCCCCATGAAAATTAGCCACACCCAAGGACACCTAACCTCACCTCCATGACAGCAGAAGATCTTCTCATCCACAATTGCAGCCACTGGTAAACAATTAAAGCAGTCTGTGAAAGTCTTCCATAGTTTGATGTTATACCGCCTCTTACCTGTAAGAAGAGGGCGCTCCATGTTACAGAACGTAAAAGGGCAGATATGGTTTCAATATCTGAAAGCTAAAACAGGAGTCTAGGAGCATTTGTTTAGGGAAAGTGTTGCAAGACCATGTCTAAAATGTAATGTCAACACAACCATGTGTCTTGTTATGACGTTACAGATGCCATCTGTAATCACACAAACCGAGCAGGCCAGACTCTTTATAAGGATAATGAAGAGGGCATTGTGGGCAATACACAAGAGAATTGTTTTTAATGGTCTCAATATAAAATGTAATGGGTGTTTTAACAAATTAATCCTTCATTTTTATCTTGTTATAAATCTCTGCATTGGAAGCTGCAAACTAATTATTGCCAGCAGCTCTCCGTCTAAGACGATATGCCCACCCTGCAGTGATCTATTTACCTATTGCTGTGTACTTTACAGAGGAAGTCAGAGGATTCCACTTCATATAGAACACTAGTACTCGAAGATTAATGGAATCTATTCCAGTTTCAGATGCCATTGTCCTTCCACTTGGAATAGGTTTTGCATGACCAGAGCTTGTGGCTGCAATTTAATAACCTTGTTTTACTTGAGACACTAGGCATGAGCCCTATGCAGTGCCCAGCCCAAAGTCTGTTTAACCAGAATCAAAATATCAACGTCATCCTTTAAAAATGGAGAAGGATGTCAGAGCCAACACTTCCCAGGCTGCCATGACCAAGAAAGCAGAGCAACGGACATGAACTGCCAGGAGCTATACATCAGACAGCCCACATCATGCGGTGACGCTATTTAACGCTTTAAAAACCAGAATCCAGTCAGTATCAATGGGACTGAAACACCCTGCCCTCATCAGCTTGATTCCTAGAAATAAACAAGCCCCTTTATTTAAAATCCTCACATTCATCATAGAAGCCATAGATGCGGTTGATGCTGGCGCACTCGTGGTTCCCACGCAGCAAGAAGAAGTTCTCTGGATATTTGATCTTGTAAGCGAGAAGCAGGCAGATGGTCTCCAGTGACTGCTTCCCACGATCCACATAGTCCCCAAGGAACAGATAGTTACTCTCTGGAGGAAACCCGCCATATTCAAACAGTCTCAGGAGGTCATAGTACTGGCCATGTACATCACCTGGTAAGGGAGAAGAACGGAAGTTATTCACCTAGTGAATCAAACTGGACCCTGATTCACCCCACCCATGACACCCAAACACGTGTGGTGAGAATGTATACCTCAGCTGTTTTAGAGCTACCCAATATGCTTTGCCAGCTTTGGGTTGGCAATGAATCACAGATCGAGAACAGCTTGATGCATGTTCAAGGTTGTCCAATTCTTTTCTAAACAAACACCCACACCCTGATGACTAAAGGGACCCACCACATTCTGGTTTAAAGCAGCATGGTCACAGTGTCGCTTTAAAATTAGAACTTCATTAGTAACCACTTGACATGCACTTTTTTTTTTAAAATAAACTCCAAAAACAAAGACGCTACACAGAAAAATAAAATAAACCACACAATACAGGAACTAACTTTATAAGAAGCATTTCTGTTGTCCAACAAAAGCTCAGTTACTACAGCAATGAGCTTCAGTTGGCAACACTGAGAATAGCAAAGCACGGTGAAGTCAAAATATGTGGGGATCTACCTTTTGGGTACCCCAGTTATAAATACCTTCCAGTAACATCAGCCACCCACGTCTCATGAGATTTTCCATAGAAATCACTTCTAAAAGCAACACGGAATAAGCTTAAACTATTTAGTAGATATACCCTACAAACAAGACATGTCATTTGTTCTGACAGCATTAAACCCCAACCCCGCCAAAAAACCCCAGGCCTCTAGAATCGCCAGCTACTGCAAGCACTCCTATTCTTCTCTGACAAAACACCAAAGGCCTTTCATGGAGACACCTTGCAAATCAGCCCCGTGGGCATTGCAGTCCATACAGACTTCAGTGAGAAGTCTTTCAAAACGCAGGTGGATCAGTGTTCATAGTGCTGATTTCTATTGAAATTGTTAATTTAAATATGGACAGGACAAAAAAATAATAAAAGTGTAACTACACAAAGCATTGAGAAGAAAAAAGAAAGTGTATCAAAAACACTAACATTGAAGAGCTGGTGGAGAGGAAGTGTGAAGACTGTTCCCAGTAAAAAAAAAAAATAAAAAAATAAATAAATAAAAAATAATGAATTGCATTGCTGTTTTAAAAAAAAAAAAAAAAAAACAAACATTGTAAAGTGTATTTTTTTTGGAACACAGATTCCATCAGCCATCTCTGCAAACAGGTTCTAGTTGTGCTTAATGACTCCTGCCAAGGCATCACTTGTCTAGAATTTCAAGATCAGTCTGGTCTACTGAGAGAGATGCCAAGGCAAGATGAGCAGATAAAAAGTTGACTGAAAACAAACAAAAGAAGTAAAGCTATAGCACGACAGACACTTTACTCTATCTGGAAACAATGAGGGGTAGAGGACGCTGCACACAAATCATAACTTCTCTCTGCACTGGCTGTAAATAGCCAAGAGGAGACCAACCTACCAGTGAAATGCAGAATATCTAACTAGAAGAGTCTGTACTCACCGCAGATCTTGAGTGGGGCCTCCAACTCAAGCAGGATAGGTTGGCTCAGAAAGATTTCACGAGATTTCAGGCACAATCCCCGGATCTCATTTTCCGTCAGTTGAACATTCTTCCCTGGGCGACATCCTTTGACTGTGGATGAAAAAGAAGTGTTGGTGCAGATACTTAAAAAGCCATACGTGTAGTGTCAAACCTCTCCTAACCGAAATCTCTTTCCACTTTCATGCTTTTCAAACCCAAGGGTCATAATAGGCAATTTATCCCTTCATCCAGCAGTTCTAAACCATAACTCCCATGATTCTTTGCCAGCCTTAAAGGAACACTTTAGCCAAATATGTATTCTTAAAGGGAAACTATAGTGCCAGGAAAACAGTGCCCTTCTGTTACTTACCTGATTCCAGCACCGATGTCCCTTGGCCTGATTTAGGCTCTGCCACGAGTCTTCCCCTACAGAGGTCAGTAATATTTTCCAATGGAGTGTTGGGTGACACTGGATGTCCTCATGCAGAGCGTGATGATTTCCAGAGTCAGTTAGGTGACCATTGGTTGTCTAACCACCCAGAGCCAGAGGTGGAGTTAACCCTGCAATGTAATTATTGCTCAAAAACAGCAATAATTACCATTGCAGGGTTAAGGGACCGGAACAGTGCACTCGGACCACTTCAATGAGCTGATATGGTCTGGGTGCCTATAGTGTCCCTTTAATACTAAAGTCTCTCTGCCCACCCCTACACACCCCAGTTGGTCCCCCAGCGATGGGTACTTTGCCGATGATAGGGGACAAAATGTGCATGTGCGGTGAGCACTGCATGCATTAAACCTTCCTCACAGGAAGCATTGAATCAAGGCTCTCCTATAGGACTTTGCTTGATGCCCTCATGCAAAGTTCTTTGAAACTGCAGTTTTATATTGCATGGCTAAGGAGGGACAGTGTACCCTGATTATTTCATTTAGGTGAAGTGGTCTGGGTACCTATAGCGTCCCTTTAAGTTTTTAGGCCTTCTCTTTTGAATTTTAGCTCTACACAAGCTGAGCGATTAAGCTTCTGTCCTTACCACCTGCCAGGCATGTTATGACTTACAGGACCACTATAAGCACCCAGATCACTTTAGCTCAATGAAATGGTCTGGGTGCCAGGTCCATCTAGGGTTAACCCTGCCTGCAGTAAACATAGTTTCAGAGAAACTGCTATGTTTACATATGGGTTAATCCAGCCTCTAGTGGCTGTATCATTGACAGCCGCTAGAGGCACTTCAGACTGATTTTCAGTGAGAAGATGCCAGCGTCCATAGGAAAGCATTGAGAATGCTTTCCTATGGACTAACTGAATGCGTGCGTGGCTCTAGCCGCGCATGCGCATTAAGCTGATGTCCGAAGGAGGATGACAGTTCCCAGCGCTGAGGGAGCCTGGCGCTGGAGAAAGGTAAGGGATAAACCCCCTTCAGCCCAGCGGGAGGGACCTATTAATACTAGTTTTCTTTTCCCGGCACTATAGGCACGAAAACAATTTTAGTTTAATGAAGTAGGTTTGAGAGAATACACACACACACACACACACACTCTCCGCAGTCTCAAGTTTCTGCCATTAAAGGAAAACAATCTGTTTTCCTGGCACTGCAGGTACCCTCTCACCTCCCATGTAGCTGAAGGGGTGAAAACCCCTTCAGGTCACTTACCTGAGACCCCGCTGATGTCCCTCAGCGTCGCTCCACCCAGTAATCACGTCAGCTGGTGGGCGAGACTGATCCCGCTTGCCGGCTGAGGAAACCTAATGCGCATTAGGTCTCACCATAGGAAAGCATTGAAAAAGATTTTCAATACTTTCCTATGGGGAATTGAGCGACACTGGAGGTCCTCACACAGCGTGACGACGTCCAGCGACGCTCTAGCAAAGAAAATCTTTGCTATGAATCAGGGAGTGCCCTCTAATAGCTGTCTAGTAGACAGCTGTTAGAGGTGGAGTTAACCCTGCAAGGTAAATATTGCAGTTTATAAAAAACTGCAATAATTACAGTTGCATTGTTAAGAGTAGTGGGAGTTGGCACCCAGACCACTCCAATGGGCAGAAATGGTCTGGGTGCCTGGAATGTCCCTTTAAGGAGTTAACCCCTGAATGTGACTCACATAGCATTCCTAAACACTTCCTGTAAAAAGAGAATGTTTATTGCACATGTTTAGTTTATGATTTCTTATCTCCTGCTCTGTTAATAGTCTCCTAGACTTTGCAGGAGCCTTCTGTTTGTGATTAAAGGTAAATTTACAGAGCAGGAGATAAAACTTCTAAAGCAAGTTAACATCTGGCTAAAAACATAACTTTTTCCCATAGAGGCTGTGAGTTACAGTGAGGAGAGCTACATAAAACAGGAAAATAAATTTGTTTTAACTCCTAGGCAGCAGAGAATCGAGCAGTGAGACTGCAGGGGTATGATCTATACACCAAAACTGCTTCAATATGTTAAAAAAATTATTTTAAAATTTGCCAAAACCTGGGTTCATATGAACAACTACTAGCACTGCAGATTTTAACATCAGTAAATCCAATCTTCACATAGAGTAGTTTTTCACAGAGTACATGGCACAAACACATTAATCAAAGGAATTTAATTAGGTTCTCTGTGCAATGCACTATTGATCGCCATTGTAATCAATACAACAGGTTTCCACAAATGAAGACAAGACAGCAGCCAGGCCCGGCTCGATTAGTTATACTGTAAGGATAAAAATATATAAAAACAAATCTTTATTTCCAAAAGGGAACAAAAGCAGGTGACTGCCCAGAAGAGATTCATTGCAAATTGCACTACAAAGACATTTAAAGACCGGAGAACAAATGGCCATTTTATATGACAGACTGCTTTGAAAAACCAGCGAGCCCCACCTTTACCACATCCCCTTCCAACACCTCCTTTCAGGCCTGCCCTAACTCGCAGGGTTGCTGATAATAAGCTCTAGCTAGCAGTTAACGAGTATCGATGGACCTGGGAGTAAGCTCAGGTGTTTCCAACACAAACTCATTCAAACACTGACAAGGTAAGAATTGTTACACAGTCGTCAATGGACACTCCCAGCTCCACCATAACACTTCACATCTTAGTGCCATGGGCAGTACAAGAGTTAAACCCTTTCATTACACAATATAAGATCCTCTATAGAAAGGGATTTTGTTAATGTATTGCCTCTGAGCAGTGTATGAAAGCTACCCTGACATAACACTATGAAGAAAGGTTTCACTGCAGAACAGGCACGTGAGATAATTGCACATTTCAACAAAACAAGTTAGATACATTTTAATCGGCTTTTTAGTTTGTAACCGCTTTGATTTTTAATTTACAGTGTACAGCCATCTGTCCTGTCACAGCCAGACCACACCACGTATAATTAACGGTGACATGCACAGCACTATGGAATAAAAAAATTAAAATAAAAAAAAAAGCCTGAAGGCATATTGACCAAGATAAGAAAATGCTGAAGAACTCTAACACACACGGCTAACACCAGACAATGCTTTAACAGTGTATTGATGCAGAGACGTGTCAGAGCAGAGATAGTTCTGCTTTCAGGTAAACCATTGAGGAGTGCACCCCTTTCAATATTAACCTGCCTGCTATACCGCCATTATCCATATTTATGGCAAGCCATCTTCTTCGACAAGCATATACATGAGACAGAGATGGCAACTATAGACATAGCCAGCTGGTTCAAGATGTACTAATCTCCTTGGATTCTAGTGGGAAGTTACCGGCAAAATATTAAAAACCAAACGGAAATAAACAGGTAATTACCATTTTGAGTTTAGGAGCCAATCACATTTTAGGAAGTTGAGAAATAAGACGAATTCCATGTACTAAGGTACATCTATTAAACCAAGCACATGGCTCTGTCACAGCTTGAGCTGCATGGTACGTTAACAGAATCTGTAGAATAGGACGCAGAGGTGAGATTTAATAGAAGACCGCTCATTCTAAAGCATAGCCTTTGGCAATAACAGATTTAGAAGCAAAGGCCTCATATTTGTGCCCTCCAATTAGCAGCAGGTAAAACCAAGTATTAAGCTAAATTTTCCACAGAGAAAAATCCCTAGTATGTTTAGTGGCATTCATCATAAGAAATCATTATTCCTCTACAATATCAAGGAGTCAAGCAAGATGTCTCGCTAAACGCCAACGAGTATGATGTGGGCTGTTACAGCTTAATTATACAATTTATTGCGAGTGTCACGTCAAAAAGAGCACTATGTTCAAACTGTATCCAATGACCAAAAAAAAAAAAAAAAAAACACGGCGAGGGGTTTACATCAATGGAATATGAACTGGTATTTAATTCCTCTTCCCCACGTAGATGGGGGCACAGAGTTTTTTTTAAATCCACCACTGACAGTTTAAATAATCAAGCAGGACTTTGTAGCTATATTGCTTTTCACAGAATGAAGATGGATTATACAAATAACCATACATATACATACACACACACTCACGTAATCTACCGTCAAAAGCAGCAGCACAGACTGCAACCTGAATAGCATCCATGTCCATTTCTAACCTCTCTCCCTCCTCTTACAATACATCACCCAACCCCACTCCCTCCGCTGTTCTATGCTCATTCGCACTTACTACAATGGAAGAGGTTTCTGCTCTGCTCCGGTCCTCCTGCCCCACCACCTGTTTCCTTGATCCTATTCCCTCGAATCTCATCTGCACACTGTCTCCCTCACAAAAAGTTTCGATCTCTCCCTTTCCTACGGTACATTTCCTTCAAGCATTCAACAACAGGCGCAGCTAAGGTGCTGGTCCATGCCGTTCTTTCTCGCCTTGACTACTGCAATCCCCTTTTCAGTGGTCTTACGTGTTCCAAGATTGCACCGCTGCAATCTATAATGAATGCGGCGGCGAGGCTTATGTTCCTGTCTTCCCGCACCTTAAATGCCTCCCCCCTATGTCAGTCCCTACATTGGTTTCCACTTAGACATAGGGCTTAATTTAAGATTCTGGTGCTTGCTTACAAGTCCCTACATAATGCTGCTCCAACCTACCTATCCTCTCTAATACACAAATATGTCCTGTCGAGGCCCCTGCCGAAGACCTACGCCTATCCTCTGTCCGTACTCCCACCTCTGATGCTCGCCTCCAAGACTTCTCCAGGACTGCACCTTTTCTGTGGCACTCCTTTCCCTTCTCCATTAGACTTTAACAATGTCCTTCTCCAATCACAGTGTGCATTAATACATTCCATATGGTTTGTTAACACCCCCCCTTGTATTGCAAGTAATCATAAGGGCAAAGCGTCCTCTCTTTAAAACACCAGCGGCTGAATACAAAAGACCAACCTTATTTTGCTCCCAAACCTGCAGAGTGGCAATAGATCAAACTACAACGATAGGGGCATCTAACAGATAATGAGAAATGTAAGAGCCATTCTTTACTTTATCATTAGGCCTCCACACACTTAAGAGTCCCAAAGCAATGAGCACTAAACACACAAGGGCTGTAAAGGTGCTAATTAGCAAAAAATCATTCCCTCTAAAAGCTTCTGATTATAGTTATTATAAACCAAACCACTGAAGTCCCATGTTTGCTACTTTTGCAAGTTCCAGACTGCCGACTGAAATAATACTTATATCAAAATCTGATATTTTCAAAGGGAAAGAAAACCTGATCTAGTCTATAGACAGTGAGCTATGAAGTACATTTAAAAAATATAAGTTAAATCATACTCACGAAAAGAACTCAGACACTGGTCAAGTTTATTCACAACAAATTCATTGAACTTTCAATTTCAGTGTATAATTGTGGGATAAAAAATAAAAACACCTTCAATTCAGCGGTTTATATATTAAACAAACATTCAAGGTCACAATAAAAATACATACATGATTTAGTAAACCCTACAGGCCGATACATCACGGTATATTGTAAATCCACATTTACAAAGATCAGAATTAAACAAGGGGAAAACCAAAACTGGGATTTATTTAGCGATCAGGTTTTTGTTGCTAAGCAGTCCCCTTCACAATACAGGTGATGAAGAACTTGCATTATTTGAACAGTTTAACATAAGGGCAGATACAATAAACTGTTCAATTGATCCACTGAGTCAATTCATATAAAAAACCTGCACCCAATTATTTTAATTTAATTACCCCTTCATATTACATTCACATTGAGGAAAGTTATAAGTGAAAAAAAAAACAAAAAAAACCCCATACAGATACAAATGCACTGCACGATTCCACATTCTAATTATTCAGTTAGAACCCCCCTCCTATTGGAGTATATCATTTTCTACATGGCGCTATATAAACCCCCTCCTATTGGAGTATATCATTTTCTAAACCGCGCTATATAAAACCCCCTCCTATTGGAGTATATCATTTTCTACATAGCGCTATATAAACCCCCTCCTATTGGAGTATATCATTTTCTACATAGCGCTATATAAACCCCCTCCTATTGGAGTATATCATTTTCTACATAGCGCTATTTAAAACCCCCTCCTATTGGAGTATATCATTTTCTAAACCGCGCTATATAAAACCCCCTCCTATTGGAGTATATCATTTTCTACATAGCGCTTTGTAGCCTCATCTCCTATTTAAAAGGCCCTCCATGTTTCATATTGTGCCATGTAGCCCAAGTCCCTACTCATGTTATACTATTCTATACAGAGCTACACAATATATAGCATTTTGTATATCCAGTTCATATATAAACCTTCTCCCATGTAATACTATGTTATATAGGGACTGGTGCTACAAATCACTATATATAGAATGCCCTATGATACCATGTTCTACACAGTACTGTCCAGCCCCTATATCAGGGATAGACAACCTGCGGCACTTCAGATGTTGTGGACTACATCCCCCATAATGCTGGCAAAGCATCATGGGATGTGTAGCCCAAAAACATCTGGAGTGCCAAAGGTTGCCTATGCCTGCCCTATATAATGCCCCTTATTATATATCATATATAATGTTCTCTTTACAAAGCATCCTCCTATATACCATTATCTATATTTTACTATTTAGGCCCATCTCCTTTATAAACACCATGATCTATATGTTGCTACATAGCCTCACTCCCTATACAATGTCGTATCCTATATCACACACCATGTTCTATATAACATATCCACAATATGTATTTAAAGCCTTCCCTGTATTACACCACGTTCTATATAGCACCATGTATCCAGTCTGTATATAAAGCCTCCCCTGTATTACACCATGTATCCCCAGTCTCTATATAAAGCCTCCCCCTGTATCACACCATGTATCCCCAGTCTCTATATAAAGCCTCCCCCTGTATCACACCATGTTCTATATAACACTATGTATCCCCAGTCTGTACATAAAGCTCCCTCTGTATCACACCATGCCCTACCCTATAAAGTACACTCCCTTGAGCAGCCCCTTTATGATAAACGTTATAATACATTATATATTACATTGGGCTCTCACTCTCTAGCAGTCTCTGTATAACATTATACAGTATATTATAACATACGGGTTGCCTGGGCTCTCACCCTCCAGTAGTCTCTGTATGATGATATAAAAAAAAAAAACAAAAAAAACAAAAAACCCCACACACTTATTATTACACTCGAGCAGTCTATTTGTATTCTTATTATATTTGTATATGGGTCTCACCTTCAAGCAGTCGCTGTATATTTATATTACACAGTATATTTTATTACCCTCAAGCAGTCGCTGTATGATGTTATTAATTTTAATAACATAATACAGCAACTGGGAGAGAGAGATCTGTATGATATATTACACAATTATTACCCTCTAGCAGTCTCTGTATGATATATTACACAGTATATATTATTATATTATTACCCTCTAGCAGTCTCTGTATGATATATTACACAGTATATATTATTATATTATTACCCTCTAGCAGTCTCTGTATGATATTATTACACAGTATATATTATTATTACCCTCTAGCAGTCTCTGTATGATATTATTACAGTATATATTATTATTACCCTCTAGCAGTCTCTGTATGATATTATTACACAGTATATATTATTATTACCCTCTAGCAGTCTCTGTATGATATTATTACACAGTATATATTATTATTACCCTCTAGCAGTCTCTGTATGATATTATTACACGGTATATATTATATATTATTATTATTATTATTATTACCCTCTAGCAGTCTCTGTATGATATTATTACACAGTATATATTATATTATTATTACCCTCTAGCAGTCTCTGTATGATATTATTACACAGTATATATTATATATTATTACCCTCTAGCAGTCTCTGTATGATATTATTACACAGTATATCTTATATATTATTATATTATTACCCTCTAGCAGTCTCTGTATGATATTATTACACAGTATATATTATATATTATTATATTATTACCCTCTAGCAGTCTCTGTATGATATTATTACACAGTATATATATTATTACCCTTCTAGCAGTCTCTGTATGATATTACACAGTATATAGCATTATTACCCTCTAGCAGTCTCTGTATGATATTATTACACAGTATATATTATTATTACCCTCTAGCAGTCTCTGTATGATATTATTACACGGTATATATTATATATTATTATTATTATTATTATTATTATTACCCTCTAGCAGTCTCTGTATGATATTATTACACAGTATATATTATATTATTATTACCCTCTAGCAGTCTCTGTATGATATTATTACACAGTATATATTATATATTATTACCCTCTAGCAGTCTCTGTATGATATTATTACACAGTATATATTATATATTATTATATTATTACCCTCTAGCAGTCTCTGTATGATATTATTACACAGTATATATTATATATTATTATATTATTACCCTCTAGCAGTCTCTGTATGATATTATTACACAGTATATATTATTATATTATTACCCTCTAGCAGTCTCTGTATGATATTATTACACAGTATATATTATATATTATTATATTATTACCCTCTAGCAGTCTCTGTATGATATTATTACACAGTATATATTATTATTACCCTCTAGCAGTCTCTGTATGATATTATTACACAGTATATATTATTATTACCCTCTAGCAGTCTCTGTATGATATTATTACACAGTATATATTATTATTACCCTCTAGCAGTCTCTGTATGATATTATTACACAGTATATATTATTATTACCCTCTAGCAGTCTCTGTATGATATTATTACACGGTATATATTATATATTATTATTATTATTATTATTACCCTCTAGCAGTCTCTGTATGATATTATTACACAGTATATATTATATTATTATTACCCTCTAGCAGTCTCTGTATGATATTATTACACAGTATATATTATATATTATTACCCTCTAGCAGTCTCTGTATGATATTATTACACAGTATATATTATATATTATTATATTATTACCCTCTAGCAGTCTCTGTATGATATTATTACACAGTATATATTATATATTATTATATTATTACCCTCTAGCAGTCTCTGTATGATATTATTACACAGTATATATTATATATTATTATATTATTACCCTCTATCTCTGTATATATTATTACACAGTATATATTATATATTATTATATTATTACCCTCTAGCAGTCTCTGTATGATGGAGTCGATGTTGAGTTTCTCTCCGTCGCCCATGGCTGACTGGCTGCCTCCCTGACTGGCTGTGATCGGGGTGAGGTCACGTGTCCGCCGGTGCCCGGGTCTCGCTCTGGTATCCTCCGCCGGCTAGTGACGTCACCGCGCGCACGAGGCCCTGCTTCCGCTCCCCCTCCTAACCGCCCGCCTTGTGAATGGGAGAGCGCCCGGCGCGCGCGTGCGTCACTGCCAGCGGCGGCCGCTGATTGGTCGCTGCCGACGGAAGGAATGTGACCACGCCCATCCCACCTTTTTCCGTTGCGTACTAGGCCCGATGGGTGGAGGGGGAGGGGAGAGGCAGGCACAGCTGCTTCTGATTGGCTAGAGGGTGAGAGCAGCGTTCTGAGAAGCTGATTGGTGGAAACGCGCAGCAGGTAAAAAGAGCGGGATTCCTGAGCGCGTGTCAGAGAGGGAATAATAGAGTGACAGAGAGGGAGGCACACACACACACAGAGAGAGAGAGAGAGAGAGTGACAAAAAGTGAGGCACAGCTAGACATAGAGAGAGAGAGAGTAACAGGGAGAGAGGCACAGCTAGACATAGAGATAGAGTGACAGAAAGTGAGGCAGGCAGACACAACTAGAGAGAGAGAGAGATAGAGTGACAGGGAGTGAGGCCCAGCTGGAGAGAGAGGCACAGCTAGACAGAGAGATAGAGTGACAGAAAGTGAGGCACAGCTAGACATACAGATAGAGATAGAGTGACAGAGAGTGAGGCACAGCTAGACATACAGATAGAGTGACAGAGAGTGAGGCACAGCTAGACATACATTTAGAGTGACAGAGAGTGAGGCACAGCTAGACATACAGATAGAGATAGAGTGACAGAGAGTGAGGCACAGCTAGACATACATTTAGAGTGACAGAGAGTGAGGCACAGCTAGACATACAGATAGAGATAGAGTGACAGAGAGTGAGGCACAGCTAGACATACAGATAGAGTGACAGAGAGTGAGGCACAGCTAGACATACAGATAGAGTGACAGAGAGTGAGGCACAGCTAGACATACAGATAGAGTGACAGAGAGTGAAGCACAGCTAGACATAGAGATAGAGTGACAGAAAGTGAGGCAGGCAGGCACAGCTAGACATAGAGAGAGAGAGTGTGACGGAGTGAGGCACAACTAGAGAGAGAGAGGCACAGCTAGACATACAGCGAGAGATAGAATGACGGAGTGAGGCACAGCTAGACATAGAGAGAGATAGAGTAACGGAGTGAGGCACAGCTAGATATAGAGAGAGAGATAGAGTAACAGGGAGTGAGGCACAGCTAGATATAGAGAGAGATAGAGTGACAGGGAGTGAGGCCCAGCTGGAGAGAGAGGCACAGCTAGACAGAGAGATAGAGTGACAGAGTGAAGCACAGTTAGAGAGAGAGAGAGGCACAGATAGACATACAGATAGAGATAGAGTGGCAGAAAGTGAGGCACAGCTAGACATACAGATAGAGTGACAGAAAGTGAGGCACAGCTAGACATACAGATAGAGTGACAGAGAGTGAGGCACAGCTAGACATACAGATAGAGTGACAGAGAGTGAGGCACAGCTAAACATAGAGAGAGAGATAGAGTAACAGGGAGTGAGGCACAGCTAGACATACAGATAGAGTGACAGAGAGTGAGGCACAGCTAGACATACAGATAGAGTGACAGAAAGTGAAGCACAGCTAGACATACAGATAGAGATAGAGTGACAGAGAGTGAGGCACAGCTAGACATACAGATAGGGTGACAGAGAGTGAAGCACAGCTAGACATAGAGATAGAGTGACAGAAAGTGAGGCAGGCAGGCATAGCTAGACATAGAGAGAGAGAGTGTGACGGAGTGAGGCACAACTAGAGAGAGAGAGTGACTGAGTGAGGCAGGCAGGCACAGCTAGAAATACAGAGAGAGATGGAGTGAGGCACAGCTAGACATAGAGAGAGAGAGAGAGTGACAGGGAGTGAGGCACAGCTAGAGAGAGAGAGGCACAGCTAGACATACAGAGAGATAGAATGACAGGGAGTTAGGCACAGCTAGAGAGAGAGAGAGAGAGGCAGGCACAGTTAGAGATAGAGTGACAGAAAGTGAGGCACTGCTAGAGATAGAGTGACAGAAAGTGAGGCACAGCTAGACAGACAGAGAGAGAGAGATAGAGTAACAGGAAGAGAGGCACAGCTAGATATAGAGAGATAGAGTGACAGGGAGTGAGGCACAGCTAGAGAGGGAGAGAGTGACAAAGTGAGGCACAGCTAGACAGAGAGAGAGGCAGGCACAGTTAGACAGAGATGGTGACAGAAAGTGAGGCACAGCTAGAGATAGTGACAGAAAGTGAGGCACAGCTAGATTGAGAGACAGAGAGGCACAGCTAGACATACAGAGAGAGAGACATGGGCACAGCTAGACATACAGAGAGAGACATGGGTACAGCTAGACTGAGAGAGAGGCGGGCACAGCTAGACAGAGAGCTGGGTACAGCTAGACTGAGAGAGATAGAGGCACAGCTAGACATACAGAGTGAGAAACAAGGGCACAGGTAGACCGAGAGACAGAGACATGAGCATAGCTAGACAGAGAGAGAGGGAGACATGGGCACAGCTAGATATAGAGAGAATGAGACACACATAGACATAGAGAGACATGGACACAGCCAGACATAGAGTGCTGGGAAAAACTAGACATAGAGAGAGAGCTGGGCACACCCATAAATAGAAAGAGAGCTGGGCACACCCAGACATAGAGAGAGCTGGGTACAACTAGACAGAGAGAGAGACATGGGCACAGTTAGACAGATAGAGAGCTGGGCACCGCTAGATATAGAGAGAATGAGGCACACCTAGACATAGAGAGCTGGGAAAAACTAGACAGAGAGAGAGCTGGGCACACCCAGACATAGAAAGATATGTGTACACCCAGACTCTACATTTACACACCCAGACATAGAGAGAGAGAGCTGGACACACCCAGACATAGAGAGAGCTGGGCACACAATAATAACTATAGTATGATCTAAAACTCAGGATGGGGTGTTAGTTAATGAAAACCAGGAAAAGGCAGAAATTTTAAATAAATTTCTCCTCAGTATATATATAGGAAGAACCTCTGGCTCTAGATATGTATATGATTGCGGCAAAACACTTGTATAAAAATTGTAATTGGATGACTCAAGACAAGGTGCTGCAGCAACAAATAAAGTTATTATAAACAAAGCTCCAAGGCCTAATGGTATTCATCCACTAGTACTTAAGGAGCTAAGTGTGGAAATAAGTGAACCTCTGTGTTTAATATTTCAAGATTCTTTTCTTTCAGGAATTGTACTGGAGGATTGGAGGAATGCAGATGTGGTTCCTATATTCAAAAAGGGTTTGAAAGCCTTGCCTGGAAATTATACAACTGTGAGCTTAACTTGTGCGGCTGTGAAGGTATTTGAAAGGTTATTAAGGGATAAAATTCAAGATTTCATTGAAAAGAACGTGGTTAGCAAAAAATCTGTATGATTTTATGAAGCATGGGTCATCTCAAACTAACTTGATTGCATTCTACGAAGAAGTAAGTAGAAGTATAGATCAGGGTGTTGCTATGGATGTTAACTATTTGGATTTTGCCAAGGTGTTTGATACAGTTCCTCACATTAGATCAGTGTTAACACTCAAAGAAATTGGTCTAGATGAAAATTCTTGTTCTTGGGTAGAACATTGGCTTAAAAATGGAGTACAAAGAGTTGTAATTAATGGTAACATTTCGAGCTAGGTAGAAGTGGTAAGTGGTGTCAATCAGGGTTCTGCTCTGGAATCCTTTCTATTTGACATATTTAGAAATGATCTTGAAAAAGTATTGAAAGTGTTTGCAGATTACACAAAACTTTGTAAAGTAATACAATGTGAGCAGGATATTACTTTGCTGCAGATGGCTTTAGATAGACCGGGGTACTGGACACTCAAATGACAGATGCAATTTAATGTAGAAAATGTAAAGTTATGCACTTCGGGGTAAAGAATGTGTAGCGGATGGCCATGAGCTGCCCTGGGACTTAAAATTATGTTTAACCTGTATTTGTCTATTTGCTAAATGTCTATGCAGTAAGGGGATGTATTCGTGTAAAATAGCTAAGTTCTACAGGGAGTGCAGAATTATTAGGCAAATGAGTATTTTGACCACATCATCCTCTTTATGCATGTTGTCTTACTCCAAGCTGTATAGGCTCGAAAGCCTACTACCAATTAAGCATATTAGGTGATGTGCATCTCTGTAATGAGAAGGGGTGTGGTCTAATGACATCAACACCCTATATCAGGTGTGCATAATTATTAGGCAACTTCCTTTCCTTTGGCAAAATGGGTCCAAAGAAGGACTTGACAGGCTCAGAAAAGTCAAAAATAGTGAGATATCTTGCAGAGGGATGCAGCACTCTTAAAATTGCAAAGCTTCTGAAGCGTGATCATCAAACAATCAAGCGTTTCATTCAAAATAGTCAACAGGGTCGCAAGAAGCGTGTGGAAAAACCAAGGCGCAAAATAACTGCCCATGAACTGAGAAAAGTCAAGCGTGCAGCTGCCGCGATGCCACTTGCCACCAGTTTGGCCATATTTCAGAGCTGCAACATCACTGGAGTGCCCAAAAGCACAAGGTGTGCAATACTCAGAGACATGGCCAAGGTAAGAAAGGCTGAAAGACGACCACCACTGAACAAGACACACAAGCTGAAACGTCAAGACTGGGCCAAGAAATATCTCAAGACTGATTTTTCTAAGGTTTTATGGACTGATGAAATGAGAGTGAGTCTTGATGGGCCAGATGGATGGGCCCGTGGCTGGATTGGTAAAGGGCAGAGAGCTCCAGTCCGACTCAGACGCCAGCAAGGTGGAGGTGGAGTACTGGTTTGGGCTGGTATCATCAAAGATGAGCTTGTGGGGCCTTTTCGGGTTGAGGATGGAGTCAAGCTCAACTCCCAGTCCGACTGCAAGTTCCTGGAAGACACCTTCTTCAAGCAGTGGTACAGGAAGAAGTCTGCATCCTTCAAGAAAAACATGATTTTCATGCAGGACAATGCTCCATCACACGCGTCCAAGTACTCCACAGCGTGGCTGGCAAGAAAGGGTATAAAAGAAGAAAATCTAATGACATGGCCTCCTTGTTCACCTGATCTGAACCCCATTGAGAACCTGTGGTCCATCATCAAATGTGAGATTTACAAGGAGGGAAAACAGTACACCTCTCTGAACAGTGTCTGGGAGGCTGTGGTTGCTGCTGCACGCAATGTTGATGGTGAACAGATCAAAACACTGACAGAATCCATGGATGGCAGGCTTTTGAGTGTCCTTGCAAAGAAAGGTGGCTATATTGGTCACTGATTTGTTTTTGTTTTGTTTTTGAATGTCAGAAATGTATATTTGTGAATGTTGAGATGTTATATTGGTTTCACTGGTAATAATAAATAATTGAAATGGGTATATATTTGTTTTTTGTTAAGTTGCCTAATAATTATGCACAGTATTAGTCACCTGCACACACACATATCCCCCTAACATAGCTATAACTAAAAACAAACTAAAAACTACTTCCAAAAATATTCAGCTTTGATATTAATGAGTTTTTTGGGTTCATTGAGAACATGGTTGTTGTTCAATAATAAAATTAATCCTCAAAAATACAACTTGCCTAATAATTCTGCACTCCCTGTATGTGTAAAATGTATTGGATTCGTCTGAATGTAAGGTAGTTTCATTCCCTTAGTTTGTTCGAATGAAACTACCGAACAATCAGACTTCCCCTGTGTGAAGTGTGCCTTCAATTATTTGTTGCAAACGGGTAATTGACAAGCTGTGTAGCAATCCTTTGTTCTCAGGGGTGGCCGCCATTCGAGAAACGAACACGTGGCGGCGGCCATCTTAACCTCCCGAACAGCGGTGTTTTGCCGTTGAGTGTCTGGAACTAAAAACGGACACTCGATCAGGCGAACACCGCTGAGACCTCCATCAGCCCGGTCCGTTTGGTTCCAAACTACCGAACGGCCCCTCGTTCGGTAGGCATAATCAACCGAACGAGGGGATTCAGGCGAACCCTCCCAAGCCTCTGTAGTTGGAGGCTTTCAGGTACTGCATTCGTCTTTTCTATGACCGACCGCAGGGCCCCATCGCATGGAGCCCAATTCGGCTAGTTCATCCAGCACGGTTGGTCATTTTATTCCCTCCAGGAAATTCCCGAACCCCTGGTCCGATCTGGGTGATTTTTGGATATGTTGTTCACCCAGATCAGCCATTCTGGGGTCAAAAGGCATTTTGTTCCTAGTTTGTTGCAAAATTGGAAGTGCTTCAAACTGGGTTTTTTTGCCTTCTTTTGGATAAACACTAGGTTTAGGGGTACATCCAGAAACAGGGGGAATTGCTGTACTGGATAAGGGTATTATGATGCCGGCTGAGGGGAGGAGATGTGTGGGAAGTTACCGGGACAGGATTGGCTACTGTTTTAATGAATGGAAATCCCTCCCTTGCATGGGAGCATGCTATATAAGGCACTGTGGAATAAAGGTTGTCAGTTCTGCTCCTGAAACTGTGTGTCGTCCAGTTATTGGGATTGCTGTTGGGATACTGGTGTGTTATTTTGCCTGCTGGAAACCTTGCCTGTGGATTTACAATTTACTTGTTCCTGAGCCTCACTTGGATTATAAGTGGAGATAGCCTGGGGAATATTGTATCTCCGCTACAGAATGCACTAGCAACTTATACCCTAAATGGTAGTGAATTAGGCATAACAACACATGAGAAGGAATTGGGAATTGTTACAGACAACAAACTAGGCAACAACATTCAATGTCAATCAGCAGTGGCTAAGGCCAGTAAGGTATTGTCATGCATAAAAAAAAGAGCATTAATTCTTGGGATGAGAATATAATTTTGCCTCTTTATAAATCACTGGTAAGACCTCATCTTGAATATGCTATGCAATTTTGGGCACCTGTGCTAAAGAAAGATATTCTAAATTAATAAAAGGAATGGAACATTTTAGCTATGAAGAAAGGTTAACAAATTTAAACCTCTTTAGTTTAGAAAAACATTGCCTCAGAGATATATTATACAAATATATCTGGGGCCAACATAACCATTGTGTTCACAAACAGGACTTTACATAGGACACAAGGCCATGCGTTTAGACTGGAAGCATGAAGGCAAAGGAAAGTTGTTTTTTGTACCGTAAGAACAATAAGGATGTGGAATTCTCTGCCTGAAGAAGTGGTTTTATCAGAGTCTGTACAGATGTTTAAACAGCAACTAAATGCATAACTGCAAAAAAATATTTAATGATATAATTTTTCAACTGTAGGGTAATACCTCCTTGATCCAAGGATAAATCTGACTGCCATTCTGGGGTCAAAAGGCATTTTGTTCCTAGTTTGTTGCAAAATTGGAAGTGCTTCAAACTGGGTTTTTTTGCCTTCTTTTGGATAAACAGTAAAACACAGATGTAAGGAAGGCTGAACTTGATGGACACGTCTCTTTTCAGCCTAACTATGTAACTATCTAATCAAGCTATACCACAGCCTTATTAACCATACAATGGTATAACTATACCACAGCCATACTAACTGTACCATGGTCTACTCTAACTATACCCCAGCCTTACCAACTGTACTGAGTCTAATCTAACTATACCACAGCAATATAAACTATGGTCCTGGTAACAATACCACAGTCATACTAACAATACTATGGTCTAATAGTATAGTTAGTATTGCTGTGGTATGGTTAGGTTAAATCATAGTATTGTTGTTAGGACCATAGTACAGTTAGTATGTCTGTGGTATAGTTAGATTAGACCATAGTATAGTTAGTATGTCTGTGGTGTAGTTAGATTACACCATAGTATCGTTGGTATGTCTGTGGTATAGTTAGATTAGACCATAGTATCGTTAGTATGTCTGTGATATAGTTAGATTAGACCATAGTATAGTTAGTATGGCTGTGGTATAGTTAGATTAAACCGTAATATTGTTAGTATGACTGTGGTATAGTTAGATTAGACTCTAATCTAACTATACCACAGCCTTACTAACTTTACTATAAATCTAATTACAATACCACAGACATATTAACTATACCACAGCCCAATTAGCCATACAATTACCTTTTTAACTATATCATAACCTTACTAATCGTACCACTGTCTTAATAACAACACCTTTGTTTTACTAACTACACCATGATCTTATTAACTATACCATGGTTTTACTAACCATACCACAGCCATACTAACTATACCATGGTCTTACTAACCATAGCACAGCCATGCTTAATTTACCATGGTCTTACTAACCACACCGTGGTCTTACTAACAATACTATGGTCTTACTTACCATAGCACAGCCAAACTAACCATTTAATAGTCTTACTAGCCATACTAACCATACCACAGCCAAACTAACCATTTAATAGTCTTACTAGCCATACTAACCATACCACAGACACATTAAAGGAACACCATAGGGTTAGGAACACAGACATGTATTCCTGACTCTATTATGTTAAAACCAACATCTAGCCCCCCTGCATCCCTAAATATAGTAAATTATTACTTGTATTAAAGACTGCAGCTGCTGGAAGTGGTGGTCTGAGCTAATCAGAATGCTTCCCCGTAGGATTGGCTGGGACTGCCAAGGAGGCAGATCAGGGGCAAAGCCAATACAAGTCAAGCATAGCCCTGGTCAATCAGCATCTACTCATAGAGATATATTGAATCAATACATCTCTATGAGGAAAGTTCAGTGTCTGCATGCAGAGGGTGGAGACACTGAATGGCAGTGCTGCTTACTCTGCAGTACTGCCCCAGGAAGCACCTCTAGCAGCCATCTAAGGAGTGGCCTGTGGAGTTATCACTAGGCTGAAAAGACAGTGTTTACAGCAAAAAGCCTGAAGAGAATGATTCTACTCACTAGAACAAATACAATAAGCTGTAGTTGTTATTGTGACTATAGTGTCCCTTTAACCGTACATGAGGTGAGTTGGACACCATACCATATTAAATAGGTGGGTTTGGGGGCTTGGCTCTGAAGGAAGATGACCGCGTAAACCTTTCCTGCTCTACTGCCTTGTGTAAATTTGTGTGCTAATCCCACCTAATCGCCTTCCACCTCCCAGAAGGCTACTAAACCCAAAAAGGGGTCTCTTACCCGGTCGCTGCGCAACTACCTCTTGTCACCCTCGGACCTGACATCTCAAACCTCTGATGACCAGGGTGATGCTTCCCCTCGATTTTCTCCAGAGGACCTGTTGCCAAGGCCGGAAGAGAGGGACTGGACATCCCTCCTACGTGCCCTGCCGACCCACGCTGATTTAGTGGCCGCTAACAGCGCACTCCCGGCCTCGATCAAAGCTGACATCTAGGTGCTCAGGGATGATCTACAGGGCCTGAACGACCAGGCGGACCAGGCACTTACCTCTAAACTAAAACTAAAACCAGAATACTTACGGGGCCTTGCTCTCCACGTGGAAGACCTGGACAACCAGGGGCGGTGCAACAACTTGTGGCTGCTAGGCCTCCCTATCCCCCACACTCAACTGTGCACGACCTTGGAGGAAATCTTTAATGGGTTGCTTGCCAGGGACCCAACCACTATTATCAGACCACATTTATCAGAGCACACCGCGCCCTGCGCCCCACAGGCCCACTAGATGCCCCACCACGGGACATGATTTGCTGCCTCGAATCCTTTGCCAAGCGAGAAGCTATCTTACGAGCAGCTAGGGAGGCTCTCATGAACCGCTACCTTGAACACAACTGCAACTCTTTCCAGACCTCTCTCTGGACACGCTTCACTACCAGAGGATGCTGAGGCCTCTTACACAAGCCTTGCAATCATCAGGGGTTAGATACCGATGACTCTTTCCCACTGGACTATATGTAACCAGCCCTGATGGCCCTATGCTGCTCTGATCTCATGCAGAACTACAGGGAGTGCAGAATTATTAGGCAAATGAGTATTTTGACCACATCATCCTCTTTATGCATGTTGTCTTACTCCAAGCTGTATAGGCTCGAAAGCCTACTACCAATTAAGCATATTAGGTGATGTGCATCTCTGTAATGAGAAGGGGTGTGGTCTAATGACATCAACACCCTATATCAGGTGTGCATAATTATTAGGCAACTTCCTTTCCTTTGGCAAAATGGGTCAAAAGAAGGACTTGACAGGCTCAGAAAAGTCAAAAATAGTGAGATATCTTGCAGAGGGATGCAGCACTCTTAAAATTGCAAAGCTTCTGAAGCGTGATCATCGAACAATCAAGCGTTTCATTCAAAATAGTCAACAGGGTCGCAAGAAGCGTGTGGAAAAACCAAGGCGCAAAATAACTGCCCATGAACTGAGAAAAGTCAAGCGTGCAGCTGCCACGATGCCACTTGCCACCAGTTTGGCCATATTTCAGAGCTGCAACATCACTGGAGTGCCCAAAAGCACAAGGTGTGCAATACTCAGAGACATGGCCAAGGTAAGAAAGGCTGAAAGACGACCACCACTGAACAAGACACACAAGCTGAAACGTCAAGACTGGGCCAAGAAATATCTCAAGACTGATTTTTCTAAGGTTTTATGGACTGATGAAATGAGAGTGAGTCTTGATGGGCCAGATGGATGGGCCCGTGGCTGGATTGGTAAATGGCAGAGAGCTCCAGTCCGACTCAGACGCCAGCAAGGTGGAGTGGAGTACTGGTTTGGGCTGGTATCATCAAAGATGAGCTTGTGGGGCCTTTTCGGGTTGAGGATGGAGTCAAGCTCAACTCCCAGTCCTACTGCCAGTTCCTGGAAGACACCTTCTTCAAGCAGTGGTACAGGAAGAAGTCTGCATCCTTCAAGAAAACATGATTTTCATGCAGGACAATGCTCCATCACACGCGTCCAAGTACTCCACAGCGTGGCTGGCAAGAAAGGGTATAAAAGAAGAAAATCTAATGACATGGCCTCCTTGTTCACCTGATCTGAACCCCATTGAGAACCTGTGGTCCATCATCAAATGTGAGATTTACAAGGAGGGAAAACAGTACACCTCTCTGAACAGTGTCTGGGAGGCTGTGGTTGCTGCTGCACGCAATGTTGATGGTGAACAGATCAAAACACTGACAGAATCCATGGATGGCAGGCTTTTGAGTGTCCTTGCAAAGAAAGGTGGCTATATTGGTCACTGATTTGTTTTTGTTTTGTTTTTGAATGTCAGAAATGTATATTTGTGAATGTTGAGATGTTATATTGGTTTCACTGGTAATAATAAATAATTGAAATGGGTATATATTTGTTTTTTGTTAAGTTGCCTAATAATTATGCACAGTAATAGTCACCTGCACACACAGATATCCCCCTAACATAGCTAAAACTAAAAACAAACTAAAAACTACTTCCAAAAATATTCAGCTTTGATATTAATGAGTTTTTTGGGTTCATTGAGAACATGGTTGTTGTTCAATAATAAAATTAATCCTCAAAAATACAACTTGCCTAATAATTCTGCACTCCCTGTAGTTCATCTGGGGACCCTGATCTCCCTCCCACTGCTGAACTTTAAGTGACCTGATATGACTGAATTCCTCATGCCGACAGATAGGCGGATACTTACCCTTCCACAGAGGGACCTCAGACCCCGTCAGACGACCGCTAACCAAACGACTCACCTGAGGACAAGTGACCGAGGCAACTCTTGGAACTCCCCACCAATGTTGTTAATGATTAACAAGCAGATTTCGAAGTCCAACATCGCCCAGGTATTGAACCATCGAGGATGGGTACAACGGTTGCCCGATGCCATAACCACGATGGCCTGCTCATATTACGAAAATCTTTACTCAACGGAGACGGCAGGGAACCACCCCCGTCCAAAGCGAAAGACAGAAGCCATCCACGCTTACCTGGAAGCTAATATCCACACGACACTGACGGAAGACGCCAAAAGGACCCTGGAAGCACCTTTGACCCTAGAGGAGCTGACACCATACCTGGTAAAAGCCCTGGCCCTGACGGTCTGCCCATTCGCTACTACAGACAATTTGCAGATGTCTAATACCCACAACTTCTGAGGACGTTCAACTCCCTCACAGAAGGACAGAGGCTTCCCCCACAAACCTTGGCAGCTTATGTCGTTCTAATTCCCAAAGAGGGCAAAGACCTGGAACTATGCACCAACTACCGGCCCATCTCGTTATTAAACTGGGATTATTCACAAAGATCCTGACCACTAGACTGAGCCCATACTTACCCAACCTCGTGAAATCTGACCAGGTGGGCTTCATACCCCATCCTTCATACCTTCATACCCCAAGTGAGAGATGACACCACACGGGTGGATGACCTGATGTTGCCTCCCCTGAGGCCACGCTTCCAACCATCATGCATGAAATTGATCTTTATGGGGAACTCTCCAACTTCAAAATCAACTATGCCAAACTGACTCTGCTTAACATCTCCATGCCCATTGCTAAGACCGCTGGAGTGTGCAAATCCTTTTAATTCCAATGGTTGGAGAGGGCAGTGAAATACCTGGGTGTCTGGATCCCGGGAGACCTCTCCCACCTATATGCAACGAACTTCATGCCCTTACTGTCTACGATCCAGAAGAACCTGCCACGAGTCCTCTACCTGTTTCAGACGCTTCCTATGCGGATCCCAGCCGCATCGCTCCGATAATTAATGATAACTTACATCAACGACCCCGACGGCGATATCAAACACTGACTAAACCGAAGACGGAAGCAGGGTTGGCAGTTCCAGACTTTCTCTTATACTACCACGCTACTCACCTGCAGAGGAGAATGGAGTGGGCCAAGGACGGGGTGGACAAGTTAAGTGAAGATGTAGAGCGGGCCCAAATGGGCAGATCTTTGCCAGCACTAATATGGATGATCCCCAAGGCTAGTAGACTGAAGTCAGGCTAGCAGCCATGCCTTACGGCCACAATGGAGATATGGCACAGGATAGCATCCAGACTGAGCCTCTCACCATTCCCTTTTCGCTATCACCAACAATCCCGACTTCCACCCAGGATTGGAGGGTAGACCATACACTTGCTTCTTCCCGCATGGCCAGTTCCAAGCTCTTCATATGTTCACAGGACATGAGCTCAAGACACTGAGATTTACTGGGGGACATCAGGGGGACCTTCTTACATACACTCAAGGACGAGCAAGTTCCTCAGACAGATCCCCCAACGACCTGACATAACTAGGACACTCACCTCCTTTGAGCAACAATGTGTCAATCCCGACCCACAGCCACATGCCGTATCCCCCCTGTACTCTCTTCTACACACACAGCTGAACCTCCCAGCCCCTGGGTACATGGGGAAATGGGAAGTTGTCCTTGGTGAAACCTTTACCACAAACCTATGGGGGAAGATCTGTGATTTGGGGCATCATTCATGCGCTTGCTAGTAAGATACAGAAAACGGCATATAACTGTGGTACAGAACGCCTCACCTCTTTCAGTGCATGAAGGAGACACCCCCCCCCCCCCGCCCCACTGACCTTGTGGTTCGACAAAATGGAGGACCTAAGATGGCTAGAAGAACTGACACTCATGGCTCAAGGAGGCGCCCACTCTTACACAGACATCTGGACTCACTGGCTGATGGTCGCATATAACGCTAACTTTCGGGCCTTGCTGGCATATGGAGCGACTAGCCTGGTGGGAACAGGGTTCTCGGGTTGCGGGCTGTGCGCACTCCCCGCTTGAGAGTTAGAGGAGGAGATCTTCCTGACCCAACATTCCAACACTCACCTTTGAGGGACACCCAAAAATGGGGAGCAGTAGGGGATACTCCTGATACAGGTTACTCACACAGGTAAACAACCAGGCGGACACCTGGACATAGGCATTTTGTTGCACCTCTGTACGTTAGGTTCACTGCAAAGTGGTACCACTTTAGTCCATATAAGAGCGCTATACATGTATGTCATGCTATGTAACTGGATTGCGGACTTTGAGTCCCTATTTACCAATATGTTATTTGTTTCACTCAACCCTGCCTGGCTTTCAAACTTTGTACGTCATATTCTGGAAAAAACGGTTTACCTGTGTACTTACATTCACTCAGTACTTATTTTGATACAGCCACAGTGACCAATAGAAATCTTATTAACAAAAAAAATGAGGTGGGTTGGGCACCAGTCCATAGTAACATTAGAAAAGGTCTGCACTCAGGAATGCTACACTAAGTACGATTCTGGTAGGTACTGGGTATACTAACATGGTGGGAATTTGGCCAGGAAGGGGAGCTTGGTACTTGGTGATACAATGAAAGAAAGCTTGACATTTAGGCTTCATGGATTATGAATATAAAGGAGACACTAACATGAGGGAAGCATGGCTCCACGGAGTACTAATATAAGGGGAGCACTTTATTAGGGGGCACTATCATGAGGAAGGCTTGGTTCCACAGGGTACTAATATAAGGGGAGCTCTGCATTAGGGGACACTAATATGAGGGAAGCTTGGCTCCACGGAGTAATAATATAAATGGGAGCTCTGTATTAGGGGGCCCTAACTGAGGGAAGCTTGGCTCCATGGAGTACTAATATAAAGGGGAGCGCTGCATTGGGGGACATGAACATGAGGGAAGCTTGGCTCCACGGAGTACTAATCTAAGGGGAGCTCTGTATTAGGGGGCACTAACATGAAGGAAGCTGGGCTCCATGGAGTATTAATATAAAGGGGAGCTCTGTTTAGGGGGCCCTAACATGAGGGAAGCTTGGTTCTACAGAGTACTAATATAAAGGGGAGCTCTGTATAAGGGGGCCCTAACTGAGGGAAGCTTGGCTCCATGGAGTACTAATATAAAGGGGAGCTCTGCATTGGGGGACACTAACATGAGGGAAGCTTGGCTCCACGGAGTACTAATATAAAGGGGAGCTCTGCATTGGGGGACACTAACATGAGGGAAGCTTGGCTCCACGGCCTACATACATAAAGGGGAGCTCTGCATTGGGGGACACTAACATGAGGGAAGCTTGGCTCCACGGCCTACAAACATAAAGGGGAGCTCTGCATTGGGGGACACTAACATGAGGGAAGCTTGGCTCCATGGACTATGAATATAAAGGGGAGCTCTGCATTGGGGGACACTAACATGAGGGAAGCTTGGCTCCACGGAGTGCTTATATAAAGGGGAGCTCTGTATTAGGGGGCCCTAACTGAGGGAATGTTGCTTCTGACCCTCCACCATTAAAAGAACTTGTTTTGGAGCCCAACTCTACTTGCCCTCCCCAAACAGGGTGAACCTCCTCCATAACGCCAGCTTCATTGCCAGCATGCAGATGTCTGAACACTCCATTACTACACTCCCTGAGCAGTGCCAGCTCAGAGGTTACCATAGCAACCAGAGATCATGCGCTGTGTGTGCTATGGGTGGAGAGCAGGACCTCCTGCGGGAGATCCCTTCAGCTCGTCCTGCCAATCAATTCTTCAGCATAGTCAATTCCGAAGAGTTTATTAACAGGTGTGACAGACATGCATCCATTGGCATGCATAACACATCACTTTAGGGTGTGCACCTTGAGATAATTGCAATCTAAACTTTACTTATAGGGACACTTCAGGCACCATAACAACTTAATTGTAATGAAGTTCTTATGGTGTGAGGAAGTTTCAGATGTCGGCTTACTTCAGTTCATGAACAGTGGGTTTACCCCAAAGTGTTAAATAAGCCGTCCATTTGCTGTTACCACGAACATCCGCTGCAGTCCTAAGCTTCAATCAGGAAGCTCCCGACTGGCAGCCGCTGATAGGCTTAGAGCATCAGCTGACACGCTTAGCTTATCAGTAACTCCCCATTCACAAACCAGAGTGAAAAACGTAGATATTTTAACCACTCCGTTTTTTGAATGGGGAGCTACTGATAAGCTTAGAATGTCATCTACTGTTTGTGGTAATAGTTACTGCTTTCAACACTTTGCAGTTTAACTGTTCATGAATGGTTCAACCCCATGAGGTAAGGCGGGATCTCCTTGCACCATAATAACTTAATTCCAATGAAGTTGTTATGGTGCCTGGAGTGTTCCTTTCAAAAATACTAATTTAACAAATCAGGTTTAAAGTAACACATATTTTGCTGTAACAAAAAGATGATGAATACAGAGGTTTTCTTTAAAAACATAAGCTAATCCAAACTCACACAAATTGCCCATCGAGCCCGCAAAAAGACCTAGGGAGGGAGGATGCATTAGAGTGTGCCTAGGCATACCCCCTGCACCCACCTATACGTGTATCATTGGACTTATATTGGGTTTCTGCTGGATAGCAGGCTTTATAGACATTTAATTTCTAAATGTATTCCGTTGAGAAATAGTAAGAGGTGATAAACACAAAATGCTCAAAAAAGACAGAATTATCCACTAAAGTGAGAATTCCCAGTGATTTTCAAATAGTTGAACTTGAATATTTATTTGTCAGTAATGTTTTCAGTTTGGCTAATCTCACTTCACTCTGAATTATCATTTTGGCAAATTACCATGTTTGTTTCTTCTTTTGCAGAGAAGGCATCGGAGTGAACAGGAGGACTATCGAAATAAGGCTGCACCAGCAGAACATAATATGAATTTAGAAATCCAAGCTTTTCCACGTATTTGCTTGCTAGGGGTAAATAGGTTTTGGAGTTATTCAATAAACTGTTGAGTTTTGGAGAATGTAAAATCCTCTAATGCAGCCATTTATCAGCTTAGCTGCATTAGCATACACTTTGTAATAACCATTGCAACAATTCATGGCTTAATGAAATAATCTGTACATGTCTAAAGAAATTATTTACTGCATCCTTTTGAAAAAATGTGAGCTGGGTACTGGACACTTTGGGATGTTTTGGAGACTGGACTTTGGAAGGTATACAAAATTTGTTGCTCTGGTGTTAAAAGATTATTCTTAGATAAAATACAATCCCTTTTATGCTGTTGTTTTATCACCTGTCCAGGTTACTTAGGTTACAGAATATACAGCATCCATGCCTCATTAAAGACTTGTATTAAAATTGTTTACATGAGAACCTACTTATAGCAGTGTATTCATTGGACTTTCTAACCTACAATTCTGTGCCATTGAAAAGGTGTCTACAGATTGGAGAGGTGGTGATATTGATTTTAATCTTAATAAAAAGGAAATGGAATGGATTTTCAATGTTAATACCATCACTCCTAGAGGATTGAATGTTGAGTTTGATATTAATCAATTTATATAGATACCATTTACATATGTACATTATATATTTTTATTAAAAAAAATCTTTAAAATTTTTTTGGGGTATTTTATATATTCTTATCACTTTGAAAAAACAAACAAAAAAAACTTCCATCTACACCCTCCAGGTGTATTCATCCGTAAAATAGATCTTTTATTAAGATTAAGATATTTCATATCCATTTGATTTCCTTCCTTTTTCAAATTTGAGATATTGTACTGTAAAAGTGTCTCTTTTATTGTCCGTGTTGACTTATCTAATTATACTAATATTGTTATGTATATATAAATATGCCTTCTTTGATAGTAATTACAGACTTTTATGTATTTTCCTCCAGCTATTAAAAGATTTTGAACTTTCCTACCCTTTACCAGTACTAAAGATGGACTTTATACATCTCAGAGGACTCTAACAACGTCATGAAGTCAGACGTAACGCCATTACACCGACCGCTGGAATATGGAAAACAGAAATGACGTTGTATGACCTAATGAACCCGGAAGTGAATTCAAAATACAAGCGGGAAAAAGCTGAATCCGGATATAAAAAGAATACACGAATAAACCCGGGAATATGCACTTGATAAAGACTCATCTAAGAGTCGAAACACATTGTGCTATTTATTTTATCCATTTTATCTTGCGGTTTTATTTTTTGCACTGTGTGCCCAATAAATAGTTTTTTTCCACTTATTCAAGTTTGGAAGTTACGTTCTTGGGAGTAAGCAGATCCAGTAAGCAATCTGGAGATTACATATATTGAAGAGCCTTGAAAGTCTGAATAGGCCCAGCAACATATGAATTTGATCAATTGGTACTTTCAAATGCTGCATTCTGTAACATATTACGCTATGATTTGTACTATATGTTTTATTGCAGATATTTAACAGCTATTGTTTACCATTCAAGATCGTGCAGCGGTAGTATTTTACCATTTTATGTGCTTGCTCTCACCTACTCACTTTATTTCCTTATTATTTATTAGTGTTGTTGGGTGACATAACACTGGTGATTGTAGCAACACTGTTTTATTTAATTTTTATTTGATTACTGTATTTTATTTCTTTGTGTATTTCTAACCATGTTGCATACTTTTAACAAAACAAATCAATTTCCTTTTTGTTTTTTTAAACTTATTGCACTAATTAGCCCAGCTTCACGCCATGTGCTTGTAACAGACAGTTATTGGGGAGCATTGTCCGTGGGTTGCTTTGCTTTCTAAATAAAGGTTCATTTTTGGTTGCATGTTGTAAATTCCTCTGCCCCTCTCATTGTGTTGGGAACACGGACTGCATTTTTCACATATCGTAGAAGATTCACAATGGCTGCTGGTGTCACGCCAGGTATACGTGCAGCTGCACCGATCTGTTGGGGACAAAATCAGCTAAGAGATTAATTTATATACATTCAGAAATGTTATATATATTCACTACATAATTAGGGGTGCATACATTGTATATATTAAATTATTAGAGCTAATATTAATAGCATTTTTATACATTTTATTGGATACGTGGTATATTTATAAGTACTTTTAGAGTAACATCAAAAACAAAAAACATGGTGTTATCAAAAATATAGATGAAAATAAATTGGACACTAAATAACAGAGATTAAAAAAAAAAGTGTCAGGCAAATAAGTTTAGTTTCTTTTACATTTAGGCAGAAACACATATTTCAAACTAATAATGTTTTTTTTTAAAGTTTTTAATTTTTCTCCCTCATAATTAACTTCTTACCGTTTGCGGTCGGCTTTGTGACAGCTTCTCTCGAACTTCAAGTGACAGCATAGAGTTAAGGTTCAAGTAGTCAATATCGTCCGGCAAAACCAAAGCCTCGTCTTTCTGAACTTCTGCAATCTCTTTCTGCTGCTGTTTTACATGCAACTCGTACATGGCTACACAGATACAAGAACGCTGCTCTGTTAATGCACTTCATTAGCACACGGGGCATCCAAAAGGTGAAGCATAGATTTAATATTAGAACAATAGCAATCTCAATAATATGATTCCCCAAGATATTACATTATTGCTCTCAGTAAGGGCCAGACCTGCGTTGTTATAAACTATTATTGATACTGTATTTTTAGAAAACCTCAGTAATTGCAAACATCTCCATGTTTTCAGAGGTTCATTCTCGTTAAAGTAAAACTCAAACATCAAAAATATACAATAGGAGGGGGCGGGGCCGGACCGCCGGAGGGATCAGACGCGTTCTGTCTGAGCTCCCGCTTCAGGGCCGAAAATCGGCGATAACTGGGGGCCAAATCTAACCAACGACACACTCCGGCAACTAAACTGACCCCCAGCTGTTGGGGAAAGCAGAGATGCCTCCCAAAAACCCTACCTGGTGCCAACGGTGACCCGATGGAGGCCTGAAGCACGGGGGAGCTTGAGCCGGGAAGAGACGGCCGCTCTCCCGGGTCTCCAACCGCCGGCTGGCTCCCCCGCCTCCCCCTCTGGACCGGGGGGGTCATCCCGGTCTACACGGACATCCACCAATGTGCCTAACCAGGCCTAGAAGAACCACCCCGCCGAGGTACACTTACTGAGCAGTACCCCTCAAGATGGCCGCCGCATGAAAGCCACGTGCGTGAACTGCCAGCACAATGGAGCCGAGCGCAGAGGAGACTACCCATCTGACATACTCCAGGGCTATACCTGCGGACCACACCGAGACCGGCAGCGGTGAGAATGGCGAAAGCGGGAACAAAGCGGAGGAGCAAGCAACCTCTCCCACCTGAACAAGACAGTCCACTGATGAAGAGAGTCGGAGGCCGCAGCCGGGCTGCATAACTTGGACCCAGCTTCCTTCACCGAACCACCACAGACAACACATTGAAACCTGCCAACCATATGGACTAGGACTATTCAAGCCCTTCAGCCTATTTTACCAAGCGGTATTGTACGGACACTCTCTCGTGGGTCTGCTTAAAGCCACATACCCATGATGTTTTGATTTAATGCACATCGCAATATATGCTTATTTAACCCTTGTAAAATGTGTTTGCATAGCAGAATTGTTGGTCTGGATTAAGTTTACGTAGCATATACCTAGCTTGAGATGAATATCTACTGTAAGGCAAGGCAGAACCGTTTGAATACACATCTCCTTAAGTGTCCTGTCAATCTTATAGGCAGATTACTGTCTACCTACATGCTACATAATACAGGCCTATTCTACTTTTATTATTTTTCTCACACTTAATTAGCCTAGCTAAGGGTATTTTCTTGTTATCAAACCTTGCAACTAGTGGTTATCCCCTTTTGCCTGCGCTTAATTGGTCAGCCGTGTGCAACCTCTATAATGCATCTATGTTGCCCACACAGCACACAAAATCCTGCCACTATCTCCATGCCATGCTTATGTCTAACCGTGAAACTGCTTATCCAAGCTGACGTGGCACTGACGGATGTCTTTAGCAATGTTTAATCGACTCTAATCACTTCTATATATGTTAGAACCATAGTATGTTTATTGTCTTCAGCTGGATGACCCCACCGAGACCTAACACAATAGACGAGCAAAACTAGCTTGCACTTAATACGTTTAAAATTTTAAAATGTTCCTAGCCTGTTTTATCTAAAAAATGTGCTGTATATTCTTGCCATAACAATGTACACCGTTGAAACGCCTGTAACCGCTGTTGTGGCGCTACAGACTACTCTGTTATGTACTCAAATGCACAAAGAAAAATAAAGAATAAAAAAAAATATATATATACAATAGATGGTTTTAACTTTTGTTGTGTTCCTTTATGCCTTCGTTGCCAGTCACAGAGGTCTCCCTTCCTCTCCTGTCAAAACTAAGGCATTTGCAGCAATTGTTCCAAATGTGCCAATCAAATGTGGCAATTGCCCAACAGAAGACTTCTCTGAGGGAAGCATTAAATGAATTTATCCCTATTGAAGTTGTCATTTCTGCTTGAACGATCATACTAAAAATTCCAGTACAATCACATAACATATTATAAAATGGGATTTTTCTGGACAAAATGTGGAGAGAAAAAAAAAAGGCAGCTTCCTCGTCTTACATTCCCCCATCAATCATCATTCACAACAGCTGATGGGAACGGATATATTCTCAACATGTAAAACTGATCCCATATTGCATCTGCACATAGTGAAACATCTGCGGATTGTGCTCTTATAGGAGTGATAGCTCCTCAAGACTTCATCTGCCAGAAACGTAACTGGAAGATGTTAGCAATGAGGCGGGACAGCTTTGGTTAAGTAAATTTACCTCTCCTTACTAGTACCACCATGCAAGCACACAGGTCACCAATGCAAAATCCTCAACACACGGCATAGCAGCTATAACACATTCACTAATCTGACTATTTTTTCAAAGAACATATCTCCAAGAATGTATGACTTTAGCTCTTCATTCTGATGCCCAATAATTTTACTGTTATGAAGGAGGATACAGTTGTGCTATAGCTTTAATACAATCATTGATTCTTGGTAAAAAAGAAATGGAATGGGTTTTTCAACTTAAAACCCTCTCTCCTGAGTGTCTTAATCGTGAATTCGATCTCTTTAACTTTTTATAAGCTACACATATTTTCTTTTATTATAATTATAATTTTTTTAACCTTTTAGGTTAACTTTTTTTCCCATTATTTTATATCTTTTATATACACTTTTTTACATATATTTTTTATTTCAAACATTTATTATAATTTTATCCCATTCCATTTCTTATTACATATATTTTATTGCATTCCTTATTTTTATTTCTTTCTTTTTTATTATAGCCCATGTTTTATTGACATTCTCTTTCATATAGCCCTTAGTTGTTTGAATAAGTTATTACTGCTGTCATTTTAACCTTTTATTTTATATTTATATTTCTCATTTGGCCTGTGCAGATATACTATCTTTCAGCTACTTCAATGATCTGCCTACACTTCCCAGCCGGCTTCTCGGCATACACGTGACGCAGGCGCGCCATTGGCTGCGCCGTGTCACGTGACCGCCGAAACCCGGAAGTAACTTGTTTTTACTTGCCACACCTTATTTCCTACATTCCCCATCGTTCTTTGTGTTTTATTTCCCCAAATGTGCGGTTGTTATTGGACGTATGCGGTCATATGACCGTTTTAAGTTAGGTTTTTCTTTCATTTTATTACACTGTAAAGTATTATTATTTACTATGTGTATATACATTAGTACCACTATATTGATGTGCTTTTTAGTATTTTATTTTAAATTTGAATTTCACTATACATAGATGTATGTCTTTTATCATTTTATGCATAAATTATGATGTCATTTTGGCGCCAATTTTGAACTAAAAAGTTTATATAAACTAGTTTATACCAGGTCTCTGTTTCTATATGCCAGTTGAAAAAGCCCTGTGTGGCGAAACGCGTTTTGGCTATTTTATTATAGTATTTTATTATCTCATATTGTATTAATAAAGGAAATATACATTTTTTCTTCCTGCCATATTCCTATTATTTTCTATTTTTTATTTATTTTATTCCTGGACCTGGTTTTTATTTCAAGCACCTTTTATCTGTGCCCAAGAATCCTAGGTGGGGATTATACCACCCACGTTATATTAGTGAGCAGTATTTTCCTGCTCACTCAAATGTGAGTATTCTATATATATTGTTCTATTTACGTCTACATCCAGTTATACAGTGAGCACTATTTTGTGTTACTCTCCACTTTTCCCGAGGATTTTCTCCACGTGCGCAAGCCTATACCCCATCAGTGGGGGATTTATACCACTGAATGTGAAGTAAACCTGAGCTAGTCCTAGCTCTTAAATAGGTGAGTGGGATACCCTACTACCTTGTATCCACACATACGAATTTTAAGTTATAGACTACACTATTGGAATCTCCCTCTGTTCTATTTTACATATCGTCATTTGGAACAAGAAATTCCTGACCACTTCTTGGTTTGGACCATTATCTCCTTCACAATTCCTCGAGTGGTTTTTACCGTTTAAAGCTTATCCAAGGACTTATTATTGTTCTTTTATAATATTGTATATGTAAGTATTTTATTATACAATTGTATATGTAAGTACTTTTTGTGTTGCTCTTTTATAGCTTTTTATACCATTATCTTTTTCACTTCTTGTTCATTTTTTTCACATTAGTTTGATTATAATTTGTAATAATTTTTGGCGCGACCTAATATTCTTTATCTTTTTGATTCTCCTCTTCCTTTGACGTACTGTGAGGGAACGTCTCACTTTAGGTTGCCGCCCACATTCATATATATCCTGTACTATTCTATAGTAACACCAAGCGCTGAACCAACCACCATTTACATTAATACAATCATTGTCAGGCCTGGTAGACTTAGAATAATAATAACGTTAAGAAAAATCCAAATCGTGAATTTAAAGATTACAGGTTACATCCTGTAGGATCCAGGTTATTCTACAGCCACCTGGCATAGGAGAAAAAGGGCTGTGTGAAAAATCAAATAAGAAATAAAGAAGGAATGCGCACACAAAATACAAAAATTATCAATTTTTACTTTCTAATGAAGGATATTTCAGTTTTTTTCCAACGCTGCAAAACTTTTCGAGGAAAGAAAGGATACTATAATATGTGCAGTGAGTACAGGGTAACGATGCAGGTGGATCAAATTTTTTTAAATAGACAAGAGTACACAAAGCTGACAAACACGCTTAAAGTATAATTATGCAATCATCTGTGCAGAGCGTAACAATGTAAATATCCTGACACATAGGCTTGTACAGGTATAACTGAAAGGAAATTGACATGTACAGTTCAGAGGATAGCCTCCTGAATACAATATTATTATTATTATATCTAAACCTGACCCTAAAAAGCAACAAAATATATAGTAAGTGTCAAATAAAGGTCCTCTGGGAGATCCTTTCAGAAGATGTCAAGAAATTTGGAAACTTAGCTTCTTTGTAGAGTATTGAAGAAAAAAAAGAAATATAAAAAAACCAAATATGCAAAAACAGGGGGCTGTTATAATACTATAACAAAGTCCAATATCGGCTACTTTCCAAGGTCTACAGAAATATAAGGACAAACGAAAAGGAAAATAGGGTCGATCTCACCCAATGCAAAGCAGTATGTTTGTGGACTGCTCTGGTAGAGTCGTGTGTGAAGGGCAGGTGTATTCTGGGATTTAGAGCAAAGTTAGTTTGTTGTAAGGGGGCGTTGAAACGCCAAATACGAGTAGGCAGCAGGCATGCAGAAACATGGCTTACTGGTAACAAGTGGAAAGAACACCCAAGAGGCCAAGGTGCAGAACCCTCTGGTCCTCCAAAGGCCTTCGGTCATTCGAAATACCCCTGTCCTCCACACAGGATTTGACCAGAGGATTCCACAAACATACTGCTGTGCGTTGGGTGAGATATGCTCTAATCTTCCTCTTTTTTTGTTGTTGCTTATATGGCTATAGGCCTTGGAATGTAGCCAAAAGTGGCCTTTGTTATAATATTATCTTAATCCCTCTCCCCTCCCCCCCATTCCTTTTATTTTTGACAGATTTTTTCCTTGTTTAATTTTGTTTTTCATTCTTTCTTAAAATGGCTACTTGTTACAATTTTCTGAAAGGATCTCCCAGAGGACCTTTATAACACTTTACTCTTTTGAAGCATTTTTAGGGTCAGGTTTAGATATTATGATATTGTTGTAATCAGGAGGCTATCCTCTGTACAGCACTAGCAGTCAACAGTACATGTCAATTTCCTTCCATTTCTACTCGTATATCCCATGTGTCAGGATATTTATATTGTCACGCTCTGCACTGTTTGTATGATTATACTTTGAGCTTGTTTGTCAGCTATGTGTACTCTCATCTTGTTTTTGCCCATTACACGTATTATAGCATCCTTTTTTCTCTAAATGTTTTACAGCAATAAAACATTTCTGTATTTTGTGTGCGGATTCCTTCTTTATTACTTATTTACCATTGTAAGGTAGGTTTTCTTGGATCCTGCACCTATTGCTCAGCTTACAGGGTAGTGCAGATTAGTATACTTTGTTGGGTTTTTTTTGTGTGAAAACTCAGCATTCGGCTAGTAACTGAATATTAAAATCCCGGATTAATAGATCAGGTAATGCAGTTGGGTTTGAGTTGTATGCATAACCCAGTTCAAATGGAAAGTCTCCATCTTAATGACGAGGTTTTGATTCATAAATGCTGCCGCCCTGAAAATTAACTGTTTTTTTATTTTTATTTATTTATTTTTTTTAATGCAAGTTTTTATTGATTTTCAAGTATATGGGGTACAGAAAAGAGAAGGGAGTTATAAGGATAACAATGGGGGAAAGCAGACAATATGGAATTTTACAAGGTTTCTTATCAAGATTTTCGACAGTGACATTTAGGGCTTCGCAGGCGGCTATGTCCGCAATAACAATATACCTGATATACGCATAATTGAGGTTGCATAGTATAGTTTTACACTCACGTATTATTTACCCGTTGTTGGGTGTTTGTGGGCAAAGCAGTCTGGTGCGGGAAAATAAAGGTTGGTTCTTTAAGCACGGTGTTGCGTGCTGGTACAGTCTGTCAGGCCATACTTAACGGTCTCAAGGTGGAGTTTGGGGGTTTGTGGCTTGGTCGTATAAGCATGTCCACTGTTTCCATGTTGAATGGAACTGTTGTGATTCTATAATATGGGTCATCGTCATTCGTTCATAGACATGGTATTGTTGAATCTTGTCCCATAGTTGTGTTTTAGATGGACATAGGTGCGACTTCCAGTTCGTCGCTAGAAGGTTCCTGGCCGCCAGTATCGTGATGGCGCATACCTGTCTGTGTTCTCTAGCAAGATCACTGGGGAGCATAAGCATGAGGTATGTTTGCGGGCTTGGCAATAGGTTTGTCATGCCCAATTTATTCAGCAATCTCCTAACCTCTGTCCAGAGGGGTTGAATCACTGGACATGTCCACCATATGTGGAGGAATGTACCGGTGTCCCTTGAACACCTCCAGCATGTCGGTGTCACACTGGGGTATATTTTATGTAACCGACTTGGCGTCATGTACCACCTATACAGTAGCTTCCTATGTGCTTCTATGTGTGTGTAACATCTAGTGAGTTTTGAGAGGCTATTTAGTGCTCTGACCCAGTCGTCCTCTGAGAGTTGAAGGGAGCAGTCCTCCTCCCATTTAGTCTTACAGAGGGGTGTGTGTTGTGGTAGTGTGGTCTCCCACATTTTGTAAGAGAGGGAGATGGCTTTTGGTTTATTTGGTGCGGCCCAGCATCTGTCCAAAATCCCGCCCGCCACTAGTGATTGCTCCCGAGTACTGTTGTGTAGGTTCACATGAGTCAGTATGGTCCCTTTGAGTCTTAGGTAGGTAAATACCTCCCTCATCGGTAGGTGCCATTTGGCCTGTATATCCGCGAATGCTATTACGCCTTTATTGTCTACTAGGTGTTGGACGTTGGTGATTCCTGCCTTAGTCCACCTTGTTAGAGGGAGATCGGGGGATGCGGTTCTTAGGGCAGTCAGTGGTGCCCGGGGATGGAAGGAAAGTTTGCACCCCATTGTGGCCATAAACGTGTCCCATATACGAAGTGTCAGAGATGTTGAGTGAAATAGGTCTAGTTTGGGGATCCGTAGGTGTTTAGGCGTCCATAGGACATCAACTATATTTAATGCTTTTAGTTGGGCATTTTCCATGTCTACCCAGCTGATGTCCCCTTTAGGAGAGTGTAGCATTATGCCGGCTGTTAGCGCTGTCGCTTTATAATATTGGTTAATGTTTGGTAGTCCCACTCCTCCTTGTTTGACCTGAGTGTACAGAAGTCTGTGAGGGATCCTGGGCTTTTTATTGTCCCATATAAAGGTGTTGCACGTGTGTTGTATGCTCTTAAGCAGAGGTTGTGATACCGTGAGAGGTAGCATACGGAAAACATAAAGAATTTTGGGTAATATAGACATTTTGAAGGCGTTAATCCTTCCTAGCCAGGATAGGTGTACGTGTTTCCATTTTAGGGTGTCCGCCTTGCACATGTGTGGTAAGGGTAGGTAATTTAATTTTACGATTTTTGCTATGGAAGTTGCGATTTTGACCCCTAAGTATGTGAGGGATGAGAGTCTCCAGTCAAATTGGTGTTGTCGTTGTAGTGTCTGCGTGCGTTCTAATGGTAGGTTAACCGTCAGTGCCTGAGTTTTATCTTGGTTGAGTTTATAGTGGGAAACTAAGCCGAAGTCGGTAAGTGTGTTCATAAGGTGTGGCAATGACTTCTCTGGGTCTGTTAATGACACCAAGACGTCGTCGGCAAACAATGCCAGTTTGTGTTCCTGGCCTGTCACTGTTACTCCTCTTATGTCAGGATTCATACGGATCTTTAGCGCCAGAGGTTCCAGCGATAAAATGTAGAGGAGGGGGGACAAGGGGCAACCTTGGCGCGTCCCATTAGTAATAGAGAATTTGTCAGACGTAAAGCCTCCGTTGGAGACCTTCGCCGCTGGTGCGCTATACAGCGCCTCTATTCCTCTAATCATTTCGGGCGGAAATCCGTACCTCCCCAGGACTTCAGACATGTACTTCCAATTGAGGCGGTCGAAGGCCTTCTCCGCGTCTAGCGCCAAGAGAAGGCCCCCTGTGTTGTTTTTTTCCATATGTGTCAGTATATTGAGGATTCGTCTGGTGTTGTCTGAGCCCTGCCGTCCCCTGACAAACCTTGACTGGTCGTTATGTACTAAGTTTCTGAGGAGTGGTGCTATTCTGTTACTAAGGATCTTGGCGTAGATTTTAGCATCCCCATTTAGTAAGGAGATGGGTCTGAAATTTTTACAGTGTGTCGGTGGTTTCCCTGGCTTGGGGAGGGTGGATATATGTGCTAGGAGTACTTCAGCCGGTAGGGCTCCTCTGTCATTACTCTGTCTGTATAGTTTCAACAAGTGCGGGGAGAGGGTATTCGCAAATAATTTGTAATAGGCATTGGTGAGACCGTCGGGTCCAGGTGATTTGTCAACGGGTAAGTCTTTGATCACCGAAGTGATCTCTTCTAAGGAGATAGGCTGTCGTAGTGATTGTATTGCGGTCGGTGTCAGGGAGGGCAAGCAGAGGTCCTGTAGGAATCCGTCTATGTCCGCTACAGTTGGGACCTTAGTGGTACCCTCTTCATTTAAATTGTATAGCTGACGATAGTAATTTGCAAACATATTAACAATTTCTCGTGGGTCAATAGTTTTGTGACCTTTTCCATCGGTGAGGTAGGCAATCCTGGAGGCGATCGTTTTTTGTTTTAATTGCGCCGCTAGTTTAGCGCCTGCTTTATTCCCTGCCGCGAAGAATTTGTGTTTTGATTTTCGTAAAAGGTAGGTTGTTTTGGTTAACTCTATATCTCGTAATTGTGTTTGCAAGCTCAAGAGCTTTCGTTGTGTCTCAGGGGTGGGTGCATGTTTGTTATTGTGTGTGGTGTGTTTGATCTCGTTGATAAGGGCTAAGTATTGTGCTTTTTGTGTCTTGTAGGCATGGCTTGCATGCTTTATGAAGCTGCCTCTAATGACCGCCTTGTGTGCTAGCCAGACATAATCCGGATCAGTGTTTTGCTTATCATTGTCCTCAAAGTAGTTTTGTAGGTCCTGTGTGACTTCCTGGACTATGTGTGTGCTTGTTAACAAGGTGTTGTTTAACCTCCAAGTTCTCTGGCCAGTCTGAGGGAACTGGTCCTTGAGCGTTAACGTGATTGGTGCGTGGTCGGACCATGTGATGTCCCCTATGGTAGTGTCTAGTATCTTGAGGAGGGAAGTGGTTCTGACCAAGAACCTATCTATTCTGGAGTAGCTATTGTGTACCGCCGTATGACATGTGTAATCAGTTTCATTGGGGTGTGTAATTCTCCAAGGGTCTACGTAATCATGTGTTGCTAGGATATCGCGTATGTTATGCGATTGTGCGAGCCGTTTCTTAGAGGTGTTGGGTGTTATAGTATGTGAGGCAGAGGAATCTTTAAAGCTATCTAGGAGAAAGTTGGTATCGCCTCCAAGTATTACCTCCCCAAAGCTGTACATATTCAACAAGGCAAATATTCGGTGCAAAAACATTTCTTGGTTAGCGTTAGGTCCATATACATTCATTAATGTGAAGGGGTTGTTGTTAAGGTGACACTGAATGATGAGATATCTACCTTTCTTATCGCTAATCTTACGGACCAGCTCGAAGGTGACGTTCCTACTTATTAAAATAGAGACTCCTCTTTTTTTTGTGGAGCAGCAGGAGTGGTGATCTATCGGAAACCAGGGGGAGTTAAATTTAGGCCGTGAGCCCCATTTAAAATGGGTTTCTTGAAAGAAGGCTACCTGCGCCTTACATTTTTTGGCTTCTAAAAGTGCCAGTCTTCGTTTATGGGGCGTGTTCAGCCCTTTGGCATTGAGAGAAAGTACAGTGATTGACATCCTCACCGCTATAATTAGGTGGGCAGAGAGGTAAAGGCTACGCCGTGTTACTCAGCCCCTAGTGTCACCTTATTTCGTTGATTGCGTGGGTGGGGTTTTGGGGGGGTGTGGTAGGGTTCAACGTACAACAATATAACTTGAACTATATACAAAACCCGTTAGCCGGGTGGCTTAGTGCAGGAATCTGCCGACGGGTAATGAAATGGCTTACTTAGTAAGCCGAGTGGGGCTCTGTGGGTGCTGGTAGGTATTACCGGTTACGGTTTTCCTATGTTACCTATAATAAAGAAAAAGTTTTTTTTTTGTTTTTTTTGTTTGGATTATAGTGCCCTGAATTACCGGGCGCAACGCTATACGTGTGCGTCCCTCTATTGATACACCGTATAGGTAATATTTCTTAACAGTACAATTAACTCTAGGAAAAGAGAATAACAGTGCCAATCAAGTAACGTAAACAGTAAAGCGGTTCTCCGCCTGGGTGGGCTCTCGGCTGTGAGACACCTTGCAAGTGAGCACAGCTGCGAGGGTGCACCGGGGGGGAACCAGTTTGTATAGTTCTTGTGTGGGATACATATCTGTACTCCATCAGTGGTGTTCTACATCCTTGGGCCTCGCTTAGTGGTGTGGCGTCATCTGTGGGTCTGCCGCGTGCCATGGGATAGGTCGGTAGTCCCGGGGTTGCTTTCTGGGTGATGAGGGTGCTGGAGAACTGGTTACGTCAAGTCGAGCCATTGGGATGTTCCATTCTTTGAGCAATTTTGCGCCGTCTCGTGGGGTAAAGATCACCAAATCCACTCCATTTCGTTTCAGTAGTATCTTCGTGGGATATCCCCATTTGTACGGGATAGCAGCATTCCTAAGCGCTGCGGTTACAGGTGCAAACGCTCGTCTCTTGGTCATGGTTGCCGCTGACAGGTCAATGAACAGTTTGATATCAGCAAACGGCTTTGGCAATGATGGGTTAGATCTGGATGCTTGCATTAGGCGGTCTTTGACCTCAAAGTAATGAATTCTGGTGATTACATCTCTCGGTGTAGTTGGAGGTAATTGCTTCGGCTTCGGTAATCTGTGAGTGCGGTCTAAGCGCAGGTCTGAGGTTTCCAATGCCGGAATGAGCGCCTTGAACAGCTCTTTGACAAATGTAGCCAGATCTTGAGGGCCCACTGTTTCAGGGACACCTCGTAGCCGTATATTGTTTCTTCTGTCCCTGTCCTCGTTATCAGCGATTTTGCTCTCTAGGAATTGTACTTTTCGCTGCAATGCTGTGTGCGCTTCTGCCAGCTCATTATGGGCCTCTCTCAACCCCTCCGTTGCCTCCTCCAAGTGTGCTGTTCTGTCTCCCAGGGCCTGAATGTCTGCCCTGACGTCCGCCGCCATCTTGGAAAAATCCGACCTTAGATTGGTCTGGAGCGACTGTAGCATGCTGCTCACTGAGGCATCAGTGGCTAGGTGGTTGTTGGGGGTGCCAGGGGGGTCCAGGCTTTCTCCACTCTCGTGATCCGAGGCGGAATAGTGCGCTTCGTCGGCGCCATCTTGGACGCCATTGTTCCCCATCGTGAGGTGAGAGTGCAGCGTCTTCTGTTTTAGTTTTTTGGAGGATTTAGTGGTCATGTCCTCCCCTGTTCCCTCGCCGGCTTGCGGGAGATGTGGTGGGTGAGTATCGCTGGTTTCCACGCTGTGTAAGCCCACGTAATGGCGGAGCTTCCAAATTATGCGACTGCTGCCATGCGGAGTTAGGCCATGCCCCTATTTTTATTTTTTTTAAGAAATGGCACTATTTACATTTTGCAGTTTCCACTCCTACTAGTCACTGTCATATAGACAGCAGCTAGAGGCCTGAATCTGACATCCAGTATCATCAGTTCCAAATTATACTCTATTTTGCCTTTTATGTATTTTTTATTATTATTATTATTATTATTTTAAATGGATTTTAGGTGTGACTTTTCAATACATTCCTAGTTTAGGGCTAAATGGTTTTGAATTTGTGCAAGAAAAAAAAACAAAAACTGAAAATATTAAAAATGTAAACTAGGTTTAAAAAAACAAAACACCTGATTGTAAACATGGATGTAAAAATTCTAGCTAATCTTGCTTCTTTAAAAAAACAAAACACTTTTTGCAATTCGATTACAGTATCCATTGTACAAATGCTTACCTTCAATCTTTAAACGCTGAGCAATCTCTCGCCTTTCCGCAAATTTCTCTAAGGCTTCAGGGAAAACCTTGCATATCATATCCAAGTTCAACGCCTGATATCGTAACACATCTGCCGCACTGCAGGAGCGAGAAAATGACAGGATATCTATTAAGGAACTGATAAGCTGGAATTAAAATTTTCCTCATATTCAACGACACCAGGGAGGGGATATTTAGAGTCCACCTGTGCTTATAAAAATACATTTATGTCATTTTCTTTGTGATAGCCACCACTAGCAAATGAAGAGTTTAAAAGTAATTATTTGCTATTTATGGAAAGGGAGTGGCATACTGAGCATAGTTGCCGTGTCCGGTCTACAATGTTTTGATTAATATAGGTTTTAATCTATACCTGTCATGGCATACATTCAAATTATACTTACCAATAGTGATAGTATTTGTGGAAAACAAGTTCAATTTAAAAGAAAGCACAGATTACTGTGGTGGTGAAAAGATTACCTGAGAATGGATCCATTTGAGTAGCTAATGGGGGATCCGGGAATGAGATGACGCCATTTATAGGAAGAAAGCTGCAGAGAGCGGAGTGTAGAAAGACCCTCACTCAGAATCTTTTGGGTGGTCCAAGCACGATTATAACGGTCCTGAGATATGCAGCCTGCTTCTTCATAAGCTAATGTGGGGGTTAAGACAGCTTGTTAGAAAATACTAAATTTAAATTGAGCCAACTTATTCTGCAGATCTGCACAAGAGACAAGACACAATACAAACATAATAGGTGATGTTTTCAAAACAAAGTAAAAAAAAATAAAAAATAGGTAACAGGAAAATTGATAAGTGAACCATCAAAAAAGTGACATTTAAAAGAAGTGCAGAGCAGTATCCAGCAGAATTCACAGTTACATTTTCCACCTCTTTACCTCTTAAGGTAAGCCTGGCGTCGGCATTGTCAGGCCGGAGAGACATCCGGAACTCTGCACGGCTTGTGAACATACGATATGGTTCTCGGGTGCCTTGAGTAGTGAGATCATCAATCAGAACTCCAATATAACCTTCCGTGCGGCTTACAGAGAAAGGAGGGCGACCTTTTACCTTTAACGCAGCATTAATTCCAGCAATCACACCCTGTAATAGAGAAAATTGTTATGGCATCTCTGTGGTAACTTGATCCACTCCACCCCCCATCCCAGATAAACTGTTATTTTACTCCACATCTAAAAGAAGAGGGAAAGAGAATCTACCAGTGAAGGAGACAACAGAACTATCAACACATGTTGATATGTCAGACAGATATAAACACTACTTAATAACCTACATTCTTTGTGTTCCTGATCATTTGAGAGACTCAATGAGTGTTACTGGCGAGTTTGTTCAAAATGGCCAAGAATATTGCATATTTATTTTGAAGTTGTTTTTTTCCTTCCATGGTGAAGTTCTTTGAAGGATTTTGCAGGCACGACAAACTTACAGAAAAGTGCAATTTAAAAGGGTCCTGTAAAATGACATCACCACAACTCACATATCTCACTGTTTTAAACCATTTAAAAATCGATTTGATAAAACAAGGCTCTTTTCAAAGATCAGGGACCGTGCGTAGACAGATTAATATTGTGGGACACCTCCACATTATCCATGTCAGTTTTTACAACCTGGATGACACTGATTGGCTGAGATTATTGGGGAAGACTTAGCCCACAGCTTTCAGCCGATGTCCAGGTGTGACTAAACAGACTGATAATGCAGACGTGTCAATTCCACATTATCAATGTGTCAAAGTTACAGGTAATCCCTGGGTGCCAAGAAGTGCTGTGTTCTACTTGAAACTTTTCCTAAACAGTTTGATAATAAATCAGAGGACAGCATTAAAGCACTCCAGAGAAGCACATGCAATGTACCTGGGCAGCTGCCTCTTCATATCCAGTTGTGCCATTGATCTGTCCAGCCAAGAATAGACCCTGGACCATGAAAGTTTCCAATGACGTTCGGAGCTGACGAGGGTCTAGAAAATCATACTGTACCCCATAACCTGATCAGGAAGGAGGACACTGGATAGTTAAACTGTCACAAAAACTGTTAAACAAACACTTTATTCTTCAAAAGACAGCAACATAAGTAGAGTTATCACAAGTAGACCGATTTGTAATTAGTTCAGTAGAAAGAAGACTTTGTCAAGCCTTCTACTGGGGCCTATTTAGAGATGAAGTAATTAATGGACTACAAAACCTACTATGCTTAACCAGCCAGGTTGCCAAAGTTAGATTAAGAGGTTATTACCTAAAGGTTAGGTTACCTAACCCGGATATTAGTCCTATGGTTTCTCTAGTAAGACTTTATAGCCTTTGGAAATACATACCTGGCCTCAGCACCTGTACGTTCTGTAGCCCCGGGATCTCCTGCAAGAGTCTCTCTTGAGCTTCAGCCGGTATGGTCACCGACAGCCCCTGGGGGTATATCACATCCGAATCAAGCCCCTCTGGCTCCAGCCAGACCTGGTGACACCTGCCTGGGAACCGTAAAATCTTGGATTCGATGGAGGGGCAATACCTACAGAAACAGCAAATTAGCACAAAACATGCAAGACACTAAGCAATCCGATGGCAGGCATGGGCTGGCATCCCTCACCTGGGTCCAGCAGTGGTCTCCTTGACATGGTTGCTCAGATGAAGGTTTTCCCGGATAATTTGCTCCACGCCAGCTGTTGTGTGAGTCATATGACATGGAAGCTGCTGGTCAGGCTGTGAATACAGAATGTGAAACAGCACCTTTATATACGTACTTAAAAGGATAAGGGAGATTGGTGTCAAATAAAATGGCAATAAAGGGACACTCCAGGCACCAAACAACAATTTTAAAAGAAGAGAAAACACAGACAGACAGAGAGTAAGCATACCGCTACATATCTGTCTGCTGATTGAATGAAGCAGCTTCACAGAATAATACACGTGAGCACGGGATAGCAGCCACATGTGCCAAACATTACACACTGCAAGAATTAACTGGTTACTGCCATTTATAATGTTTCAATCCCAGGTGGCCATCAACTACCTAGTATCCGAAGATAGTTATTGATCCTCTGTCCACACAATCTCACATTTCCTTATTCAAATCTCTGAAAATTGACTCATTGTGTGCATCATGCCTCTCATTCACATAACGGTCAGCTCAATCTAACCAGGGTGTGATGACTTCCTCAGTAGCCGAACAATTTAACTTGTGATGGTTGCCCTTTATTCAAATCCCCAAAAAATATTTTCTGCTACCCTGATTATCCCACTACCCTCATGATTTCTAGTCCTTTACATTCTATGGATTTAATAACAGTAACCAATTACCCTGAACGTTCTCAAACTGCATGCTGCAAAAATATATTAATATGAAATATTCACTATACCTTGATCCAGACATTCTCATTCATAAAGCTGAATGGTACTGGAGGGTTATCAGCATCATGCCTTTCTAAAACACTAAAATCCACAGAGGCTTTAGCAATGCGAGGTGGGGTTCCGGTCTTCAGCCTGCCAACTGTGAACCCCAAACGTTCCAATGTCTGTGCCAGGCCAACTGAGGGCTTCTCCCCCCAACGCCCCGCAGGCAGTGTCTCAGTGCCTATTTTAACTGTCCCACGAAGGAATGTACCATTTGTGAGCACCACGCTGCTCGCCAATACCTGACTGTCATCATCTATAATAAGAAAAGCAAGAAAATAATATGGCCTGTGATTCCTAGACAGAAAATTACAGAATACAGAATGGGAACGTGGCACCCTTTCATAAGGAAAAATAAGACATACCCAATAGGACTCCATTAACTTGGCATTTGCCTGGTAAATTGGGATCTGGAGGTTTCAATAAAAGATCTTCCACTGATCCCTCTCTCACAGTTAAACCTGGCGTGTTCAGAATTTCTTCCTGGACAAATGAGAAAAAAAAAATCCAAATTCACATTGTCATATTGTACTAAATATTTACAAGATTCAGATATCAACTCCAACTTACAAGATTTTCCCGTAGGACTGTCTCAAAACGCACAAATAGGTTATTCCAACCATCATCACTTCTACAGATCGCTGCAGTGGTTGTGATGGTAGGAGTACTCTGGCGCTGTTCCTCCGTAAGTGAGCAAAATGTTTTGCAATGGTTTGCCCTCTTACCCATATCCCGTCGGGTTCCGGGTCTTCTCTGTAGACAGCTTTACAAGATCCGGATTCTGCAGAACTGCAGAAGCTGGATGCCAATTATTCACTGGCTGAGAGAGTCAGCTGATTGCTATCAGTCAATGAATGCAAAATTGATATTAGCCAGCCTAGAGCTCTAGCTCCGGCCTGGTTAGTGATGCCCCAATGACACTGCCGGAGATTAAGTTACACATACTACAGCAAAGGGGTTAAACTCAGTCTGTGCAGCGTTTTATTGTGAAATGCTGCACATACAGTCTCCAGTCACCATGACCACTTTGAAACACTGAAGTGATCATGATGTTTGAAATAACCCTTTAATGATTTGAATATAACGTGTATATTATGATATGTGTTTTACAGCCTTCATCCCTCTCTGGAATGAATAGAAACCAGAAGAAGTGTAACATTTTTGCCCTCTGTGTTCGCCTGAAAAAGTACACATTATCTTCATACAATGCAGGGCTCAAAACTTCTACACGTGCACCAACTACTGGGGAGTGAAAATCCAGCACCGGTTAGTGTGTCAGGGACCCTACAGATTAGCAATGAAGTGTAGTTTTTCCGGCATGGCCAGTAGTGTAGGACTTAACAGTTTTCAGTCCTGGTAACATTTTTAGTGGAAATAAAATGATCTTGAAGCATACACTTAGGTTTGGACACTGTACAAGTAACCTATTTTTGATTGGTTTTTGTTTGTACATACAGACATCTGAGGGAGATGGGAGTTTGTCTACTAATATGTAGACAGCATAATAGTTCTATCATTATATTATGAGTTCTGTCACCAAGACTGTGGGGAAACCATGAATGCAAAGATCATAGAAATTATAACCATCATGTATTTTCATAACATGCACTCATAGGGCGCACATTAGATTTGCTTAGGTCTCCAATTTCAGATTACTCACCTGCATTTTTTGCCTGTACATCGTCCTATCAATCTGGGCCCGCAGCCCCCACACTGCAGGTCCCTTACACCTGTTTAAGACCTTATAGTGAATTCCAGAAATGTCACAGATTCTTCCGCAAACACCATCCAGGGCATCCACCTCCCTTATGAGGTGTCCCTTCCCAATGCCCCCAAAAGATGGATTACAGGACATCTGACCTGCATGAACACAAACAGGTACATAAAGGAAAAGGTAAAACGATAATAGGAGGGCGCTTGCATAAAAGTTCCGCTTATAAAGAAATACAGGTGGTCAAAGGTACTATGATGGCACATGTCAGAAACGGCTGTATTTTGGCTCTTTAGCTTAAATGGACTATAGATGTACTGGCTGATAAATGAAGTGATGAAGGATATACGTTTAGAATGTAACAGTAACACCAAATTACCTATTGTTTCAATCTTGTGTGTCACTAGTAATGTTTTGGCACCGGTCCGCGCAGCTGCGGCTGCAGCCTCCGTGCCAGCATGCCCTCCCCCAACCACCACAACATTGTAGCGTGGAGCTTCCTCATTGCTGGGTAAGGTACACAAGCGCCGTCTGCAAGATTGCACTCGGGAAAAGGAACAACGGATACCATGACGTAGGATTCTCTAAAAAGACAAAAACAAACTTGCAAATGATTATGATTTAAATGCAGATCCACTGTATTGCATGTGTAGACTAAGGGACACAAGGAGTGAAATCCAGTCCTCCCATCACTGTGTTATTAGCTGTCTGGCCAGACTGCCTCAGATATAATGTTATACAGCCTGTCTGCCACTAAGGGACACAAGGAATGAAATCCAGTCCTCCCATCACTGTGTTATTAGCTGTCTGGCCAGACTACCTCAGATATAATGTTATACAGCCTGTCTCTCACTAAGGGACACAGAGAGTGAAATCCAGTCCTCCCATCACTGTGTTATTAGCTGTCTGGCCAGGCTACCTCAGATATAATGTTATACAGCCTGTCTCTCACTAAGGGACACAAGGAGTGAAATCCAGTCCTCCCATCACTGTGTTATTAGCTGTCTGGCCAGGCTGCCTCAGATATAATGTTATACAGCCTGTCTCCCACTAAGGGACACAAGGAGTGAAATCCAGTCCTCCCATCACTGTGTTATTAGCTGTCTGGCCAGGCTACCTCAGATATAATGTTATACAGCCTGTCTCCACTAAGGGACACAAGGAGTGAAATCCAGTCCTCCCATCACTGTGTTATTAGCTGTCTGGCCAGGCTACCTCAGATATAATGTTATACAGCCTGTCTGCCACTAAGGGACACAAGGAATGAAATCCAGTCCTCCCATCACTGTGTTATTAGCTGTCTGGCCAGACTACCTCAGATATAATGTTATACAGCCTGTCTCCCACTAAGGGACACAAGGAGTGAAATCCAGTCCTCCCATCACTGTGTTATTAGCTGTCTGGCCAGGCTGCCTCAGATATAATGTTATACAGCCTGTCTCCCACTAAGGGACACAAGGAGTGAAATCCAGTCCTCCCATCACTGTGTTATTAGCTGTCTGGCCAGGCTGCCTCAGATATAATGTTATACAGCCTGTCTCCCACTAAGGGACACAAGGAATGAAATCCAGTCCTCCCATCACTGTGTTATTAGCTGTCTGGCCAGGCTACCTCAGATATAATGTTATACAGCCTGTCTCCCACTAAGGGACACAAGGAGTGAAATCCAGTCCTCCCATCACTGTGTTATTAGCTGTCTGGCCAGACTGCCTCAGATATAATGTTATACAGCCTGTCTCCCACTAAGGGACACAAGGAGTGAAATCCAGTCCTCCCATCACTGTGTTATTAGCTGTCTGGCCAGGCTGCCTCAGATATAATGTTATACAGCCTGTCTCCCACTAAGGGACACAAGGAGTGAAATCCAGTCCTCCCATCACTGTGTTATTAGCTGTCTGGCCAGGCTACCTCAGATATAATGTTATACAGCCTGTCTCCCACTAAGGGACACAGAGAGTGAAATCCAGTCCTCCCATCACTGTGTTATTAGCTGTCTGGCCAGGCTACCTCAGATATAATGTTATACAGCCTGTCTCCCACTAAGGGACACAAGGAGTGAAATCCAGTCCTCCCATCACTGTGTTATTAGCTGTCTGGCCAGGCTGCCTCAGATATAATGTTATACAGCCTGTCTCCCACTAAGGGACACAAGGAATGAAATCCAGTCCCCCCATCACTGTGTTATTAGCTGTCTGGCCAGACTGCCTCAGATATAATGTTATACAGCCTGTCTCCCACTAAGGGACACAAGGAATGAAATCCAGTCCTCCCATCACTGTGTTACTAGCTGTCTGGCCAGGCTGCCTCAGATATAATGTTATACAGCCTGTCTGCCACTAAGGGACACAAGGAGTGAAATCCAGTCCTCCCATCACTGTGTTATTAGCTGTCTGGCCAGACTGCCTCAGATATAATGTTATACAGCCTGTCTGCCACTAAGGGACACAAGGAATGAAATCCAGTCCTCCCATCACTGTGTTATTAGCTGTCTGGCCAGGCTGCCTCAGATATAATGTTATACAGCCTGTCTCCCACTAAGGGACACAAGGAATGAAATCCAGTCCTCCCATCACTGTGTTATTAGCTGTCTGGCCAGGCTACCTCAGATATAATGTTATACAGCCTGTCTCCCACTAAGGGACACAAGGAGTGAAATCCAGTCCTCCCATCACTGTGTTATTAGCTGTCTGGCCAGGCTACCTCAGATATAATGTTATACAGCCTGTATCCCACTAAGGGACACAGAGAGTGAAATCCAGTCCTCCCATCACTGTGTTATTAGCTGTCTGGCCAGACTACCTCAGATATAATGTTATACAGCCTGTCTCCCACTAAGGGACACAAGGAGTGAAATCCAGTCCTCCCATCACTGTGTTATTAGCTGTCTGGCCAGGCTACCTCAGATATAATGTTATACAGCCTGTCTGCCACTAAGGGACACAAGGAGTGAAATCCAGTCCTCCCATCACTGTGTTATTAGCTGTCTGGCCAGGCTACCTCAGATATAATGTTATACAGCCTGTCTCCCACTAAGGGACACAAGGAATGAAATCCAGTCCTCCCATCACTGTGTTATTAGCTGTCTGGCCAGGTTACCTCAGATATAATGTTATACAGCCTGTCTCCCACTAAGGGACACAAGGAATGAAATCCAGTCCTCCCATCACTGTGTTATTAGCTGTCTGGCCAGGCTGCCTCAGATATAATGTTATACAGCCTGTCTCCCACTAAGGGACACAAGGACTGAAATCCAGTCCTCCCATCACTGTGTTATTAGCTGTCTGGCCAGGCTACCTCAGATATAATGTTATACAGCCTGTCTCCCACTAAGGGACACAAGGAATGAAATCCAGTCCTCCCATCACTGTGTTATTAGCTGTCTGGCCAGACTACCTCAGATATAATGTTATACAGCCTGTCTCCACTAAGGGACACAAGGAGTGAAATCCAGTCCTCCCATCACTGTGTTATTAGCTGTCTGGCCAGACTACCTCAGATATAATGTTATACAGCCTGTCTCCCACTAAGGGACACAAGGAGTGAAATCCAGTCCTCCCATCACTGTGTTATTAGCTGTCTGGCCAGGCTACCTCAGATATAATGTTATACAGCCTGTCTCCCACTAAGGGACACAAGGAGTGAAATCCAGTCCTCCCATCACTGTGTTATTAGCTGTCTGGCCAGACTGCCTCAGATATAATGTTATACAGCCTGTCTCCCACTAAGGGACACAAGGAGTGAAATCCAGTCCTCCCATCACTGTGTTATTAGCTGTCTGGCCAGGCTACCTCAGATATAATGTTATACAGCCTGTCTCCCACTAAGGGACACAGAGAGTGAAATCCAGTCCTCCCATCACTGTGTTATTAGCTGCCTGGCCAGGCTACCTCAGATATAATGTTATATAGCCTGTCTCTCACTAAGGGACACAAGGAATGAAATCCAGTCCTCCTATCACTGTGTTATTAGCTGTCTGGCCAGGCTACCTCAGATATAATGTTATACAGCCTGTCTCCCACTAAGGGACACAAGGAGTGAAATCCAGTCCTCCCATCACTGTGTTATTAGCTGTCTGGCCAGGCTACCTCAGATATAATGTTATACAGCCTGTCTCCCACTAAGGGACACAAGGAGTGAAATCCAGTCCTCCCATCACTGTGTTATTAGCTGTCTGGCCAGGTACCTCAGATATAATGTTATACAGCCTGTCTCCCACTAAGGGACACAAGGAGTGAAATCCAGTCCTCCCATCACTGTGTTATTAGCTGTCTGGCCAGGCTACCTCAGATATAATGTTATACAGCCTGTCTCCCACTAAGGGACACAAGGAATGAAATCCAGTCCTCCCATCACTGTGTTATTAGCTGTCTGGCCAGGCTACCTCAGATATAATGTTATACAGCCTGTCTCCCACTAAGGGACACAAGGAATGAAATCCAGTCCTCCTATCACTGTGTTATTAGCTGTCTGGCCAGGCTACCTCAGATATAATGTTATACAGCCTTTCTCGGTAGGTGTGTGTGTTTATACTTACCTTGCCCCCGTGTTCAGCTATGGGCGCCGCCATCTTTGTGCCCACGTGATCAATCCCTGTGTTCTCAGACTGTGCTGAGAGGAGGCGCTCTAGACCACAGAGAGCTTTCTCTTCTGCTCTGGAGGACTGAGTCTGGGGGTGCTCATGATGGGAGGTTCTGTTTACCCCACAGTACCCCCAGATTAACCTCTACCCACCACACCCAGAGTGTGGCTTTGGCTCAGCATGGTGGGAGTTGTAATTAGAAGTATGTGTTTGAGGCTTTATGTTATTCCTGACAGTTACCATTATAGTAAATAAATGTTTATTCTGTGTCTTATATTCTCCCTCACTGCCAGGTGAGAGCCTTAAATGGGCAGGCTGCACTCACTATCCACTATGGTGCACTGTATTGGTTATGGTGCCCGCAGTCCCCTAGGCGCCTTTGGTTTGACTCCATAGGGAGTCAAACCACAAGCAGCTTCTCTTCTTACCATTTGATGGAGCCCTGAGACTCCTGGCACAATAACTACTGCAGCCTCAGAGTGCCAGATTAACGGATCACTCCACTGCAGTCGTTATGGTGCCAGGAATGCCCTTGTGCCCTCCCAGAGTAAATAAGCAGAAAATCTGTTTGCATAGGGTTTGACTACGCACCAGGAGTCTACCACCAGGCAGAGGCCACCTCCGCCAGGAGAGCTGGCAGTTTCCCGTTTGGAGCAGGCCTAGCTGCGCCGTGCTTCGCCCATGGGCTGAGAGAGATCGGGTGGTGCACTCAGCCAATGAGCTGGCCCTCCATTGCAGGGTTTAGCTCAGGGGAGCTAATGGAAGTTAATGGAACCACATGGGAGGTTCCAGCACTCCTGGAGGTGAGGCTAAAGGCAGTGAGAGTGCTATAGTAGTTATGGTGTGTGGCGTGTTCCATGCATTACAGTTGCAATCCAAGCACATTAGATGCAGTGTAATGTTACAGTTGGTTATACTATGTGTAATCTAAAATTTCAAGGACACTCTCGGTCCTGAACTACTAAATAGAGCGCTTTTTGGAGGGGAGATATGGGTGGTGAAGCAACAAATAATACCATGGACTTGAAGCTCAATGTACAAATGGAAAGCACCATCGTTGAAAGTGACTTTCCACCCAGCATCCTCGAACTCTGCACCAGATAGGAAGATTCTCGCAGCCCGGTCAAAAAACATCCAGACAATTTGGGCCAGACGTCTCCGATTCGAGCACGGTTTTAAGACTGAATGGACGCTCTAGGGAGAGCTGTCCATGCAGGCCACAAGTTTGGGCACGGGAGCCCCAGTTTTATTGTAAAATTGTTATTAGGCGCCAGGGTGTCTGGTTGCTAATTAAATTACCTGGTCGGGTACAGACAGCTAGATGCCAAGTATGTCCCAATGTTCATTGTTCTCCTGGGGACCCCAGTATAAAAGTGTGTAATTCACTCAATACAATCAGTGCTACTTCAATTTACATAAAATACTAGCACAATAGTCACATTGGAAGGGGACTAAAAATATAAATGTCTGCAAAATCTAGTAGGAAAAAAAAAAAAAAAAAGCTTTATAAGTGTGACATAAAGCCCTAATCACAGGCCATGATGTAAATAGCGTGGAGATGGCCATAGATATGCAGACAATGTGTACAACATTCCTCCTAAACTGCCTCAGTAAGCCACTTAAACTCCTCATGAGCTTTGATAAATAAAAAGAGTTTGAGTGGAACTTTAATGGATGACTGATAGAATTTATTAAAAGAAAAGAATAGAGTATTTTGGAGAAGGAAGAGGATGTCCTAAAATAACCTCTGTATACAAGTATTTAACGTGTCCTGTAAAAAAAGTTGCTTGCTTGTTTGTAATCGTCATACAATGTTTCACAGATACTGAAATACAACTAAATAAGTCCATATATTCATATACACACTAGGAATAAGGAGATACACACGCCACAGATTTAGTTAAGTGTTTTTAATCTTGTTAAACATTACATTTTTTGTATTTCACAGAAAGAATTGATGGTTCTTTCTCCTGTTTTTTTTTTTTTTGGTTACTTTTTTTTAACATTTTTTTTTTTATCTAAAACCGATCCAACAATTTTGTATAATAAATAATTTAAAGATATATTTTAGGCAAATAGATTTTAAAAGGTAAATACGGTTTTACAAATGCAAAATAAACAAACAGAAGATCTTAGATAAAATAAAAACAGCGCAGGAAAATAAAAATAAAAAAGTACCTATTCTCACTATTCCACAGTAAAAAATAAATTAAAATAACAAAAAAAAAATAATAAAAAAAAAAAAAATAATAATGGGGGATTCCATAATTTGGGGAAAAAAATAAATTGTGTTTCATGTAATTATGCATTTATTGTGTGGGTATGTATATATATATATATATATATATATATATACCAGAGCAAAATGCTTTGTTAAAAGCAGACCACACCCTTTTTTTAAATGTAGAAGCTTAGATATATATTTTAATTAAGCATCCAATTGAAATGGCAGTCTAAAGAGGTTTGTTTTGTATCTGTGCATTATGTATAACATGTATCTAACGACAGAGGCTGCGACTAAGTGTAGTCTGTGGATTTGATCTTAATAACCCTCACGCCCCCTCTCTCAATGATTCTCATTCGGCAGTAGTGAAATTCTAGGGATTAGACAAGCCCACTTGAAAGAAACCTTAATGGTCTCTGTCTGATGACATGTTTCTAAATTGGGTAATCTACAGGACCGCTATAAAATGTAATATTATATTTTGTGTGTGTGATATATATATATTTAAGTACACACACACAGTTTGTATTTTCATTTCAATACATCTATAAATTATACAAACCTCTCACACTCATGTTTAAAGGGAGTAAATAATGAAACTGTCCTGCTTTGAGTACCTTTAAATTCAAAAGGATGATAATGTGGTGGTGGTTCCAGTGTTCTAGAAAAATAAAAATAGCAAGTTTGTTCATCTTTTTATCAAATAAACTCTCATCTAGAATTTGGTTACTTCACTGTTCTACCGAACTCCGTCAAACCTATGGTGATTTTTGCACAATAAGTCTACTTGGAAATTCATTGCCTTTTTTTTTTTTCCTTTCAAATATGAGAATTGTAACAACATACATCTATTATTTAGCAGCATAATAAAATAGGCAAAGGAAAAAAAAATAAAAAATAAAGAGTGGAGGCTGGAGAGATTAGAGTTGCATTATCAGCCATACTGTTAACTTGAGTTTACAAATACAAGGTAAAAAAAAAGACTAGCATTCAAACTGGTACCTTTACGAAAAAAAACATTACACTATGTTACTAATGTACAGAGCTCTCACAATAAATTCCCTTTAAACATGAATATATACACACACATTTATGATAGGTAGAGAATATATATCTTATACACTCCTTGGTACATAACCATGTGACCAAAGGATTCCATTAGGATGTATATACAATTCGTACAGGTAAATATTAGCAAACAAGAACAATATATGTATTCTTTTTTGTGAATGTACGTGTGTACGCACTCACGCTTAAATTGTTGAAACGAACATCACAAGTTACAGTTATCTCTACATGTTAAGAGTGTAGTCAGCTTTTACAGGTTTTAGATCAAAGCATGGCCGCTCTGAACGGTTTACGGAGTTACAGTGACCTATTGGTCAGAGCAGCCACTTCAGAATTATTTTTAAAATAAATCGTGCCCTTTGGTGAAAAGAAGCTGCAGAGTTATACAGCCTGGAATACTTTTAGTCCTAGTCAATCGTTCTATATTTACTTTACCCTTTGAGTGGCAGAAGCATGACCAACGCATTTTGGGTTAATTTTTTTAAAAAAATTCTGACTCAAAGAATTAGATAGATTTGTATGAAAACCAAAAATTAAATATCCAAATTGTAGTGAGAAGCAGGAAGCTGGTGTTTTAATACCTCTAAAAAGAGGGTTCTTTTACACCCCTCCATACCATCCTATTTACTGGTCTTCGGGTCGTACCTTGAACTCTAACCCATAAACTTGACAGCTGTCATTAGGGCTGAAGTGCTTTTTCAGCAAAATCTGTGGATTGAATAATTTACCAATTCATTCTCCCTCTCAGAGATTAAGTGAATCCATCCTTGTGGCTGCCCCATCATGCAAACACTGTACCTTTAAATACAATAACTATCTGCTATAATTGCAGAAACATTAAATAGATTGAATAGTTTTCAAACTCAAGTCGTAAAAACAACACAAAACTGAGGTTCGGCTATAAATGCTCACTATTTGATCTTTGAAGAACATTGTTGGTCCTCTTTTAAATTACTAACACCCACAACGTTTTGCTTCCCTATGAGAAACTCAAACTGAATATCCACTCTGTTGTCAATTTCCTTCCATTTAAATCTTCGTACCTTTAAAACACATTAATTGGCGCCTAACTGAACCCAATAAGAATGTTTCTGTGAATGTACCGTCAAGTGGATTTACTCCAAGCCAATCAATGTGCTAGTCCTTCACACCTCATAACTTGTCCTGCATAAAGGATCCTCTTCCTCTTAACAAGGTGTAAAGGAGAACATGTGGACAACAGGGCTGGCTCTGAGCACTGTATCGGTGTGCATTTGTAAGCAAGGTGCACTAGGAGACGAGTCATGAAGGGATGTGTACACAATGAAATAAAATAGCCAGATGTGTGTGTGAGGCAGAAATGGGTACAAAAAAAGAGAGGTCTTAAGTGCCCGGGAATAAATGATAGATCCATACATACTGTAATGAAGAACATGCAGTAGTAATACACATACCCAAACTGTGGGAGCATCACAGAAAGGGAAGGACTAAGTGCTGGGATGGTGCAAGGATTATACAATAACAAACCGTACCATCTGAAAAGTGGGCAATAAGATCGGCTTGCAAGCTCTGCTTATTCTTTTCTTGGGCTTGTAGTGTATTGGAGAGGTCTGGCATTGCAGCAGTGTTATGTTGGAATATGGTTGTCATGACGTGTATTGGAATAGAGGCATGGGCTAAGGTAAAACATTATCTTGGCATGTAGTGTATTATGATGTATCCAGGTACTGTGCTGGGTCTTGGCATGTAGTGTATCCGGATGTACCCAGACTCTGTGCTGGGTCTTTACATGTAGTGTATCAGGATGTACCCAGACTCTGTGCTGGGTCTTGGCATGTTAGTGTGTCTGTACCCGTACAAAAACTGTTCAGGTAAAACAGGTGAATATTAGAGCAAGCACTAGATGAGGAGGGTTGAAACACATAACGCCACTGTCAGCTAGGCAAACCTCTGCCACCGTCTGGTCACACAAAGGAATATTGGTTGTTCACTGCTCTTGCGTGTGAGGCTGCACTGTTGGCATCATTGGCATCCTCTGCACCCGTGCCTCCTGGTTGGAGCTGTTGGAGGAGAACTGCAGCCTCTTCTTGCTCTTCCACAGAAACTTCCCCCTCCTCATGCTGAGCAACAGGAGGCTCCGGAGGGGGGCGGCTAATTGGGGGTTCGTCTGGAGGGGAGGCGCTGAGCGGGAACCAAGGGGGCTGTAGGGTTCCCTCTGAACTCTGGTGCCGAGATAAAGGATGTGGGGGCAAAGGAGGAGGATTACGGGTGCTGGCTGCCTCTGAAACAGAAAGACATATTTTGTTTGGACAGAATAACAAGACATCACAATATACCTGCAGTACATGAATCGTCTTTAACAATTATACGCCCCACAGCGTGATGGAATGTGGTGTTTATCTGAATAATGATTTTACAATTTATTGGGGTAAATCCCAACTTGCTTGAGATTGCGTGTCTCATCCCGATTCAAAATACTGAAAATATAATCTACTTTTGTTAATTGTCTACAAATCTATGGATATATTATCTAATTGAATAGTGACAGTCTTGGTATCACAGCTATATCAAGCATATTCCAAGTCTATTAAACACTATGTTGGTTAAAAGAGGGACCATAGCCATACGATGCTCAGTGACCCATATAGCGACATATACAAAAAGGATTTGGAAGAAAAGCCCAACTGTTGCTATGACTGAGAGACTATATATTCCATTAACAGGTATATGTTCCTGGAGCGCAGCCAGAGGGGAAAAAAAAATAAAAATGTTTTTATTTAGTAATTGTGGGATTTACTGTTATGGGAGATGGATAACATAACATTTAGTGACAGCAGATCTACAAAAGATGTAAGCAATACATTAAACTCCAGTACTGCTCACAGAATGAGCTATTATTTCCATAACCAGCAACTGTGCCTAGCAGAATCTACCTCCCCAAGTTCTCACCTTCCTGGGAAGACACTTCCAGCAGGAAGGAACATGGTAGGAAGTGCGTATGGGGCATGAGTGGTTAGAGGCAGCACTTACATACAGTCATTCGCTCCAATGGAGATGGGGTTTGATGGTGAGTCTGGGATGCGATGGGGAACCTCACACACGGTCGTTCTACTGTCAGCCCTGTCTCGGCCTGCAAAGAACAGACGGGGCCAATCAGAAGAGTATGGAGCGAAAGGATGTGACAAATTAGGGGCAAATTGACGCATGTGACAGCCAATAAGCAGCAAGAGAAGTGTGGGTTGGGTCTGTAAGGGTAACCCCATTAGCAGATCAAAAATGTTCATCTCTTGGTCCACTGAAATCACAGTCAGTTAACGACAATGTTTAACACATACATTTTATGTAAACCATTAGGTAACGGGGGAGGGGAATTAAATTACTTTTACAAGAATCATTACTTATTATATGCATTACAGTAGCTTTGTCATCTGAAAAAAATCCTCACATAAATCAGTTCTAAAGAATATCTTAAAGAAAACATCAATTACTAGTAAAAACCATTGTTAATTTAGTACTTAGAAATGCATCACCATTTTAATTTTTCCAAGTGACTGTTGCCGACAGTAAATACAATTTATAGAACATATGATGTCAGCAGCCAAACATGATCAGGTATTTCAACAGTTGAACTGGTAAGTTCCCAGAATCCCAGACACTGCAGAGAGATGCTGAACCTCTACATTTCCACTGTACACAAAGAAACCTCAAGTTAGCCAAATATGTTATTTATAAATAATAAAAATAAAAAAAACACAAGTTAATGTCTGAAGAGATTTTAGAATGATCAAAACATGTTATAAGTTACGTGATGATGAAATTCTAATGACAAAGCCACATTAAACCTGTACAAAGGTTAACAATACTCCTCCATGAACAGAAAACGCTATAGCTACTAATCAGTTACTCGTGTAACATTCAAAACACATTGACAGGGACTCAAAACATTTTACTCTTGGTTGTTAGCAGAACCCAGAGATATTACAGGTTCCTCCCTCCAGCTGGCCAAGATACAGCGATTCAAATGACTTATTCTCTGCCAAACTGCTGGACATTTTACCCATGTATTCCTTAAAAGAGCACTATTGTGCCAGGAAAACAAACTCGTTTTCCTGGCACTATAGGGTCATTAGGTCCCCCCCTCCCGCTGGGCTGAATGGGTTACAACCTCTTCAGCCACTTCTCCAGCGCCAGGCTCCCTCTATGCTGGGGAACTCTCCACCCCCTGCCGACGTCAGATCCGAATGCGCATGCGCAGCAAGAGCCATGCGCACATTCAAACAGCCCAAATTAAAGCATTACTCAATGTTTTCCGATGGACGTCGAGCGTCTTCTCACTGTGATTTTCACAGTGAGATCCGCTAGCGGCTGTCAGTGAGATAGCCACTAGAGGCTGGATTAACCCTCAGTGAAACAGGTTTTCAGCTGCAGGGTTAAAACTAGAGGAACCTGGCACCCAGACCACTTCATGGAGCTGAAGTGGTCTGGGTGCCTATAGTGGTCCTTTAATAACTTACATTATTATTTTCCCTATGCTAAATTTGTCATGGTATCCCTTTGGAAGGCTATTAAAACCAAGAATGGTTTAAAGCAATGCAAGATTACAAATATATGGAAAATTAAACATATAATACTGAAAGGAGGAAGTCTGACTATGCACATATTGGCATTTGCAATTGCAGCCAAGGAAAACAGACAGGGTGTTTAATGCTGTAATACCCAGGTCTTCCCTCAAGCCTTGACTTGTTGTGGTAACACAGATTTGTTTTAAAAAAAAAATAAATTATTTTTGTTAATAGAATACTCTGGAAAGCAAAAGGTTACAGGAGAAACTTTCACTATCCTTATCAAAAGGAAAAATGTGTTTGTGAGGTCTGATTTTTTTTTTTCCTGCAAATTGTTTATTTAAGAAATGAGTAAATCAAACAGACGCGTCAGTGTGCAAGTGCATTGCAACCTACTCATATTAACTTTAAATTGTAAGCATATTGGAGGTCTGAAATGTCAATCTAAATCGCTGTATTTACCCCTTTTCTGGAGCTGACCGCCTTCATCTTGCCTCCCTGTTAATCTGTGTTCCAGGTTCTACTCTTTGTGGACATTAATTATTGTGGACGAGGAGAAGAAGAAACAACGAATGTTTCTTTTCCTCCTTTGTCAACGTCAAAATTATTTTTGTTGTTTTATAGATCTTGGGGTCAATTTCAGCCTGGATGATTTCTAGCTATTGAGGTGTATATAAGGGATGTGAATTTCTAGCTATTGATGTGAACTGGATTGTGATGTTAAATGCTAAATCTACACATGGCTCAAAATTTCTATTCACCACAAGTCACAGACAAGTGGAAATGCAGTCCTGACACGTAGAAATTCACCCCTGGGTGTATGGCATTGACTCTCCATGATTGCAGTGGGAAGTAACTATTAAGGGCTGTCTAGCAGTGTAGGACTTGACATCGGAAAATTTGGGAGAGAGGGGGTTAAAACAGAAGTTATTTTTAATGTTTAATTCAATAGTGTAAATACCAGAGAAGTGATTGTCCTTCTTTTGAATTTCTCCTCCATAAATGCTGGTACCCAGATTATCTTGATGACTGAAATACTACATGAACTACAGGTCAGTATTTACCCTGAAGATAAGTTCTCACCGTGTAACCGCTGAGAAGACACCACATAACTGATAAGAGTGACATCACTTGAGCCCCCAGATTCCAGAGGGATGGGGTGCACTCGGAAGTGTTCGAGCATGTCAAAGATGGTCTGAAACCAGAGATGCTGGACTCGGCACTGTCCATCCTCGTTGAGGGACAAACGAAGGTGCTAGAGAGAGATCAAGACAGTGAGGAGGGATGGCTAAGGAAACGTTTGCGAGAAGGTGAAATTAGTTAGGAGAGGGGCAGAACATGTATACAAACAAACGAAAAGCTCATGAGGAATACAAAAGAGAGAGGTAGCAATAGAACATAAACTGCAAAGTGATAGCAATATTAAGCTCACCTTGGCTTTGCCCTGAAAATTAAAGGTCAGCACGTACTCTCCCCGCCGGGTCTCACTTTGCCGCACTAAGAAAACCCCATGGCTGCTGGTGCCTCCTGCCAACACAAGCTGTGCTGCCTTCAGTCGGGAGAGTGTGCCATGAAACCACTGATACTCCGATAGAGGATGCTCACCATCTCCTGGGTCTGGTTCTCCATGGAAAATGAACGAAGCTTTGAAAGGATATAAACCACAAAGTTAATTTAAATCACATGGTATATTGAATTACACAATATCAGTTTCAGTCACATGAGTTTCACAAAAGAACCAATTGTACACATGATAAATTCCACAGAGGCAAAAGACTGGACCCCACACAGGGTAAAAAGGATCATTCCCTGCCTATGCTGGACCCCTTGTCCGTGATCCTACAGATGTGTCGGGAGGCATATTCCTGCCAGCCAACAATTAAAATGCACAGAAAGGAGGGGGCAGTAATCTGGTGACAAGGATTCCCACTGATTTGTTAAAGAAATAGGGTGCAGTACAAAAACCATGGTTATTCTGCACTTTTCCTCTTTTGGAATAAGAAATCCAAATGTATGCACCCACTGGGATCCTACCTGCCGTATCAGGTGTGTCAGGAAAAGGGACACCCATGGGATTTTGAGGTCTCTCGCCTTCGTCAATGGGCGCTCGAGGTGGCAACTCTGGTGGGAGAAGCTCCATGGAATCGAAGTGTGAGGGTGTCATGGAGACAGAGCTGGGGGAGATTGAGGCAGAGGGGCGCTCAGACAACCCTCCATAAGCCCCTGCAGAAACATAGGTAGAGGAGACGTTCTATGAAGATACCAACACGTGAAACTCATTTATTCAAGTGGAAGTAGAAATATGGATGGTAACGTTTTACCAAATACATGCCAAGCCACCCACATTTTCCAGCAAATAGGACATTATTCCCAGAGTAATGTTTCAACATTACAAAGAAAGTTAGACAATATTAAATTTGACCTCCAATTATAAATAACAGAACACAATGAGAGTCATGTATACAGATAGATTATCAAGAATTATTCTAGGAGTTGAGCCCCAATTTTAGAACACGTCCCCAAAATTATTTTTAAACACAACCCCCAAAGTGTGCAACCCATGAAAGCAAGAGTGGAACTTACCTAAATTAAAGGACCACTGAAGTCACCCAGGTCACTTCATTGAGATGAAGTGGCCTTGGGTGTAGTGGTCCAGTCAATGCATCCATTCAAGGTAAAACAGACCTCCAAAGGCTGACAGCCACAGGAGGCAGTTCTGCTGCACTGAGTGAGTAAAACTCTGCCAAATTACCCTGTGGCCCCATAGGAAAGGATTTATTAAATGATTTTCTGTGGGGAAGCATGGATGCATGAACAGCACGCACCGCGCATGCACATCAGCTCCCCAATGCTCCTCTATAAAGGGGCAATGAATTGGAGCACTACGGAGGAGACAATGCCACATCCATGATAATGAGGGAAAAGTAAGCAATGCCAAAAGGAGCCATGGTAATGGAAAAGGGCACGTAAAATCTTTTATCTTGTTATTCTTATGGGACACTGGGGGCTGGGTTAGAACTAGGAACACTAAAGTTTCATGAATACAGGTGTGCATTCCTTTAGCATCAAAACACTAGTTAGATCCTAACTCCAAGTATACATTATTATTTATTTTTTATAATTTCTGCAAAATTCCTTAATGATACACACACACTTTCCATAGAATTGTGAATCAGTTTGAAGGACCTAAAAACAAATTCTTCAGGTTTAATAACATTTCCTTATTTCCCTAGTTACACCTCAGTTTAATGAATAAACCACGCTTTGTGTAGTATTTTTGTGCCATTTTGTATTAGGTATACTGATTCCATTTGCATTTCCTATGGACAGAATTAAATCTGATTGACGTAACATATTGTAAGTAGAAGTAGCTATGTGCAGAGAAGATATATGTAGAAAATTAAATTGCTAATTCTTAACAAGTCGTTAATTAGGATTAGTCACTGTAGTGCAATCAGGGGGCTGTGTACCTTGGCAAAGCTGCTCACTGCTCTCTGTGGGTAAAAGAGGTAGATCCCGGCTAGGCATGCTTTCTGAATGGTTTATATGAGGAAGGTCTGTGGCATCAACTGCATCCCTGCTGAATAAAATGACAATGGTCAGGAACAGGTCAAAAAGACTATGGTCAGTAAAAGAAGACTGGATTGTTTGGAACCAATGCCTACAGCTGATGAACAAACTAACTAGCAAGTAAAACCAATACTTACCACTCTAGTCCTCTGACAGAAAAAAAAAACCAAAAAAACACATTCCCCACCATCACCACTAATTGTACATCACAGGGGCAAACTCACTGCAAAGGAATTAGAGCAAATGAGGATCATAAGGGAACCATCACTCCCTAAGAATCTGATTATGTTATGTTGCTTCCTATAAAATATAGAGCTCAATTTAAAATTCAGGTTCTTGCTTTCAAAATCGCTAGATAATGCTGCTCCCACCTATCTATCCTCCCTTATACACAAGTATGTCCCGTCTAGGTCCTTACGATCTGCTGAAGACATACGTCTATCTTCTGTCCGTATTCCCACCTCTGATGCTCGCCTTCAAGATTTCTCGAGGGCTGCACCGATCCTGTGGAACTCGCTTCCCTCCTCCGTTAGATGCTCACCCAGTCTCCACTCCTTCAAAAAATCGTTAAAAACCCACTTCTTCATAAAAGCGTATCAATTAAACTGTTAATAGCTCCTGACTGATTCCTCTTCTTCAACTGTCACTAGTCTAATACTATCCTTACCTTTTTGTGTCATTTTACCCAACTCCCACTAGCATTTAAGCTCATTGAGCAGGGCCCTCAACCCCTCTGTTCCTGTGTGTCCAACTTGTCTGGTTACAACTACATGTCTGTTCGTCCACCCATTGTAAAGCGCTACGGAATTTAATGGCGCTATATAAATAACATAATAATAATAAAGTTTTGTATTCCTTATAATTAACAAATGCGTTTTTAAAAAAAGAAAATATCAAATGAAATAAATAAAACCACACTGCTGTATTTACCTCTATCCTGGAGCTCGGCATCTCCATCTTGGCTCCCTGCCAGGTATTGTTATAAAAAAAAATTAGGTCCAGGCACTCAGGATTGCTGCAGTAAGGCGGGTTTATTGAAACAAAAACTGCAAAGTTTCGGCCTACACAGAGGCCTTTATTAAGTCGATAAAGGTAAAGGTATTGTTATAAGCTCTGCCCTTTGCATCTCTCAGTCAGGGCAGCAGGAGGAGGAAATATAGAAACATTGTTTCTGGTTTTCGTCCTCCAATGTTATGTGTACCCTGACTGTGCCTGAACTGAACCGGATTGTGAAGTTAAACACGCATTTAAAAGAAAACCCAGTGTCACATGAGAAAACTGTTAACACAAGCTACAAGTGATTTATTCAATGGTGTCAATTCCAGTTAAGTGACGGTTCTCTTTAAATAGTTGCAAACCCCTGTGGTGTCTCTGAATAAAGAAAACACTGACGGTCAATGCATATTCAATACTTATGCCATGCTGGGCAACTGCAATCTACCTGCACTAACAGGAGCCTTTGCAGCTTACTGTGGAGAATCTAGAGTTGGCTGTGATCTGCAGCAACTTCAGAATTATCATTTTTTCAATTTCAGCCTGAAGAATTTCTAGCTATTGATGTGTATATAAGGGATGTCTGTTAAGTTAATAAAATAACATGGCTATACTTTAACATAGGAGTGCATCATGTTAAAGCTACGGTCCAGCATGTACAGAGCACACAGTCAGACAAGCAGTTCCGCTAGGCTGTAAATTCTTTAACTCTACAGAAGAGGCCCAGGAAGACATGAAGCTGCTCACCTAGAGGTCATGCAGTCCTGTATGTCAGACAGCCAAGATTTCATCTGCAGAGGGTCTACCGACTCCAGGATATACTCTGAGGAATTCTCCGTCTGTTCCATCCAAACAAAGACAAAAGGACATTTTGTATGACAGATAAACTAGACTATCAATTCCTAATCTCAGTCTAGTTACTCACAACCTGCTCAGAGATTATCTGCGCACTGGAGGGCACTACAGCACCATCCATGTTATTTTTATCTCCTTACAATATGTCAGTGTTTCCCTATGATTGACACCCAGCAGACAATATGGTTAATGTGTGTTCTCACTCCTTAGATGCTGGAGTTGAGAACGGACTGTCTTATGACATCCAAAATGACAAGGCTTCAAATTCTCTCCGTACATTGTCTAAGACAGTGATCTCAAATCTTCAGTACTCCAGCTATTTTAAAGTTCATATCTCACAACATTCAGTCTTTTTACGCTCCCAGAAGCTATTTGCTGCTGGTTTAGAAAGAATACCCTATTCCCAGAGGCACTCCATTACCTTTAACACAAACGTGTTTTCCTTGTCTGGCATCTCCAAGGGGGTCGTGGTCCGAACGTCCACAATGGACGAACAAGGAAAGCTGACCCGTGGCTTTGTGGCCTGCAATATAATTTATTTTAAATGAGAAGGAATTAAAAAAAAAAAAAAAAAAGACATTTATTTAAATAAAATCAGATTGTTGGTGCAGACAACTCTCAATTGGAAATAGTTTCTCCCATTATAATACTGTTAACATTTTTAAATGTAAGTGCTTTAAAAATGGGTAAGTAGAAATCTGCTTGGTCCTTTAAATACAATTAAGTAGAGATTTGACTGCTTAATTCACAAATGGAAACGTAATAAGTTGCAGTATTTGCAAGTAATAGTAAAATAAAGATCAGGTTAAAGGAAAACTATTGGCTAAAAATACTAAATTGTATTCCTAGCCTACAGTGTCTCCATCGCTCCCCAGTGTTAGCTGACACTCTCGGCCTATCACCAGGGTCAGAGTGATTGGTTTAACCCCTTCAGCAGCGCCCAGATTGAGAGGAAGTGATGTGGTAGAGTGATCGGGCACGAGTTTGCAGACTTTGGGGTTTAAACCATTAGTTGGCGGTTTAGCACCTTCAGATAAGATGGCATCTAGGACTTCGGCACCATAAGATCACCACTGCAATTAAGTTGTTATGGTGCCTGGAGTGTTCCTTTAAAAGGACTAAATGCATTGCTTCTTACGACAAAACTGTAAAGCTAATTTGGCATTGTGAGCCAATTGAATATTTAATATGCAGTGTGTAGGATTGTATCACACAGCTCTACAACAGTAAAACTAACAATAATGTGTAATGTGTACACTCAGAATGCCACAACAATAAAACTGGTAGAATCCAAAATGAGATTGTAACAAAAATTAATAGGGCAGAAAATTGCTGTATGTAAAACAGGTTAGGGAAAATGGAAAAGGAAAACAGCTACAAATTGCTATTGACCCCCATCTCTTTCTTCCCTATTTCACCTCTATCAGTATAACTGCCCTGTTCTCCCCAGCAAATCTAGGGGATGGGGGTCACTACTGCCAGCAGCTATGTGCATAGTACAAGGGTCTACTCTTTAGTGCAAATAAGCAGCCTTCCCAAAATATTTGGAGGAAATTACCAGAGAAGAAAGATATATATAATTCCTAAATAACTGTAAAGCAGTGTGAACCACAGATGAAGTTTATTATCATGTATGATAAATAATTTCCGGTGTATGGTGCAAAAACCAGAGGATGTTTATCAACATATGACAATGTCACAAGTGCTTGTTTGACACGTATAGAGAAAAAGAGAATCATGGAGAGAAGACAAATGTAAAATTAAAAAAGGTTATAATTTTGCTATAAATGTTATACTGTAAAAACTGTGTATATTATGTGTATATATCCAATTTACATTAAAATTTATTTTTTTCCTTGACACATGAAGCAACATTGCCACACAATTTTATTTAATAACAAAGCACATTTTCTTCCTTTAAATGGGGGTTTGTGGCATCTGACACTGTTCACACTACTGTTTGGTGAGTAAATTATGCCTTTTAGAGTGGGGGGTTGGGGGGTGTACCATATTGCACAGGAATATATTCCACATCTTACCTGGCCGTGTAAAATAATAAAAAAATACATAAGTGGGACGTTAGAATATGAGCACATTGAAAAAAGCAGCTGTCTAAAATTCCAGCAGTGGGACTGATGTGTCTTTCACACAATAAGCTACAATCATAAAAATATGATTGTGGAACAATATCACTCCATAATAAAGTTAATGAATTTGTGTTTCTACGTTCTGTAATGAGGCTACTTCTAGGATAAAAACAAAAAAATTAAATAAATTAGATACAAATGGGACTTCTCTACACATTTTCATACCTTAGGAGGAATGTAAAACTCCATGAGGTATCCTTCACCTTCATCACTCCCAGCCTTTCGCAGGAGAAGACGGCACTTCTGCCACCGGGCCCTGCTGCTACTGTTGACCTCTTCTGCTACCACGTAGTTCAGAACCCCTTCCCGTTTCACATCCTTCGGTTCTGCTCTGGGGGCAGGAGGCCGGCTCAGCCGTAATTTCTCAAACCTATGAGTCCACCTTTCTCCTCCACCCCTGCTGGATGAAGAATTACAGTTGCTATTGGCCCCCGCTGTCTCCTCGGTCGGAGACTCTGCTGAGCTCTTCCACTGTAGCATACCCCGAACACTACCCCGCACACTCCGACTCACATTACGTAGAGAGAAACGTTTTTTCAGACGTGGCTTCGCTGTGGCTGAAGATGTGGACACATCTTCTGAACTGTGGGACTGGCTACTGGACAGGCCAGAGGTAATACCAGAAGAGTCCTGCCTAGGCTGTGTTTCCACAGGAGAGGCCAGTGATGAGTCACTGCATGTTTCAGAGAGATCTCTATTTGAAACCTGTGCACCTGTAAAAGGGACAATACTGCAGCGGGTGGGAGAAGGGCCATCGGGAGCTTGGGTCTTGTTCACCTCTGTTTCAAAGTGCTCTACAAAATGCTCAGCAAAGCGCCGTGAAAAGCTGGTCTCAGCCCCCGGTGTGGCATACTGTGGGTTCTCGCTCAGAAAGGCCCGAAATCTACGAGCAAAGTCCAAGGCAGCAGCATGAGCGTGGATCTCACAGAACTCCTTCCAATTGGGAGACGGGGAGGACGAAACCTCCGGGAAAAAGCTACCATTCATCATGGGGGTGCCGGCTGGATCAGCTGCTGGAAGATAGGAAGTCAAATATAAATACCATAGAATTGGAAGTAATTATGGTAAATACAGTTCATAGACCACAGAAGTCATATGGCTCCACCATACACAAAAACATACATACTAAAAGTGTCAAAGCCTCTGTGCCCTTTGTATAATTTGAATGGAATTGAGTGACTGCAAATGTGTGCTTGAGTGTGTACACAAAGAGGGGGGGGGGGAAAAACCATAGAGAACACCTTAACAATGTGAACTCTTTGGAGAGTTTTTTTTATAGATATATACCCAGTAAATAGAATACCATATGTCTAGTGAGGTCATTTGTGGTATCTTTGTCCCAAGAGCGATGTATGCTTTGGGAAAATATATAGAAAACGCAGTCCATTTAAAATACTGATACGGATTTTTAGAGATCATTGTGCACAAAGGTCTAGAATGTGCCTTTCCAATCCTCCCCAATACATAAGCAATTACGTGTGCAGCTTACTGTTTTGATTGTTCTACCTATTCCAAGCATGTATACCATAAAGCAGGGGATGTTTTTGGCATTTGAGCTCAAGCTCCTATCTTATCATGGAAGGCGGAGTCCTTCGTGTGAGTCACCAGATAATCTTACACTCACTGATGTCAATTCCTGTTATAGTGGGTTTACTAATTATCTACTGTTTCTCTACAGCTGCTTCACTTTCTGTAAACCTTCTTCTGCAAAGCCCAGGAACTTTGTCAGCAACCACTCCTGGGATTTAGGACCTCAAAATACAACAATATGCTCAATCTGAAATCCCACTCCCTATTGAGTCATGAATAGCTTGTCTCCTCATATACTAATAATATAGAGTATGCCCATCAAAGCAAAGTGTTAATGTGCAAAAAAAATGTAAGTTTTCCCTTCAGTACAAATTTATTTTTATGAGACTGTTTTGTGAAATGCAAGTTTATCTGAGGAAGGTTTTTTCCCCCCCTTTTTGTAAGAGAGCTTGAATTGCTTAGTACAAAATGTACACTTTATTAAATATACACAACATAAAATAGTAAATATATATGAAAATATAATTTTCAGAATGTATACTTTCAAGCAAGTCAACTCAACAATAGGGATGTGCATCACCTCTTCGTATAAACAACAGATTTATCAGATTTATAAAGAACTGAGTGAAATCAAATTTTCTAGGCAATTAGCCAAAGCGCAGCCTAAATTTAAAGAAGAAGAAAAAAAAACCTCCATGTTTACAAGCCTGTAGACAGGACCCTCTCTACCTTTTACATTTGTCAAAATAAATCTGTTATACTATTAGGCTCTGCATGTAGCCATGAATAAGAACACATCCATATACACACGTATCATTCTTTATAATACGCTTAGGTGATCTATATTTACCTCTCTGGATCCCCTTTGCCTCTCCCCATCCTGTCCCGGGTAATCTATGCACAGGGCCCCCAGGATGTGGCCCCTGGCTGTGCGTAATCCTTCTGGGTTGTGGCCCCAGCCTTTCTATGGGAGCCTTCACCTTTTACACTTTTATGTTCCTTTTTGGTAGAAAATATAAGACAGTGGACCAGATGAAGTCCTGATTTACAGAGATTACCCCTGATCTCTGAGCTGTGGGGTGTGCTTCCTTAAATAATGGAACACTTGGCCCTGGTTTACACAGAGAGATAGCCCCTGGTGTCTGAGCTGAAGACCCTGCTTTCCAGGCAGACTGAGCTGGGATGGAGAGATCTGGCTGTGGGGCCCCTGAGGGTGATGTTGTTATGCAGTGGCTCCCTAGATGGCCCCTATGCCTGCCCCTAATACTAGCCTCCTCCTGCCTTGCAGGGACTCCCTGTTGTTGTTGTTATGGTGCCCCTGTGACTGGCCTCCTCCTGCCTTGCAGGGACTCCCTGTTGTTGTTGTTATGGTGGCCCTGTGACTGGCCTCCTCCTGCCTTGCAGGGACTCCCTGTTGTTGTTATGGTGGCCCTCCCTGTGACTGGCCTCCTCCTGCCTTGCAGGGACTCCCTGTTGTTGTTGTTATGGTGGCCCCTGTGACTGGCCTCCTCCTGCCTTGCAGGGACTCCCTGTTGTTGTTATGGTGCCCCTGTGACTGGCCTCCTCCTGCCTTGCAGGGACTCCCTGTTGTTGTTATGGTGGCCCTCCCTGTGACTGGCCTCCTCCTGCCTTGCAGGGACTCCCTGTTGTTGTTATGGTGGCCCTCCCTGTGACTGGCCTCCTCCTGCCTTGCAGGGACTCCCTGTTGTTGTTATGGTGGCCCTCCCTGTGACTGGCCTCCTCCTGCCTTGCAGGGACTCCCTGTTGTTGTTATGGTGGCCCTCCCTGTGACTGGCCTCCTCCTGCCTTGCAGGGACTCCCTGTTGTTGTTATGGTGGCCCTCCCTGTTGTTGTTGTTGTTATGGTGCTGTGGCCCTCGTGTGATGCGCTGGTCCCTGGCCGTGGCTCTCAGGGGCCCCTCCCACGGCTGCTCCCCGGTCCCTCTTGTTGACTGAATCGGGTTCAGTCGCGTTTCTGGGCTGCGGCCTCGACTCTGCGGCGCATGCGCAGTCTGCGTGACGTCACCACGAGTACCATAGAGGTTTCATGTAAACAGCACCAGAGAGGCTCACACACACACCATAGAGGGCGAAGCAGGCAGATAGAGCGACCTCGTGGCGGACTTCACTTTACTGTTTGTCTTTGGGCAATGAAGGTGATTGCCAGCAGTACCTTCACTATCACTAACACTATCACCATTACTGACACTATCACTATTACTGACACTATCACTATTACTGACACTAACACTATCACTAACACTATCACTATCACCATTACTGACACTATCACTATTACTGACACTATTACTGACACTATCACTATTACTGACACTAACACTATCACTGACACTATCACTAACACTATTACTGACACTATCACTATTACTGACACTATTACTGACACTATCACTGACACTATTACTAACACTAACACTATTACTGACACTATCACTATTACTGACACTAACACTATCACTGACACTAACACTATCACTGACACTAACACTATTACTGACACTATCACTAACACTATTACTGACACTAACACTATTACTAACACTAACACTATTACTGACACTATCACTAACACTATTACTAACACTATCACTATTACTGACACTAACACTATCACTGACACTATCACTAACACTATTACTGACACTAACACTATCACTGACACTAACACTATCACTGACACTAACACTATTACTGACACTATCACTAACACTATAACACTATTACTGACACTATCACTATTACTGTCACTATCACTGACACTATCACTATTACTGACACTATCACTAACACTATCAATATTACTGACACTATCACTAACACTATCACTATTACTGACACTATCACTGACACTATTACTGACACTATCACTAACACTATCACTGACACTATTACTGACACTATCACTATTACTGACACTAACACTATTACTGACACTATCACTATTACTGACACTATTACTGACACTATCACACACTATTACTGACACTATCACTATTACTGACACTAACACTATTACTGACACTATCACTAACACTATCACTATTACTGACACTATCACTATTACTGACACCATCACTAACACTATCACTATTACTGACACTATCACTATTACTAACACTATTACTGGCACCATCACTAACACTATCACTATTACTGACACTATCACTAACACTATTACTGACACTATCATTATTACTGACACTATTACTAACACTATCACTATTACTGACACTATTACTGACACTAACACTATCACTATAATTGACACTATCACTATTACTAACACTATTACTGACACCATTACTATCACTAACACTATTACTGACACTATCACTATTACTAACACTATCACTATTACTGACACTATCACTATTACTGACACTAACACTATCACTATTACTGACACTATCACTATTACTGACACTAACACTATTACTGACACTATCACTAACACTATTACTGACAGTATCACTAACACTATTACTGACACTATCACTAACACTATTACTGACACTAACACTATTACTGACTGTATTTTTCCTACCTGTGATAATTGCATCTTCTATTGTATAAGATAATTGAATCACAGGCAGAGGGGAGGATTTTGTGTGGGCTGTAACCTCTGTTTTATTGGCTACTGTAGATAACGTGTGTCCCTCCCCTGCATGGGAGCAGGGCATAAAAGAAACTGTAGCTTTAATACCTGTTGTTATTACTTCCAGTAAAGTCTTGTTCCAGCATTAAAGGGACACTGTAGTCACTATAACCACTTTGTCTCTTTGAATTGGTTATAGTGCCTGGAGTGCCCTGGCACTGTCCCTCCATTCAGTGTTGCACCATGTTTGTGCAATATGCCACAAAATAAGAGTCCCTGGCCACCCACAGTCCGGCCCCTTCAGTATGTGTAGCTAAGGCAGAGATTACACACTTCCTTGTTGTCATACCCACTCATACTGTCAGTTGGAACTCTGACAGGCTAAAAGCAGTCAGCTGACACTCTCAGCCAATCACAGCTGCCTATTTCTGCTCAGGATAATACTTCCTTATTAGCCAAAGCAGCACAGAGGGGAGTGATTGCCGGGGACTCTTGTTTAGCATTAAAACATTAAAAGTTTAAAAACTGTTTAATGCTAAAAGAAATTATGGTACCAGAGGACTCCATACACCATAACCAGTTTAATGAGATGAAGCAGATACAGTGCCTACGGTGTCCCTTTAAGCTTTGGCTCATGTTTGGGGGATTGGAAAACTACACTCTGGGGATTGCTATAATCACTTACTCCCCAGAGTAAACTCTTGCAATAGCTTGTTTTGTTCCTGCTACACTCTCTGGATTTAGGAGAGGTTCACCCACTGGGAGCTGGATCCTGGTCGTGGATCCAGGGTGGGTGGAGACGGCGAGACCCCGGCACAGCTGTATCGCTGGAAGTGGGGTCTGCAGTGCTGATGGTGGCGGTTGGAGTGCTTGGAGTCCTCAGCGAGCACTAGGCGCATCGATTGGCGGAGGTACTCAGTTGGAGTGCCAGTGTTCCGTCACAAACACTTTTACTGACACTATCACTGACACTAACACTATTACTGACACTAATACTATTACTGACACTAACACTATCACTGACACTAACACTGTTATTGTATGTGGTCACTTTATATATCATTATATTATGGTAATGGGATGTAATAAAATATTATTATTAACACTGGCATTTTTATTATTATTATTATTATTATTATTGGTAATTTTGTTGCCCCAACTTATGCCTCAGCACTTTACATTATTAGAAAAGGGGGAGATTTAACAATAAATGAGACAATTATAAAATGCTACAGGAACAAGCCTGGTTTATTTATTTATTAATTAATGTTATGTAGAAAGCGCCAGTATATGCCGTACAAATTAAGAAAAAGATTGTACAATATAAACAGACCAATGCAAAAGGTAAACAGGGCCCGTGAGCCGAGTTCTAGGCACTGAAGATATTTTATACAGAGTACTTTGCTAGATAGCCCGTGAGCTATGTAGTATTTATACAAATGAGGTAGTCCTAAGCCCCCTCCTTTCCTGTTTTTTGTGAGGACGTCATATGCTAGTCTCGATTTTTTTATGTCCCCACACGTAGGATAGAAAGGTTTTCTTCATCGTACGGAAGAAGGTATTGTCTATGTCCAGTGGTAGGGTTTAAAAAAGATAGAGAATCTTTGGCAGTACCATCATCTTGATGATGTTGACCCTCCCAAAGAGAGAGAAGTGGGGTTTGTCCCATTGTTTTAGTTTGGACGTAATGTAATTTAACAGGGGTATGTAATTCATTTTATAAAGGCCTTTAATTGTGGATGTTAATTTAATGCCCAGGTAGGAAAGGCCTGATTCGGTCCATTTATAGCTATATGAGTTGCTGATTAGTTTCTTTTGCCAAGCGCTCAACCCCAAGCCCATTATTTCGCATTTACCTGCATTGATTTTGAAGTTAGAACAGGCACTAAACTGGTCTATCTCCTTCTTAACATGTGTGAGGGATTGTTCCGGGCTAGTGATGGTGAGGAGTACATAGTCCACAAAGTCGGACACTTTGATCTCCTTTCCCCCGGCTCCGAAGCCCGTGATGTTATTGTTAGTTCTGATAGCATTGAGGAAGGGCTCTGTTAAGACACCTCCCGTGTCTTTAAGCCAAACCGCCGTTTAGTAAACCTTCCCCGGCTGCAGTACAGTCTCTGTTCGCTTACTCTGTAACCCACGAACCAAATGCAGGGGAAGCGGCAATCTCCCGATCGAAATCCACGAACGGCTCCAAACTCCCGAACGGCAATATACGAACTGCTAGGAACCGTCGAACAATAATATCCCCAAAGCGGCTTTCGTTCCATCCAGCAGTCTCTAAACGTGAAGAAGAAATCCCCCCAATAACGAGACAGAAGCTCCGCATTGAGGGTCAAATAAGATCTGGGTTTACTGTGGGCTACCTGCCCGTATTTATGCAGGTCTCCCACCTGGTGGACACTCCCCTAGGGGACCAAATGGAAGACTTAAAGTACAGACAGATAGCAGGACATTTCTGACACACAGTCACATATTTTACCCACAGTACATTCTGATTCCCTCCCCTCTGTCCTGGAGTTAATTACCAAGTAACTCAATTAACTCCAGGACAAGGACAGTCGCCATCTTAAACATGAAATAATAAAAGACACAAAAATGCATAACTACATGAAGACTGAACATTTCCCATTCGTATTACATGTCCCCAGATAGCCTGGATCTGAGTGCATATTATTGGCGAATAGCGCTCAGATCCCACACACATAGTTCAATCGCCATGGAGTCAAAGTTCTTACAGTCCTTCGGTACACGAATGACTCCATGGGTGGGCTATCTGGGTTAAGTCTTTTGTGTGTTCTCAATCTCCCGAACGGCCGATGTTCGCATGCTTTCGTGGAGGCAGCCAGGCGTTCCCTTGTTTCAGCGGTGTTCGACAGAAAAAGTGTCCGTTTTCCGTTCCATAGAAATAGAGCCAAACACCGCTGAGCGTTCGCATGATTTAAAATGGCCGCTGCCTCGTGGTCGACATACGAACGACGACCACCCTGAGTTCGGTTTAATTGAGAAGTGTCTGCGGTTAACCACAACGTTATAATGGTGATCACTTCGTTAACCTGCAGCACACTCCTCACTTGGGTGGCCGTTCGTTCGGCGGTTTTGTTCGGGAAAAAGAGTCATTCGAATGGCTGGGCTATAGAAACCAGCCATTCACACGAACGGGGACAAACAGACGAACGGGCAAAAATCCAGCAGACAGATGGTTCTGTCACACGGCTCCCTCCTTGTGGGACACTCCGGCAGACCCGGCTTGACCCTGTGGCGGGTCAACTTGGGGATGACCGGACTACGAGGTGATGGAAACGTCTGTTTGTCGTGACAACCCATCTGCGTTTCCGTTTAGCTTACCGGGTCTGTAGCTGATGGTAAAATTGTAGGGCTGTAGTGCCAAGCTCCATCTCAGCAGTCTCCCATTGTCTCCTGAGACCCGGTTAAGCCAAACGAGTGGGTTGTGATCAGTCACAAGGGAAAACTCTTGCCCATACAAATAGGGGCTTAACTTTTTCAATGCCCAGACCAAGGCCAAACACTCCTTCTCCACTGCCGCATAACTCACTTCTCTGGGTAACAACTTTCTGCTGAGATATGCGACAGGGTGCTCTCCTCCATCTTCCCCGACTTGGCTCAGCACAGCCCCCAGTCCATACATGGAAGCATCTGTATGGACGAGAAAGCGTTTGTTAGGGACTGGGGCAGCCAAGACAGGGGCATTCACAAGAGCCTGCTTCAGTGCCTGGAACGCAGCTTCACAAGCCGGAGACCACAGGACCTGCTTAGGCAAGTTCTTCTTCGTCAGGTCTGTCAGGGGCTTAGCGATAGCGCTGTAGTCAGGGACAAAACGTCTGTAGTACCCTGCCGTCCCCAAGAAGGCCAATACCTGGGTCTTAGTAGTAGGTGTGGGCCAGTTAGCCACTGCTTCTACCTTGGCTGGCTCTGGTCTCTGGCTCCCACACCCCACTCTGTGACCCAGGTACTGCACTTCAGCCATACCTAGATGACACTTTTCTGGCTTCAACGTCAGGCCAGCGGCCCTAATCTTATCCAGCACTACCCCTACATGTACCAGGTGTTCCTCCCAGGACCCACTGTAGATCGCAATGTCGTCCAAGTATGCACAGGCAAATTCTTGGAAGCCATCCAGGAGTCTATCCACCATCCGTTGGAAAGTAGCCGGTGCATTTTTCATCCCAAAAGGCATGACCTTAAATTGGTACAGGCCAAATGGGGTGACAAATGCCGACTTGGGGATAGCATCCTCGGCCAGGGGGATCTGCCAGTAGCCCTTACACAGGTCTATGGTGGTCAGATATCGCCCCCTGGCAATACGATCTAGTAATTCGTCTACCCGGGGCATTGGGTAGGCGTCAGTGGTGGTCCGCTCGTTGAGTCGCCTGTAGTCCACACAGAACCGGGTGGTCCCATCTTTCTTGGGCACCAGGACTACAGGCGAGGCCCAAGGGCTGTCGGAGTGCTCGATAACCCCAAGTTGGGTCATCTCCTGTATCTCCTTCCGCATTCCTTCACGGACTGCTTCAGGGATACGGTAGGGGGGCTGTCGCAACGGGGTCTGTCCAGGGGTCTCTACCTTATGCACAGCTAGGGTGGTATAACCTGGTTCCTGGGAGAACGTCGCCTGCTTCTCCCATAACAACTGCTGCGCCTGTACCCCTTCTGTGGGGTTCAACCGGTCCCCTAGCTGTACCAAGGTAGTAAGGTCAGTCTGGGAATCCCTTTCTAATAGATCTGGAAGGGGTAAATTCTCAGAATCATCTGCAGCTGGGGCACACACTGCTGCAATGTTCTCAGGTCTCTCCTGGTACTCTTTCAGCATGTTCACATGAAAGGACCGCTGGATCCTCTCATCTGCACAGCTGGCTATCAAGTAAGTAGTGTCGCAGATCTGCGCCACTACCTTGTACGGGCCCTGCCAAGATGCTTGCATCTTGTTGGCCTTCACAGGTTTAAGCACCAATACCTTTTGCCCAACCTGGAAGACCCGCTGTCGGGCACCCTGATCGTACCATCTCTTCTGTCTCCCCTGGGCCGCCTGGAGATTCTCCCTTACCATCAGGGACAGTTTCTCCATGCGGTCCCGGAGTTCCAAAACATATGGCACTATGGGGATCCCTTCCTGCTCCGTCTCCCCCTCCCAGTGGCCTCTAATGAGATCTAGGGGTCCGCGGACCCTTCTCCCATACAGTAGCTCAAAGGGGGAGAACCTCTCTATAAGAAAATAATAGATGAGGCAGGAATCTCTCCCAGTCTCTGCAAGTGTCTGTAAAGGTCCTCAGCATCTGTTTGAGGGTACCGTTAAAGCGCTCGCAGAGACCGTTAGTCTGTGGGTGGCAGGGTGAGCTAAGTAACGGCTTAATGCCGCACACCTTCCACAGTTGCTGGGTGAGCACAGCGGTGAATTGGGTTCCCTGGTCGGAGAGGATCTCCTTAGGGAACCCGACCCTAGTAAAAATTCTAACCAGGGCATCAGCAACCGTCTCTGCCTCTATGTCAGACAGCGCTACTGCCTCTGGATAGCGGGTGGCATAGTCCACCACGGTAAGAACGTATTTCTTACCTGATGGACTAGCCCTGGCCAGTGGACCCACGATGTCAACGGCTATGCGGGCAAAGGGCTCCCCTATAATAGGCATCGATAATAGCCTAGCCTTAGGGTGGTCCCCCCGCTTTCCTACCCGTTGACATGTCACACGTGCTGCAGTACATCCGCACAGCCTGGTTAAAGTTTGGCCAAAAGAAGTTCTGTGAAATCCTATAGGCTGTGCGGCGGGACCCTAGATGTCCAGCTAAAGGAACATCATGCCCTATCCGCAGAATCTCCTGCCGGTACTTTGCAGGTACCACTAACTGGCGATTCGGCGGAGAGGCAACACTCTTCTGGGAAGGTTTAGGGATCCTATAACCTGTCCCCCACCCACTCATACCGTTCCCCATCTATTCCTTCCTCCCCAGCCTCTGCCCTGTCCTTGTATCTTTGGAGGGTCGGATCCGCCCGGGTTTCCCTCCCAA